TAATGCTGGAACAAGACTAATTTACTGGCACACAGAACTCACAATTTATGCAACACAAAACTCCTCCTCTGGGCCAGGCTAGATAATTGAGTTTCTACAATACACAAAGCTCAATTATCTGCTGGCCAGAAACATTACAATTTTTAACAATTTCAGAAACATATTTTTTACAAGACATACGAATATACTTTTAACATCCCTGGATAGCTGAGGATACTGGTAGTTACATATCCAAATCTCACAAATTTCCGTTCGGTAGTTTCCGTGTCGCATCGTGTGGAAGTTTGACTGGCTTGCCATGTGGAGGTATCCGAGTTAGAGTTCCATAGAATCAGTAGCAAGAGCCGGTCTCCGTTCGCATCTAACTACACGAAAACCACCGTTCGTATGGTTCAGCTGGTTACATGTGAATGTTCCCCTCATTCGGTAGATGCTATCTACCGAACGCCAGTTTGATTCGTGGAGGGGAACGTATTCACCCAGGACTTCCATGGGGACCGGGTGTTCGCATGTTTGCCGTGCCGAAATTAGTTCCAGGCAATTCATGCGTAAGCCTCACTGACCGCATTCGTAAGTTTTAAGATGGCCGCCATCCTTTGTTCTCGCCACGTGTCCGTATGTCGAATGGCGGCCACCTAGTAGCAATTAAGTCACGGTTTTCTCTGCGTTCTAATGCTGATTACTACCCAGGGTGTGTGGTCTCCGTTCGGTAAACGAATACATTTATTCTCAACATTTTGAACCGAACAAATACGTACAGACATTAAAGCAGCAGGGAGAGGGTTAAGCTGAAAGCACACAGGCAAATACATAAAAGTCCTTCACAATTGTCTTGCCAACAAAAACAAACCATTTAAATTTACCCATGCGGCAGAAAATGCCTTCTATACACTTAAGGTACTGGTAACGTCAGCTCCGGCACTGGGTCTCCCAAATTACAGAAAGAATTTTAACCTGTTCTGTACTGAGCAATCAGGTTATGCTACATCTGTCCTTACACAGGATCATTGTGGTAAGCAAAGACCAATAGCATACTACTCCACCAGATTGGACCCTGTTGCCAGGGGTGCCCCCTCATGTGTTAGGGCAGTGGCGGCTGTTACTGCCCTCCTGGACAAAGCCACTGATATTGTTTTAGATAATCCGGTGACCATATACGCACCGCATGATATCAACAGCATACTCTCACAAGTTCAACCAAGACACATACATACTGCAAGGCATCTCAGAATGCAATGTGCCTTGCTTATGCCACCTAATGTTACTCTTAAAAGGTGTATGGTGTTAAATCCATCTACATTGCTTCCCCTGGATTTAAAAGAGGGGAGTGGGGATAGTGGGAATGATACTTGTACTTCTGATCTTTTTGTAAATTCACTTTCACCAGATGAGTTAGCTGATGCCCAGGTACCCCATGATTGTGCAGCACTAATGGCACAAGAAACAGCAGGTTTTTTGCATGTAATTGATTCTCCATTATCTAATGCAGATTTTGAGTTTTTTGTAGATGGTTCCATATATGCTGATGAGAAGGGTAATTTCCACACTAGATATGCTGTAGTCTCTGCACACGAGGTAATAAAAGCTGAACCACTCGCTCCTGACTGCTCTGCACAGGAGGCAGAGCTGAAGGCACTCGCTGAAGCGTGTAAAATAGCATCTGGTAGGACTGCTAATATTTATACAGACTCTCGCTATGCTTTTGGTATAGCCCATGATTTTGGCCCTATATGGCGGGCTCGTGATTTTCTCACCTCAGCAGGAACTCCAATCAAGAATTCTGAAGCCGTGAGTGCACTTATGGACGCTATCCTGCTACCCACTCAAGTAGGCATCATCCAGGTGGCAGCTCACGTGAAGATCACAGATGAAATCTCAAGAGGAAACCACAAAGCAGACGAAGCTGCCAAGCATGCAGCAATCCAAGTTCATCCCTCTACAGGTAATACCTTCCTTCAAGTTGTTCTTACAGATGACGCCATTGACTACAATATACTGTTGAGCCTACAAAGACATGCAAGTAAGCAAGAACATGACCTCTGGAGGAAACAAGATGCAGAACCTGATGATGACAGAATGTGGAGGAAAGGTAAAAGACTGTGTTTACCACGAGTGTTGTACCCCATGATGGCCCAGATTGCCCATGGACCTACACATCTATCCAAGATGCACATGAACAGCATAGTATACACCCATTGGGTATCACCCGGATTTACTGTTGTAGCAGCTAAACACACCCAAGCTTGCATGATTTGTGCTAGAAACAATCCGGGACAAGCTGTGAAAACACCAAGTAAGCACACACCAAGGCCACTTTACCCGTTTCAAAGACTGCAGATAGACTATATTCAACTACCTAAGGTAGGAGTGTATGAATATGTGTTGGTGTGCATTGATCTCTTTTCAGGTTGGCCTGAGGCCTACCCAGTATCGAAAGCCACAACGAAGGTCACAGCAAGTAAGCTTCTGAAGGAACTGGTATGTAGATATGGAGTACCTGAAGTGATTGAAAGTGACAGAGGTAGCCATTTCACTGGAGAAATAATGCAAGAAATTATGAAAGCCTTAGGGATCAGTCAGGCCTTCCACACCTCCTATCACCCCCAGAGTAGTGGGAAAATAGAAAGGGCAAATGGCACCTTAAAGAACAAGATTGCAAAAGCCATGCAAGACACAGGGAAGCCCTGGACTGAATGCCTTCCCCTAGCACTCTTTTCTATGAGATTCACCCCCAATTCCAGACATGGCTTTTGAGATCCTGTTTGGATGTGCCCCAAAGACAGGCCTCTATTTTCCCCAAACCCTCCAGATGCAGCATGGTAGTATGACTGCCTATGTTCAGGCCCTACACCAAAGATTAGGCAGGGTGCATAAACAAGTCTTTGATTCTATTCCAGATCCAAACTCTGATTCTGCAACTCACAAACTGCAACCTGGTGATTGGGTGGTGATAAAGAGGCATGTGAGGAAAGGACTTGAACCACGCTTTGACGGTCCATTCCAAGTGCTCTTGACTACGGCTACCTCAGTGAAACTAGAAGGAAAAGCCACGTGGATACACGCCAGTCACTGTAAACAAGTCACTCCGACTGATCCACCAACATGAACCTGTTCTTATCCTTTACCATTTTATACTGTGTTCGGATATGCTACTCTGACTTGAGACCAGAAAATAATAATGCATGGCAGGAAAATATATGGTTGCAGATAGCAAAGGCTTTTAATTTAACCTCCTTTTGCCTCAACCCTCTCCTCAGTACTGAAAACGCCATAGAATCTTGTCTTATAGCTGTCCCTACCCCCACCTCACTGTTAAGGAAGTACCTACATACCCACAGACCCCATAAATCTCTACAACGATATTCTTATGCCTTCAACCCACTGGTAGGCAAGCCTCCTCTAGCCCTGAAGACAATTAATTTGACAGGCACTGAACTTTGTTGGTCTTTTTCATGTAATTGTTCAAGAGACCCTAATACTGAATCCCTGTTTTGCCCCACATGGTGGAAAAATACCACGAATTGTAGAGCCCTAAGCACCACTATGAATTGTACCAAAACTCACCAAGTTATGAGTTACCACTACAATGTCTATCTTCCTAAAGGATGGACTTTCTCCTGTGGAAATATTACTTATGCTTATGTCTCAGGTAACATTACAGGAGGTCCCTGTGCAATCTCTCGCCAAACCATCACCATATTTTCCAAATCTGACCTGATCACTAAAACCACCCAGCTACACAAACTGCTGAGAGCTGGGTAGTTACTGCAGATTTGGGCTAGGAACATGGTTGACTTTACTAATTAAGAAAATGTTATACTTTTTGCTATTAGCTGTATTTGTCATTATGGCTATTTTTCTAACCTTTAGATTTTTTTCATGTCTACTAATCTCTCTATGTAAAAGCAAACCTACTATTGGTCGTACCTTAACTTACATTCCAGCTCCGACTTCGGAAAGGTTTTATGATGTTACCTCGCCTAACAAATAAAGGAACTCTCCTCTGCTGATTCTGGTGGTCTCTCAGTCCAAGGGAACCGTGGTGAAGCAATAAATGAAAGTCCCACAGGCTTTGGCTAGCAGGCCTGGATATACCTTCGACATTTGGGTGACCCTTGGATCAAAAGAGGGGATTGTGATATAATTTATCTTGATTCCAAGGCTCAAGCTTATAGGTGTCATATAATGATATCCTATATTAAAATTGGCTAACTTGGACTCAGAAAATGCTTGATGCTTAAACAACACTTAATACCATATATGTCTAAGTTCTGGGAACAGAGAGCCCCCACATAAGATGTCTCTGCTCTAATCATTTTGTTCTCGCTTACCTTGAAACTTATTTTTTATGTGTACATGACACTCATCCCTATGTCTTATCTGTACTCTCTTCCTATTACTGTTCTAAGAGTATTTGCACGTAAGCACTTACTTTTTAATGTATAAAACCCAGCTGATGAATAAAACGTCAGAGGCTTATTTTGAATACCAACAGGTTCAAAATAGGAGACTAACAGGAGACTTAACCTCTAGAATGTTATTACAAGGACAGTGTTTCACAATGTTAATTTATTAATACTAAAAGAGGGAGATGTTATGGATGTTATTTTTTGTTTACATGCAACTAACTCTATGGTTTATTCTCTATTGCACGAGTTTCCTGTTGGGATGTGTACTTCCTTCCTGTATCTCCCAAAACATGGCTGCTATACACTAATACCTGGCAGTGTCTTTATTTATATCTCCTGAAACAGTTGACTGATAAGTCATGTACTGACTAATATACATACTATTATCGATATTTTGCCAAACCTTTTATTCCCCCTCCCTTTTTTCCCTTACTGTACCCAAATTCCTTGATAAAACTAATAAAACCTTTAATGGAAAACAAATTACATAAACAACTCCTTTGATCTAACAGACATCTCAAAGGCATAATTTTACACAGAAAAAAATAAAAATATAGGATTTTTTATTGCAATAATAAAAAAAAAACAATAGCGGGGCACTGCTCTAGCTGCCACATGGACACGTGTATTCTGATGTTTCTTGATTTAAACCAACCTAAGTGAAGATCAGTTATACTGAACGTTCCATTCTCCCGCGTTACAGCTACCCGTTCCACGTGACCACGGCAGGCACGTGACCGGCTCCCTGTGCAGAGAGGAAGAGTGCTTTTAACCTCTATAGTTGCATATCAGGGCCCGGGTAGTCCAGTAGCAAACATGCAGCTGACGGCTGGTGTGATTCGCCGGCTAGATGAGACCGTGGTGAACAGAATTGCTGCAGGAGAGGTGATCCAGAGACCCGCCAACGCCATTAAGGAGATGATAGAGAACTGGTAATGTGCCTGGCATCAGGACGGGGGCAGCACTGATAGAACATGGCAGCTCCACCTGCTCTCATAGAATGTTACATTAAAAAGTACTGTGCTCCCCTTTTTGTGCATTCTGTTCATTATGGGATGAGGCCGTGTGATGGCTGTTCTGTGACATGCCAGCTGTGTGACGGGCTGGCTGAGCTTCATGGGAAGTGACGTCTGCCGCCCACAAAATGCCAGATGGTCAACCATGGTCGTAGGTAACTAGTAAATCTCACCTACCCCAATTTCTGCTCATGCACGAGGATAGTGATTTGGCAGCAAATGCAAAAAGTATATAGGAGGTTTATGTATATAGAGTAATTCTGGGGTAAAATTCAAATTGTGGAGCAATCAACAGAAACATTTCATCGGTTTCCATTTTGTCTACTCAACTTTAGCAAATAATTTTTCTCTAGGTTGTTTTTAATTTGATGCTTTGGTGTATAGTTTTTTTTTTTTTTTTTAATTAAAAAAAATTAGTATTTTGAGTATTGATTTGTTTTTATTTATGTCTTTAAAAAGGAACTGTTACTTCTCTGGAAATTACACAATTGATAAAACATTGGATTTCACTAATAATAAAGATCACTGTTACCTCTAAAATGTGCTGTAGTGGTTTTGGGGGCAGGAATGTCCTGGCACCATCTCATGGTAACCAGTCAAATCACTTACTAAATGAGGGAGATGCAAGTGGCAAACTTTTGCTTGAAAACAGCTGTGCCATATTTTGAAAGTTACTACCATTGTTTAATTAGCGAATGGTTTGACGGCTCACACTTGGTGTGTACCAGGGCACCCTGGTACCATAACCACTACAACACAAACTAGTGCTTAGGATGCATGGGGTGTGCCTTTAGTGTTGTGCTATGTATATAAATAGGGTATTGGCATGAACACCTTAAACGACCGTCTGTGCCTTTTGTGCAGGGCTTTAATGCCCCTTAATGGCATAGACCGTCATGCATTGAAAGTATTAGCGGGGTTAAATCCCTGCTGGTTTCAAGGTGCTGCAGGTAGTGAGGACCTGATTGTCCACTCCGTCAGCCAGGGCCACAATTAATGGCCCAGACTGACAGATGAGCTATGTACAGAGCACAAAGTTAGCACAGCACATAATCCTTTTAAATACCGCAGTTGAGCAGTCTGGTTTATTCTGCTCTTAGCCTGACAATAGCTTTAAAACAGAGAGCCCCCAGGTATCTTTCAATAACTGAGGGACCCCTCTGTCAGCAGGAGCCTTAATGGTAGCCCCGGCCTTACAGATGAGCAATGTACAGCTCAGCCGATTCTTAGTCTGCCCCCCACTGTGAGGGCCCCCACAGTCTTAAAAGATCCTGTTGAGGTCTCCCTGCTTGCCCCTCTTCCCTGTGATTAATGCTGGGCTTTGCCAGCTGCCAAGTACAATCAATTTCCCAGAGCTCTCTGTACTGTGTGAGCTGGGAAATCCCTTTGCTGATGTCAGCAGAGCGAATCCTTCTGGGATGGGATTAGGAGTTGGATTATACAAAGGTAAACATGTGCGGTATCATTATATTCCAGAACATTAGCAGAATGGGATATGTAAATTATTACATGTGGTAGGTTAATTCCCCCAAAATACTCATACTCTTGGCCATGGCTTTTGCCACACATGCACCATGTGTTCCAGTCCTTCTCTATGAGCATCTTACTGAGAGACACTATAAGCACCAGTACAATTTAGCTTAAGCTGTTTTGGTGAATAGATTATGCTCTTGCGGTCTCGTTGCTTAAATCTCTGCCATTTAGGAGTTAAATCACTTTGTTTATACAGCCCCAAACACTACACCTCTACATGTGACCTACAGTCTCCCATCACACATTCTGTAAAGTGATAAAATGTTTAAACTTCCTTTATTGCATGGTCTGTTTAATTAGAATGGCAGAGATTTGAGCAGCTAGACTGCAGCGGCATACTCTATAAACCCAAAACTGCCACATTAGGCTAAACTCATTTTGGTGCTTAGATTATTCCTTTTAATACCTAAATAAGGAAGGTGGAGTAATTATCAACAGTTTAAGGAATACTCCAGTTAAAAATATACATATCCAGTCCAAGGCTTTTAGTGTGGCACAATGTGGTAATCTTTGTGCTCCACCAATACAGTGCTTCTTCTAGAGAAAAATGGAATCTAAACGCTTTCCTATGAGACGCATTAACCATTTTTAGAATGTTGTAAGCACACACATAAACATTAGTAAATACATATAATTGTTACAACCTTATTAATGTGGAGTAGGTTATATCAAAGAAATACTCCAAGCTCCATAACCTCTACCACTCACTGTAGTGGTTATGGTGCCGGGAGTGCCCTGGCACACTCTCATTGTATGTAGTCAAACCGATTTTGAACAGTTTGACCTTTTACCAGGGGTCTGCTGGGTGCCGCTTCCCGCATCCATTGCTAATGCTGGAGATCCGGAAGTTCTAAGCGAGAGCTGCTGTTAGATCTCGTGAGTAAGCCCTGCACTGCAAGGAGAGCAAAGGAAGTTCCTGCTTAGAACTTACTGGATCTCCTTGTGGTAGTTTTGAAGAAAGGGAGCAGCATCATTCAAAATGTTTGCTTACAATGAGGAGTGTGGGTGTCGGGGTAGTCCAGGCACCATAACAGCTACAGTGAGCTGTAGTTGTTATGCTTGGCTTGCTCCTTTCAAACAATTCATAAAAACTGCCACAGCTTGCTCTGCGGCATTGAATAACATTTGTAATGGTTTAATTTGTATTACCATTTACAGTTTGGATGCTAAATCAACCAACATTCAGGTGACTGTGAAAGATGGGGGCATGAAATTAATCCAGATTCAAGATAACGGTTGTGGAATCAGGGTAAGATTCTTCAATTGCTAACTGTATTTCTGTAGATAATTAATAAGGGGACTTTAATTTGTGGCATGTGTTCAACTCTATTTGTCTGATGTTTATCTTAAGCAGGGGTAGGCAACTGTTGGCACTTCAGAGGATGTGGACTACATCTCCCTTAATTACCTTGTAGCCATTATGCTTGCAATGCATCAGGGGGATGTAGTTCCCAAAATTTGAAATACAGAATGTTGCTTACCCCTGATATAGAACATTTGTTTTCAACCAGTGTACTGTGGCATGTTGCTGTGTCTTAAAGGGTTACTCAGTGATTTGAGTGGTCATGGTGCTAATATGTCTGTATGTGCAGCGTTTCGCTGTTAAATGCTACACATACCAAGTTTAACTCCTTTGCTGCTGGATGCGTAACCTCACAACTCTGGCAGGATTATGGGGTGTCATCAGCCAGTCCATTCTGTGCAAGTTTAGATGCATATACACCCATACATTGGTTGGGAGCAGACAGCTGATACTCAGTCAATGAACGAGCGACAGGATCGACATCCAGCTTCTGCAGACCCATCTTAAACCTTCCTACAGAGGAGACCCAGTGGGCTTTAGTGGTTATAATGGTTAGAGTAACCCTTTAATCCACCTCACAACATGCCACGATCATATGAACGTCTAGGCTTTAATAAGCTGAATGCAGTCCAAAAAATAACAAAAACCCTGAACATTTAAAAATATCAACATTAACATTGAGATTTCCACCTGGCAGTTCTTTAAAACTAGTTGCCTTAGAAGTATGCATCTTTCTCTAGTAAGGCTAAGAGTGACATTTATATGCTGGCAATATATGTAAAGAGAATCCAGTCCATCAAGTTCAAGACACATCTTATGTTGTTGATTCAAAAGAAGGCAAAACACTTGGTTTTAAACGATTATCATACTTAACTCCATAATGTCAATCAGCTTTCTCCTTGGATGAGCAATTTGTTCATAAACGTATTAACTATATCCTTGCATATTATGTGTTTCCAAAAATAAAAATCACCCAGGCCTTTTTTCTTTTTAATATCTACAGAATCTGATAAGACAACATCTTTGAGCAGAGAAATCCACATCTTATTGTTTTTACTGTATAATAGTATATCTGTGTCTTGGCATTTTTTGTGGTCCACAAAATGTGCCTTGGTCCAGAAAAAATAATCTACTAATCTAAAAGTTAGTTAAAGGAGCACTACAGTGCTAGGTAAAAAAACACATTTTCCTGGCACTATAGGGTTATTAGGTACCCCCCTCCCACTAGGTTGAAGGGGTTTAAACCCCTTCAGCCACTTACCTTAATACAGCGCCGGACTCCCTCAGTGCTGGTGACCTCTCCTCCCCCTGCCGACGTCGGCTCCGAATGAGCCGCCCATAGGAAAGCATTACTTAATGCTTTCCTATGGACATCCAGCGTGTCCTCAGTTCGATTTTCGCATTGAGGATCGTGTAAGCAATTGTAGTGGCTGTCAGGAAGACAGCCACTGGAGGATGGATTAACCCTCAATGTAAACATAGCAAAGTTAAAGCTAGGTGGTCTGGGTGCCTATAGTGGTCCTCTAAGTGAATTAGTACTGTATTATTTGAAGTTGTACATTCTGTTAATGTTCATTGCCAAGTTATAGCAAAGTCAGTGGTATAACTTTGCCTTAGTTCTTTTAGTGTAGTGTAGTTTATGACTCATTTTACTTGTAAATTCCATAAAATGTCTTTCTGATTTTAAGACTTTGTTACATATTTACAACTTTATTGCACTGATAAGCCTCACAATTTTTAAATGTGTGTGTGTGTGTATATGTGTATATGTATGTGTGTGTGTGTGTGTATATGTGTATATATATATATATATATATATATATATATATATATAAACACTTTACAAAAACAGTGTCATTTTAGCAGTATTTTGAGCAATAATTTATATGCTGCCTTCCTAGAAAGAAGACATGGATATAGTATGTGAGAGGTTTACCACAAGCAAACTGCAATCCTTTGAAGATTTGTCTAGCATTTCTACTTATGGATTTCGAGGAGAAGTAAGTCCTACAACCTACTGTTTTAATAACATAACCTGTAAATTTGATAGGCATGTCAAAAGTTTTACAAACTACCACTGCATTTAAAAAATAAATAAATTTATAAATAAAAAATTATTATAGCTGTAAGTTTATAATAATTTGTTTGAATTAACGGTTCAGATTATTACATATAATTAAAAAAAGCCTTTTTTTGGGGAGGGGGAATCTGTAGTCTGTATTCATGCTTAACAAATTAATCTTGCAAATTAAACACTGTATAATTCTTTATGGTGGCATGCTTTATGAAACCTATTAAAGCGATGTCTAATGGCATGACCATCATTTAAACATGTAAAATATAATTCATCATATTGATAAATTATATATTTTTTTTTTCCTGAAAGGTGTTATAGCAGTACTCCCTGCTTAGACAGAGGTCCATGGGTTGTAATACCCAAACTCCTCTGTTGCCTCCTCTCCTCTGTGGTTGACCTTGCTTAGGGATACATGCCCAAGTTGGGTAATTCTAACGTATGATGCTGAACTGCTAGTTTCACTGCAACAAATTGGCATCAATGCATCCTGTACTCCCACTGTACATACCAGAGTGATAAGTAAAAAGAACTGCCTTTGGGAGGCTTATTTTACTCTCCCTGTCACCTAATCCTCTGATTAAACCTGTATGCTACTTAGATACAGACTAATGCCAAGGATTGATTGAAGGTCACAGCCAAAGATTGACGCATCAGGGAACTTTCCTCAGGCAACACCACACTAGCGCTTTGACGTACTTGCGCTGTGCAGTGGGCATTCAGAGAGTGCTTCAGCAGAACCCCGTGCGTGGTGCTACATGTAGAAGGCCAGCCGGGAGACTGTTTGTCAATGTGGCATGCTCATTTTCTGTCTGGGCCTCCCATTATAGGCATTGTTGTGATGCAAGTTCGTGATGTCCCCAATGGCTTGCCGAGCTATCCCGATTCCATACTTCCATGTGTTGGGAGTTATGCATTACTGCTTAAGAATGCACAATTTAATGTGTCTATGAGTGGTTTAGGGCAGTTGCTGAACAGGTGGTCATTCAAAATAACCAGTGCAAATAAACTTCACTTTGTATCTGTATACCTGGTGTGTACAGCTATAGTATGAAATAATCCTTCTTTTGGCCTCTCTTCAGAGAGGAATTGATGGGTATACATCCTTTTTAAACCTTCTAGAAGTACTTCTTATAAAGAATTGACAAAGAGTTTTTAGTGTTAAAGGGACAATGTAGACACTGTAACTTCTTCATCTCCGTGTGTCTGGAGTCTCTGGCATTGTTCTTCCATTCAGCGTTAAACAGTATTTAATGCCAGAAGCATTCGCAGCAATGGGTAGCAGTGGTTGGCACAGAGTGTTAGCTGTCTATTTCATCCAATAACCATACCCTTTGCTTGTATTTATTGGTATGACTAGAAGGAAGTGTATAAACTCTGCCTTAGCCACACCTCCAGTAGGAGCTGAGCTGTGGAAAATGGGGAAACTTACTTGTTGAACTTCTCAATTTCAAACTGCTAAGAAATTGTTTAAAGGGACACTCCTGGCAAACAGACCACTTCTGCCCATTGGAGTGGTCTGGGTGCCAACTCCCACTACCCTTAACACTGCAGGTGTAATTATTGCAGTTTTTATAAACTGCAATAATTACCTTGCAGAGTTAACTCCTCCTCTAGTGGCTGTCTGCTAGACAGCCATTAGAGGGCACTTCCTGCTTTGTGAGGACCTCCAGCATCACTAAAATCTCCACAGGAAAGCATTGAAAGCATTTTCAATGCTTTCCTATGGGGAGGTCTAGTGCGCGGCATTGGCGCACATTAGGTCTCATCCTGCCGGCGGCCGCGCATGCGCAATTGGTCTCCCCCGACAGCTGACTTCGGCGAGGGAGGAGCGTGGGCAGACCCTAAACCACTGCCGAGGGACATCGGAGGTGGTCTCAGGTAAGTCACTGAAGGGGTTTTCACCCCTTCAGCAACATGCGAGGGAGAGGGGACCTGCAGTGCCAGGAAAAAGATTTGTTTTCCTGGCACTGGAGTGTCCCTTTAACACTGAAAGGAGGGACAGTGTCAGAGGACTGAGGGTGGTTATAGCATCTACAAGTGTCCATTTATTGTTGGTAAAATAGATTTAATAACACTTGTGGTGGAATCAATTTCTGTGTATTGTCTGTTCTCAATACTACAGTCTAAATGCATGTTCACATTGCATGTATAAAAGTCTGTTTTTCTATATGCAAAATATGTAATGAACACACAATATTATCTCTACTTATACTTATTTTGTTGAATAGGCATTGGCAAGCATCAGTCACGTGGCTCATGTAACTATAACCACAAAAACAGCAGATGGAAAATGTGCATACAGGTAATATTTTGACATTAGTTGTAGGTGTGCCATATGTGATATGATTTCATTACTCATTCTGACACTTTTTTTGTGTGTTGCATTTCATGGTTGCTCAACCTTTTATAGGTTCTATTTATTTTATTTTCTATAAAAAGAGAGTGTAAAGAGGGGGAGGAAAACAGTGCCTTAGGGATGTCTTCCAGTCCAGATTCGGATGGGCAATAATGCAAAAGAAAGGATTAAAGTATATAATATATTATAGTATATCTACGGTTCAGGTGAGATAAATAAAAGAAGTGCACTTACAGTTTTCTGTAAGTTATAGTTAGTTCCAAACATATATACGCCTAGACAGTACAATCCCCGCCAATGGATTTAGTTGGTGTCTTGATCCAGTGATATAGAACAAATAAAAGAAACCAAATATAGTGTAGTATATTCAGTATACTAGATAAAAAGTAAATGTATCTCTGTGGAAGTACACTCACAATTTTATGAATCTATCAATTAAGCAAATGTAGTGAGGTGATCTACACCACTGAGGTATACTGAGGTTCCCACTCTTTGATGTGAATAGCAGCAGACTCTCACATGAGGTATAGAAATAAAAGAGAAATTAAAATATAGTGCTCACTGTTAAAATCAGTTTAAAGGAATAAAAAAAGATGCACTCACAGGAGTAAAACATTTTTTGCTCAATCCGTATTGGCCTAGGTGGTATATTCCCCACCAAGGAATCTGATGAGACAATTTCAGATTGAAATTAGAAAGGTCCAATCTAGGTGTAAAAACAACAATTTTATTAGAAATAAATTATAAAAGAGTAACACACTAATGTTTCATCTAATACACAGGCTTTTTGAAAGTGTTACTGGCATAGGGACCTTCACTGTTTAAAGGACCACTCTAGGCACCCAGACCACTTCCACTTAACCCCTTCAGGACGGGTGACGGACGAGGTCCGTCACAGAGGGGAGACCCTTAACGACGGGTGACGGACCTCGTCCGTCACGCGGTAAAATTAACCCCGGATCGCCGCGATCGCATTTAATGGTGCTCCCGGTATGCCTCTGCATTGGAGGCATACCGGGAGCACCCGGTCAGGCTGCCCAGCACATGTGCTCGCTCTGACCGCAAGTCTGAGCACATGTGCTCTCTATACTCACCTACCGGCTCCCTGCACTTCCGGGTTCTGTGTGAAGTGCAGGGAGCCGGATCAGTGATGATCCTGCACCCTGCTGTTAAAAAAAATAAAGTTTATTTAAAGTGTCCCCCCCCTTACCCATTTTAATAAAAAATTAACCCATTCCCTGCCAATTGATCACTGACTACAGTGATCAATTGGCAGGGATTACATTTTACTATGATCTGATTTTTTTTTTAACCCCTGAGGGTTAATTCTTTTTTTTTAACCCTCAGGGGTTAAATTAATTAAATTAATTAATTAAATTATTTTTAAATTATATATTTAGATAGCTGGGGTGGGTGGAAGTTAGTGGGGAATTGGGGGATTTGGCGTTAGGCTAACTAGGGGTTAACGTTAAAAAAAAGTTTTAAAAGAAACTTTAAAAAGTTAAAAATTAAACTTAAAAAATGTTTTAATAACATTTAAGTAAAAAAAACAAAAAAAACACACTTTACCTAGTCCAAATAAAAATTAACCCCTTCCCTGCCAGTCGATCACTGCCTACAGCGATCAAATAGAGATCACAGTATTATACTGTGATCTAATTTTTTTTAACCCCTGAGGATTAACTTTTATTCATTTTTTTTTAACCCTCAGGGGTTCAATTTATTTAATTAATTTTAAATATTTTATAACTATATATTTTGCTAGCTGGGGTGGGTGGGAGTTATGGGAAAATGGGGAATTTACTGTTAGTGCTGCGTACTGCTAGTTAGGGGTTAACGGTAAAAAAAAAAGCTTAGAAAAATGTTAAATCTGTAAAAAAGTTTTAAGAAAGTTTAGGAAAGTTTAAAAAAAATTTATAAGCAAAACAAAAGTTTAAAAACTAGTTTTTAAAAGTAAAAAAGTTATAAAAAGTAAAAAAATACATTTTAAAAACGCTCATTACCACTACACCTGGAACAAACTAGAGAAAAAATTATCCCACGCCAAGGTTCAAAATATGCCTTTTGAATTACCCCAGGGTGTATTCTTTAATAAATAGTATGTGTTTGTGGGGAAGTTTCAATAACCAACCGTCTAAACTACTCCAAATTGGAACATGGACACAGCGTAAAACTTCAAAGTTAGAAAAAAACTGAATGGCTGCGTCTCAAATGCGCCCCTTCAACATCCACATATACCTGGCAAAGGTACATACGGGGGTATTGCTGTACTCAGCCGACATAGCTGAGCAACATATGAAGTATTATACAGTCATAGTACACATAAGGTTTGCAAAATATGCTGCGCAAACTCACTTTGTATGTCAAAAAGGCAGAAAAAATGCTTATTACCACTACACTTGGTACAAGCTAGCGGAAAAATGATCCCACGCTAAGGTTCAAAATATGCCTTTTGAAATACCCTGGGATGTCTTCTTTAAGAAATGGTATGGCTTTATGGGGAATTTGGATTATATAGCCTGGTAAAATACTCTAAAATGGGACATAGGCACAGCATAAAAATTCAAAGTTTGAAAAAAACTGGAATGGCTGTGTCCCAAATGTGCCCCTCCGATGTCCACACATACCTGGCAAAGGTACATACGGGGGTATTGCTGTACTCAGCCGACATAGCTGAGCAACATATGAAGTATTATACAGTCGTAGCACACATAAGGTTTGCAAAATATACTGTGCAAACTCACTTTGTATGTCAAAAAGGCAGAAAAAACGCTTATTACCACTACATCTGGTACAAGCTAGCGGAAAAATGATCCCACACTAAGGTTCAAACTATACCTTTTGAAACACCCTGGGGTGTCTACTTTAAGAAATGGTAGGCCTTTGTGGGGTAGTTTGAATTTAAAACCTGCGAAGATGTTTGGAAATTGCACATAGGCACAGCGTCAAAATTCAAAGTTTGGTAAAAACGGATATGGCTTGGTCTCCTATATGGCACTGTAGCTTCACAAAATAGTGACAAAGACATTCATTGGGGGTGTATTTTTACTCAAAAGACTTAGCTGAGCATAATTTGGGAGGTTTGAACTTAGTGGCACATATGAAATATACAAAACGCCCAGCAAAAATGCAATCCGTATGTAAAAAATGCACAAAATAATTTTTTTACCACATACTTTGGCATATATTGGTGAAAAAATGGGGGTATGTTAAGGCACAATATGCACCTTATGAGATACCCTGGAGTGTCTACTTTTACAAATGGTAGGCCTTTGTGGGGGTTTTTTGAACAGTCAAACTGTTATAATACCCCAAATGGAAGCTAAGGCTCATTAAATTCATCTCTCAAAATTCTACTGTGAATACTGAAAAGGACAGGTATCCTGTATGGCACTGTAACTTCACGAAATAGTGCAAAAGACATACAATGGGGGTGTCATTTTACTCAGCAGATGTAACTGAACACAAAATAAAACTTTGTACAGGAATAGCACACACCAACTTTACAAAATATACACGAGAATTTCTCTGTTATAAGTTTGTGTGCCAAAAACCAAAAAGAACACAATTTTACTCCAATATTTAGCAGAGGTTGGCGGTGAAATGGCTACGTAGAAAGTGTCAAAACAACCTTAGGTAAATAGCCCGTGATGTCTAATTTATATAAATATATACTTTTGTGTGGCAATTTTGTTTTCTTTTATGGCTATTAAGCTTACAAGACAAACATATCAAATTCTAAAATCGCTCCACATTAAAAGTTTATTTTACTCCTTGTGCTTTGTGACCTGTAACTACCAAAAAAAACTTAAAATCCCAGACACATTATATATTCTGTAAATCAGAACAAATAAATAAATTTATTTTTAATTACTTTCCTTAACCTGCACTAATTATGCACACATTATTATTGCAAAAACTGTAAAAAAAAACAATATTTTTCATTTTTTTTGCATTTTTCTGTATTTTTTTTATAATAAGTAAGCATTTATATATATATATGTTATATCAAATTAAAGCCCTTTCTGTCCTTTAAAAAACAGTATATAATATGTGTCGGTGCAATAAATGAGAGAGATGCAAATTGCAGTTGAACGCAAACAGCAAGAAAATGCAAAAATTGCTTGTGTCATTAAGCGTAAGTCAAGCTTCTGAAGCTGTGTCCTTAAGGGGTTAATGAAGTGGTCTGGGTGCCAGGTCCAGGAAAAAGGTAAGTTTAACCCCTTTCCTTGCCGTCCAGCCTGGCGGGAGGGGGTCCCTGAGGGTGGGGGCACCCTCAGGGCACTGTAGTGCCAGGAAAACGAGTATGTGTTTTCCTGGCACTATAGTGGTCCTTTAAATATAAATACAAAATTAAAACATAACTGTCACATGACATAACGTGACCAATAAAGTAACTTAAAAACTGTAAATAAAGACAAGGATAAGTTGGTGTATTGTAAAGAGGCTTTTTTTTTTTTTTTTTTTTTTTTTTTTCATTTTTTTTTTTTTTTTCATTGTGCAGGTGGGTACATGTCAGTTTCCAACGCCACAATAGCGTATTTACATATGGCTATACATGCTTAACAGTGGCAAGAGTACGTGCACATTTTTGAAATACAAAGGCAAGAACAATATAACAGGCTGAACCATAGTGGAATGCTACTGCAGTGTAGATTCTGGTGTGTGTGTGAAATAAGTTACATAGCGGTATACTACTGCAATGTTAGGAGTGCTGGGACAAGCTAGTCTTCTTGAGAGTCTAGGCAGGTGCTTAAAACATGAGGAACCGCTGATCTAGGGGGTTGTAGTGAAGTATGTTGAGTAAATGAGCGGGTGGGTAGGTTACTCTGGATGGTTAAGTCAGTTAGCCCTTTTGTTCATAACTATGTTGGGCATGTCGACACAGGACTCCTAGTTTCAGCATCCTTAGAGTCATTGTGGAAGTCAATTGTGGAAGTCAAAGGGGAAGGGTTAGAAAATAATTACAGCGCAAGAAGAATCACTGGTAAAGAGGCTTTTTAATAGCAAAATGAGTGGTAAAAATGGGGAGAATGAAATAAAAAGGTGCTGGGCACTTTAAAGGTGAACCAAAATGACAGCTGCTAACTGTCAACAAATGATTATAAAATCAATTTATCAATGTTTCGGTCAAGGGCCTATCTCTATATCTATATGGTTCCTACACTTTATGAATATGTTCAAACTTTCCTCTGTGTTAATACAGTTTACTATTTATATTATATTACTTACTATTATATTATCTTATTGAGGCTCAGCAATACTTTTTGATTCTTTAGTGTTATTGTGTAAGCTGGGAATTTTGGATAACTGCAAATCTAAAATACTATACTGGAAACATAGGTGAGCTGGCACACTTTTTCTATTTTGGTAGTTTTGTCCTACAATTATCAATCCTTTTTATATACATTCTACAGTTGCAGTTTAGTAAATAGATTGCAAGTTTGAGTGCATTAAAAAAAACAAAATGGTATTAGTCTTTAAGGAACACTATAGCGTTGGGAATTCAAATTTGTATTTCTAACACTAGAGTTCGCTGGTGGCCGTTTAGGTAACTAGTCCCCACATGCGGGGAGAAAAAATAAAAATAGTCTTTCTTATCTTTTCTCCCACTCAGTGCCGGTCTTCACGGCTGGTCGATGATCTCCGCCAACCCAGGCAAAACGCACTGCTATGCCAGTCAGATGGTTTTTCTCAGACCATTTGATAGAAACAGCAGAATTTTACTTTATTTCCTCTGAAGTGCCTCTAGTGGCTGTCTGAGTGACAGCCACTAGAGGCACTTAAATCTTGCAATGAAAACTTTGCTGTTCAAGAGAGACACTGCACCCAGACCACTTCAGTGAGATGAAGTGGTCTTGGTGCCTATAGTGGCCCTTTAAATATAATCAGAGCTGGAAAATAGCACCATACTAGAAACACTTCCTAGTACAGTTTATATCTAAGAAAACATTAAATTGTCCATATTGTGGGGCTAGCAATAGAATGAGAGAGCCTGTAACTTGCTGAAATACTTCTTTAATTTGAAACCTAAAATGAAGAAATCTTCAATATCTATCTAAAAAAAAAAAAAAAATTCAGTAAGTCCCTAGGACACCCACATTACGAGTTGCGTGCCTTAGTCGCTTTTTGGCTACTTTTTTATTTTGGCCCCATTTAAATATACACCACTTTTCGTTAAAGAAATGTATAGAATGCCCCTGTACTAATTATTATTATAATTATTATTATTATTTGTATTTATATAGCGCCAGCTTATTCCGCAGCGCTTTACAATAAAAGGGGAATTTACCAAATGAGACTATCACAAAAAGTAACAGGAATAATAGGTAGTTGAGGACCCCGCTCAAACGAGCTTACAGTCTAGAGGATACTACCACTTCTTATTCCCTGGTAACGTGGCAGTGTGTGCTTGCCGTAAACTACAAGAACCAGTATTGTCAAAAAAATACCCATCTTAAAGGGTAATGAGCATTCAAAGTGAATTCGAAGTGAATTTTAAATTTGAGGCCAAATTGAACACTTTGAATGTTTTCAGTTCAGCTATTTTTACCTTGAATTTTAAATTTACTAAAAATTCTCTTTGAATTCTTACTTTAGTGAGTCTTATTAGTCGTATCTGCTTACAGAAATTTTTTTTGTTCTAAAAAGCCTCTAACACATAAAAAAGCAACTGTATTACATATGCACAGAACCTTTAACATACATAGTGGATTTATGCTGTGCTGAACTGTCTCATGATATACTGCCTCGATTTACTGTTCTCCCCCCCCAATTATTTTCTGCACACCAGAGCAAATTATTCAGATGGAAAACTAAAAGGTCCTCCAAAACCATGTGCTGGTAATCAAGGAACACAGATTACGGTATGTGAAACACTCTAAATTATAAGTTACATAATGTTGTATAGTTGTTATTTAAGAAACTGTGATTAAACATGTAATGTATTAAAAATGATACGGAGGGGGGCGGGGGGGGGGGGCGCTAAACGAGAGCTCAGAGAGAAAACCTGCCGATACCCTAAAATATTGAGAACTACTACAAAGAAAGCCTCATTTTGCAGCAGGAGAGTGTCGGTGGTACCCCGAGACTCACCATAAGGGATTTTATCAACTTGCGGAGCAACCCGAATCCGACAACGATTTGCGGCCTACCAGCGGATGCAGGCGTGAGAGAGGCGGCTGATCTGCCTGTAAGCTAACCTGCTGGGAAAAACGCTGAGGTTTTCCAAGCTCCACTATACAGGCTCTACTTACTCGCAGAGAGGGGAACAGAGTTTCTCACCCACTCCTGCTAAATAAACACAGCCACGAGATAAAAGCCAAGATGGCGGAGGACGGGCCTACTACAGAGACATGAGGCCTTCTAGAAATGTTTGAAGAACAACTGGATGCCCACTTCCAAGACTTTTGGCAGAAACTGTGGAGCACTGGAGGGCAAAATGTTAGAAAGCGACAGGAACCTGTCCAGCTTTCAAGTACTGCAACTGACCGATCCTTCCCAAACTTCCTTAGCTGCTGTCTGCAGATGCACATGATCACGTCTGTCCTGATTGTGCGAAACTATAACCTCAAGTCCGAAACCAAAGTAGAAGGTGTATACAATGTATGGAAGTTTACTTCACATACTGCTGTCACTATCTGAGTTATTTTTAGACATGTGTAAGAGTGAAAAACTTGTTTCTTTAAGTGTTGTTCCAGTTTATTTTCTCGTTTCAGTTCGTCCAAAATTTGGAAATTTGCAATTTGGAACGAAACAATATTTGGAAGAATTTCAGAACTAAAACGAATTTGGATACCAAATTGTGGCGCTATTTAGCAGAAAGCCCCCTAATTTGGTATCCTTAAAAATAACAATCACACATAAGGGTACAAAATTAGTATTCTTTAGTTGTTTAATAGTTAATTCCCTAATTTGCTATCTTTATGAAAACTAATGGATCAATTTTTTTATTTTTTTTTTTATCAATTTGTCCCAAGTTCGTTCTCAGTTAATCCCGAATTAGTTCATGTTCAGTTCATTCTGAATTTGTTCACTTTCAATTTGTGTAGGAGTTAAGACACTTCCAAATTAACAAATTTTGTCTAAAATTTATTTTGGGGCAAAACTATTGCACAAGTCTAGTTTTTCCCCACATATCCTCCCTAGAGTCCATTCACTTGAAAAGTCCTTTAGATAAGGACTGAAATGTTCATACCAATTTATTAAATACCTTTTAACTTTTTCTCACCTTACATTTTTGTGTTTGCTTTACAAAGGGAGCATGTGCCTAATATATGTACGTGAGTTGGAACCGGAAGTAGTGCCCGAAATATTTGCTTTTGTGTTTTGTATAAAGACCTTGTAGTTCACGTCAAGCTGTGCATGCTTGTGTGCCTGTGTCCTTATATTGTACACACAAGTCAAAATATTAATTTATAATTTAGCTACTTTCAGTCATATAAATCATGTTGAAATTGATACTGTCATTAATGCAATCTGTCAGTCTTAACATTTACCTGCATTTCAGGTTGAAGATCTTTTTTATAATGTGTCCACAAGGCGAAAAGCTCTGAAAAGTCCAAGTGAAGAGCATGCACGAATAGTTGAGGTTGTGAGCAGGTATTGTAAAGGCTGCATGTAACATATTGTACTCAAATTATGAATAGTACTCTTTATTATTATTGGCATTTATATTGCTGCAACTTATTCCGCAGTGCTTTATAATATTATAAAGGGGGAAATGTAACAGTAAATGAGACAATAACAAAATGTTACAGGAACAATAGATTGATGAGTACCCTGTTCAAACAAGTTTACAATCTAGAGACCATCTTTTAGACAACTAACAGTTAATGATTTTCATTACAATACAGGTAGAAGCATTCCTTTTTTTAAATTGCAAAATGTGGCTGAAGATCTTTAGTTAATGTGTGAACACTCCACATCTTAACCACTACAGACCGCTGGGTGCCCACAGCCACAGGCTTTTCCTTCAGGATATTGTGGTTTGCTTTATGGAGCTAAGATGGGTCCATCAAATCTGGGCAGATTGGGCACATTGGCTGAGATTATTCATTAAATTACCTATTGCTTTGTCTTTTCACTCAACTGTTTGGTAACCTATTTACTGTTTAACATCCGTTTTCCGTCTGACTGAAGGTGACTTATAGCTATGTCATGCAAGTTGGTACCCTGTGTTAGAGCTGCATAAGAATACAACATATGTGGCAACAAAAATATGACCGTAGCATTATGATTTGCCTACGCTACTGTAAATTGCCATTCACGTTAATTTATAATTTTAAGCCCATACACATATATATATATATATATATATATATATATATATATATATATATATATATATATAACACATTAACGAATTGCACCCAGGCAAGTACCAACAATTTTGTCAGCTAAAGGTGGAGTGCAAAGTTATTTTTTGAATTATATATGTATATATTGTAATGGATCCTCTATACTCCGACTGAGTACATCCGTTGTAAGTCTCCTAAATCCCAAGTGAAACAGTGATCAGAGCCCTTGGTTACCCAAACATTAACCAAGACTTGATGAAGGGTACAACAGGAATATATTCTTAATGGGACATGGTACAGCCAAGTTATACACAGACGCCCAAGCAGTGGGTCTTCATACAATTACACACAAACTCTGTGTGCCTCTGTGTATCTCCCTGTATCTCCCTGTGCCTTTGAGATAATTGAGTCAGGAACTCAATTGTCTCCCAGGTACAAAAAAAAAAGCATACAATCTTAAAACACCTCAAAAGTACATTTTCAATTTCAAAAGGGGTTAACTGATTGCATGGAAGGTCAGAGCTTACAACCCAAGTTCCTCTTTGAAGATGGGACTCGAACAGAGCTGCAAGGTGTGAGAAGTCTCACATGAGTGGCCTAGAAGTCTGGGCTCTGCACAAACCAACTCTCACATGTGCCATATTTCTTGCTTGCCTCTCAGATAGGAAGTCCAATGATATGGTAATGCTCATTAGCTTTCAAGAAGAAAAAGAAACCCTTGTGAATTAATATCTTATCCAAAAGAGGCATTTTCTTAACCTAATTATCCCCCAAGCGTTAGAGTTACGGATCATAAAACTTAAACTGTTAAATATACATTCCACACATATAGGAACCCTAAATATAAACCAGGGAAATGTCTTGTGAATAGAAGGCAAAGTATTAATTTTGGCACAAAGTATATGGCCCATAGCCGGTGGGCTAGCTTCCACACTCCTCCAGGAGTTTGTGACAAACGTCCAGGGTAAGGAGCATTCGTCTCATATCTTCACCCTCCTGGGGAGACTAACCAGACCCCAGACCTCCAATCGGTCTGGATCTGTGTTAGTTGGGTGGCTTTTTTTCCAAAAAGTGCAGGGATCCAGAGGGCCTCCTGCCCCAAGCTTCAATTTGTATATCAAGGGTTTTTCTGAGAAGGGCAACAGCTCAAATCCTTTCCTGAGGCCCAACGGTTGTTATGGTATAGCTGCTGGGGGGGGCTGAAGCAACTATCCGCTCCCTGGCTGGGGGGTTGGGGATCTGGGCCAACCGCTCAGCATCATTGTGTTCTAGATGTGGGGACCACAGTCCCGTCCACACCTCCCGTTAGGGATCAACCGATTATCGGTCTGGCCGATATTAGTGGTCTGGCCGATATTATCGCCCGATATTCAGTATTTTCGGCAATATCTGTATTGGCCAATAAAGATACCGATATTGCCGATAATACATACCAGGACCGCCGGGCCTATTACAACCCTGGCGGTCCTGGGGGACTCGCAGCAAGCACCTTCTTAGCTTTCCAGCAGCTCCCTTCAGCTCCCAGTCTGAATCTCACGAGTCCCGCAACTGTCTGAGCGCTGCTTAATTTCTCTTTATCTATATGCTTGATGCTTAAATGGTGGCTTTCTGGTGGGTTCACTATTTGACTAAGCTACATGACGTTATAAAATTTCATAATTAGCATTCATTCTCAGTGCATAAATTTATAAATATAAAAAGGTTTTTTACATATACAGTATCTCACAAAAGTGAGTACACCCCTCACATTTTTGTAAATATTTTGTATCTTTTCATGTGACAACACTGAATAAATGACACAGTATTGGAGACCGTATCTTCAGAAGGATATTGATACCTTAGAGAGGGTTCAGAGAAGGGCTACGAAACTGGTTCATGGATTGTGGGATAAAACTTACCAGGAAAGGTTAAAGGATCTTAACATGTATAGCTTGGAGGAAAGACGAGACAGGGGGGGATATGATAGAAACATTTAAATATATAAAGGGAATCAACACTACCACAACAAGAGGACATAGTCTTAAATTAGAGGGACAAAGGTTTAAAAATATCAGGAAGTATTACTTTACTGAGAGGGTAGTGGATACATGGAATAGCCTTCCAGCTAAAGTGGTAGAGGTTAACACAGTAAAGGAGTTTAAGCATGCGTGGGATAGGCATAAGGCTATCCTAACTATAATATTAAGGCTAGGGACTAATGAAAGTATTTAGAAAATTGGGCAGACTAGATGAGCCGAATGGTTCTTATCTGCCGTCACATTCTGTTTCTATTTTTCTATGTAACACACGGCCATTAATGTCTAAATAATTGGCAACAAAAGTGAGTACACCCCTAAGTGGAAATGTCCAAATTGGGTCCAAAGTGTCAATATTTTGTGTGGCCAGCATTATTTTCCAGCACTGCCTTAACCCTCATGGGCTTGGAGTTCACCAGAGCTTTACAGGTTGCCACTGGAGTCCTCTTCCACTCCTCCATGACGATATCACGGAGATGGTGGGTGTTAGAGATCTTGCGCTCTCCCAACTTCCGTTTGAGGATGCCCCACAAATGCTCAATAGGGTTTAGGTCTGAAAATATGCTTGCCATTCCATCACCTTTACCTTCAGCTTCTTTAGCAAGGCAGTGGCCGTGTTTAGGGTCATTATGTTTGAATACTGCCCTGCAGCCCAGTCTCTGAAGGCAGGGGATCATGCTCTGCTTCAGTATGTCACACTACATGTTGGCCTTCATGATTCCCTCGAAGAACTGTAGCTCCCCAGTGCCGGAAGCTCTCATACAGGCCTAGACCATGATACTCCCACCACCATGCTTGACTGTAGGCAATACACACTTGTCTTTGTACTCCTCACCTGGTTGCCGCCACACACACTTGACACCATCTGAACCAAATAAGTTTATGTTGGTCTCATCGGACCACAGGACATGGTTCCAGTAATCCACGTCATTACTCTGCTTGTCTTCAGCAAACTATTTGTGGGCTTTCTTGTGCATCATCTTTAGAAGAGGCTACCTTCTGGGACGACAGCCATGCAGACCAATTTGATGCAGTGTGTGGCGTATGGTCTGAGCACTGACAGGCTGACACCCCACCTCTTCAACCTCTGCAGCAATGCTGGCAGCACTCATACGTCTATTTCCTCAGGACAACCTGTGGATATGATGCAGAGTACGTGCACTCAACCTCTTTGGTCAACCACGACGAGGCCTGTTCTGAGTGGAACCTGTCCTGTGAAACCGCTGTATGGTCTTGCCCACCATGCTGCAGCTCAGTTTCAGGGTCTTGGCAATCTTCTTATAGCCTGGGCCATCTTTATGTAGAGCAACAATTCTTTTTTTTTTAGGATCCTCAGAGAGTTCTTTGCCATGAGTTGCCATGTTGAACTTCAAGTGACCAGTATGTGAGAGTGTGAGAGCGATAACACCAAATTTACACACCTGTTCCCCATTCACACCTGAGACCTTGTAACACTAATGAGTTACATGACACCGGGGAGGGAAAATGGCTAATTGGGCCCAATTTGGACATTTCCACTTAGGGGTGTACTTTTGTTGCCAACAGTTTAGACATTTTAACCCCTTAAGGACACATGATGGAAATATTCCGTCATGATTCCCTTTTATTTCTGAAGTTGTGTCCTTAAGGGGCTGTGTGTTGTTATTTTGAGGGGACAGCAAATTTACACTGTTATACAGGCTGTACACTTACTACTTTACATTGTAGTAGAGTGTCATTTCTTCAGTGTTGTCACATGAAAAGATATAATAAAATATTTACATAATTGTGTGTAATGTACTCACTTTTTTGCACAGTTCTTCGTGTGTGTGTGTGTATATGTATATATATGTGTGTATGTATGTATGTATATGTGTGTGTGTGTGTATATATATATATATATATATATATATATATATATATATATATATATATATATAATATAATATATTATGGTTAATGCAATGCATTAACAATTAAACAGCTGTCTATGAGTGGTTCACTGGCTTTGCACATCTTCCTGAGTTGTATACAGCAGACATAAACTCCATGTATAACCTGGAATAATAAGACAAAAAGGTGGTTTGTTGTTTAACTAATTTGCATATGTTCACCCAGAATCTCTTGTAGCAGTAACAACACTGCAAATGTGAAATTTCTGTGGGAAAAGCAAGTCTTATGGTTTGACTGGTGTGTGTGCAGATCTGTGTTTAACTATGTATTGAGTATTTAATATGTATATAAAATATTTTTCATCCATTATTGTTTATAGATATGCCATTCACAACTCTGGAATTGCATTCTCTGTCAAAAAAGTAAGTGGCCAAATCCTATATAGTGACTAGGATCTCTTTACTTTTTTTTATAATTGCATTTTAGATTAATCTAAAGCAAATACAGTGCAATGTTTAAGGAAGACCACACTCCCTATAGAATCCCTATGGGATATATTTATTTAAATCTTCTGATGTGTTTTATATGCTATGTTTGACCGTGTGGTGGTACTCTCTGTGATATAGGTAGCTATAGGCATTGCTGAGCCTTCATCGGGTCAAAACACACAGAGGTTTGTTTAGTAATTATAAAAGTAGAGTAAACTGAAAACAGAATAGCACAATTTGTGCAAAATGTGCCACCTGAAAATTTTCTCCTGCTCTGTTAGTCATTTTAATTTTTTTAAACTTACATTTTGCAATTTGGTATGCTATAGTTCAATATTTAGGGGAAGGTGTGGGGACCTCTGCAAATACTCACTGTAGATCTTTTCTTTGATCTATCTCCTTTCTGCCAGTTTGTCAAATGATCTTGCACTCATACCTGTAAAACCAACTTTGAGTGGTTACCCAACCTAAGATATATACCCTGTCCCCAGCCTCTAACATAAAGCTATACAGCCTCATTTAAGGCATTAAACCTTATAATTTAACAATCATCCTGTATTGATGACCAGGCCCTCCCAATTCACCACCCGAGATCCCTGTATTGACCACACATAGGGAAATGACCTGGGATGACCCCATGCAGGTCAAACTTCAGTTTACTCTAAGTTTAGCTTCTACATTACAACACAAAAATGTTAGTTCATAAAGTGTATGTTTATCACACAGATTGTCTCAAAGCATTGTTGTGAAAAAACCTGTCTCAACGACCACTACTACACCCTGTTCCAAATTATTATGCAAATTATTTTTAAGTGTCACAAAGTTTGAGTTTAACTCATGGATGGCATTGTGTCTCAGGGCTCTTTTGATCATTGAAAACAATCTCGGACAACTGTGATAATTAGATTGCCAGGTGAGCCCAATTTAAGGAAAAACTACTAAAGGAGGGTGTTCCACATCAGTAAGCAGAGCACCATTATCATGCAATATGGCGAAGAAAAAGGATCTCTCTGCTGACGAAAAGAGTGAAATAGTTCAATGCCCTGGACAAGGTATGAAAACATTAGATATTTCACGAAAACATAAGCATGATCATTGCACTATTAAGAGATTTGTGGCTGATTTAGAGCACAGACGGGCTTGTGCAGATAAAGGCACATTGAGGAAGATTTCTGCCAGATCCATGCATCATATCAAGAGAGCAGCTGCTAAAATACCATTACATAGCAGCAAACAGATATTTGAAGCTGCTGGTGCCTCTGGAGTCCCACGGACATCAAGGTGTAGAGTCCTCCAGAGTCTTGCAACTGTGCATAAACCTTCTATTCGCCCACCACTAACCAATGATCACATGCAGAAATGGCTGCATTGGGCAGAAAAATACACGAAGACTAATTTTCAAACAGTCCTGTTCTCTGATGAGTGCCGTGCAACCCTGGATGGTCCAGATGGATGGAGTAGTGGATGGTTGGTGGACGGCCACCCTGTTCCAACAAGGCTGCGATGTCAGCAAGGCGGTGGTGGAGTCATGTTTTGGGCCAGAAGGTGTAAAGATGACCTCTGCAAAGAATGTGGAGTTTCTGACTGACCACTTTCTTCTCTGGTACAGAAGGAAGAACTATGCTTTCCGTAATGAAATCATCTTCATGTATGACAATGCACCATCTCATGCTGCAAAGAATACCTCTGCATCAATGACTGCTATGGGGATACAAGGAGAGAAAGTCATGGTGTGGCCTCCATCCTCCCCTGACCTCAATCCTATTGAGAACCTTTGGAGCATCCTCAAGCAAAAGATTTATGACGGTGGGAGGCAGTTTACATCCAAACAGCACCTCTGGGAGGCCATTCTGACATCTTGCAAACAAATTCAAGAAGAAACTGTCCAAAAACTCACAAGTTCGATGGATACAAGACTTGTGAAGCTGCTATCAAATAAGGGGTCCTATGTTAAAATGTAACGTGACCTGTTAAAATGTTTAAAAAGGTAAAATGTTGTTTTAAGTTTGGTTGAAATACCTTTTGATTTCAGTAAATATGCTGCAAACACAACTAATGACAATTTTCAGTTCTTTACAACCTATAAAGTGTTTTGAAACTTACTGTGCGTAATAATTTGGAACAGTGCATTGGAAGTTTTTTATGTTTAAAAAAAAACAAAACAATACTGTTATCATTAGGTTTGTTAAATAAAATTTGAATTGTACTCTTAATAGTTGATAACATGAGAATTATGCTGACTGTTATTTACATCAATTATTTAGGTAAATGAGAAAAATATCATTTGCATAATAATTTGGAACAGGGTGTATGTATTATGAAATGTTTTCTGCTATCTTTTGAAAGAGAGTCAGACAGTCTTCCAGGACACTTCCTCTGCACACAGTTTATTTTCGATCTTAAGGTTTTTCTTTAGCCTGATTTTATCTTTTACCTTTTAAAAACATTTTTATTACCTCTACCATCTCAACCGATAACTTAAACGTGTGTGAAAAGATTGGAATGCCTGAGCACCAGCCAGTGTCATGCTCTATTAGCTAATGCACAAGAGTTCTGTATAGCCCAATTACACTAATGCTAATTATAGTTATGTTTCTAGTTAATCAACCAACTTAGTAATATATAAAAATATTTCTCTATCAACAAGAATTATGTGACCTGTAAAGTGCATCACTCTTGCTAACTATGCTGATATATCCTGGTACAAGTTTATTTTTTGTCTGTATGTTGCTATCATCTAAATAAAACAGAGTTTAAATCTGTAAGAAATATATATTAATGCAGTGGCAAGGTTAGCATAATTGATTGATGAAGCAACTACAGTTATAGATAGAGGTCACCAAAATGGACCTAATCACATCTCTTTAAAGGACCACTATAGTGCCATTAAAACAGACTTGTTTTCCTGGCACTATAGTGCCCTGAGGGTGCCCCCACCCTCAGGGACCCACTCCCGACTGGGCTGAGGGGGGAGGAAGGGGGTTAAACACTCACATTTCTCCAGCGCTGGGCTCCTTCGGCACTGAGTACTCTCCTCCCTCTTCTGATATCATCAGCTGAATGCACATGCACGGCAAGAGCCGCGCGCCCATTCAGCCAGTCCATAGCAAAGCATTCTCAATGCTTTCCTATGGACGCTGGCGTCTTCTCACTGTGAAAATCACAGTGAGTAGCGCGGAAGCGCCTCTAGCTGCTGTCAATGAGACAGCCACTAGAGGCTGGATTAACCCATATGTAAACAAAGCAGTTTCTCTGAAACTGCCATCTTTACAGCAGGCAGGGTTAACCCTAGATGGACCTGGCACCCAGACCACTTCATTGAGCTGAAGTGGTTTGGGTGCCTATAGTGGTCCTTTAAATATAGAATTGTTTAATAGACTATAAGTAGAGGAGAGGAAGAGTCTGAGCAGCAACCCTAAAAGGGAATCCCTCACGAAACCCTTTGTGAAACAAGGAGGTACAAAACAAGGGGTGAAGGGCTGCGCTTTAACTAAAAAGAGTAAAAGGGATAAAAACAATTAAAGTTCAGCCGAATAAATAAAAAATATATAAATTTAAAACAGTCTCACTGGTGTGCAGTGATGTAATATAAGTCCTCAAGTGTCGCTCCGTCCTTATGATAGGTAGTCCATATATGTGAAGACAAAAATAAGAGAACAAGGCTTCCAATGGTGAAATATTGTATGTCCAAAATGTGGTATATATTCAAAGGAAAGGTATTTAACTCACATTTGTTGGAGCTCTAACCAGCTCTAGGAGAAGAGGCACTTAGTGGTTTAATCCCCACTATCGGATATACTTAAACGGTTGGTCCGTTCGTCCGGCTTGAGGTTTCTTTGGTGTAGGCTAGGACCTACTCAGATGTGCGTATTCGTTATGCTGGGGAGATAGGTCCGCCTTTCCGGTGTTAAATAGTAGATGTCCACGAGATATATAAAACAGCAGATAGTGCTCTCAGTGTGAACAACACAGTAATATGTTAAAATAAAACTTAGAAAAATAGAGCAGACAAGTACTGCTCTATTGCCATAGCGCTGGTGGAATTATCCCCACCTCAGGATTTCTTTGGACGGGATATACTTCGGTAGTAAAAAATAAAATCGTAAAAGTATAATATAAAATAAAAATAATAATATAAAAATATAAAAATGCCAGGAGTAAAAATAAATAAAAAGTGTGTAAAGTACAATAAAAATAAGTATAAAGTTGGTCCTATAATGAAGGGTAACCAAAAATAACTTTTATTGACTAAAATACACTTATTACAACCATTTACGCGTTTCACCTTTAAGGTTTTTTAACAAAGGAAGACAGAATTCCGGAAGCACAAATTGATTTTATTTTAGAGGGTATTAACATCATTTTAAAAAACAATTATTTTTGGTTCTTAGATTCTTTTTACCTTCAGAGAAGAGGGACTGCTATGGGTACCAGGTTTGCCCCTAGCTACGCCAATCTATTCATGGCAGATTGGGAATCAACAGCTATCTATAACGGAGACAACCTAAGGGCAAACCTGGTCTCATATTTTAGATACTTCGATGACCTCTTTTTTATTTGGAATGGATCGGAAGATACTTATCTCTTTTTTTAATGCTCTTAATACCAACAACAGGGGCATAATTTTAACCCATGATTTTAGCAAAGAACAAATAAACTTCCTAGATCTCAATATATTTATTAAAAATGGGAAAATCAACACAAAAACCTTTTTTAAAGAAGTCTGTGTCAATACAGTTATCGACAAAAATAGTTGCCACTACAAACCGTGGCTTGACAGTGCCCCGAAAAGCCAATTCCTCAGATTACGCAGAAACTGCACAGAATTAGAAAACTTTGAAGAACAAGCTAATGCCCTTAAAAATAAATTCATGGAGAAAAACTACCCAGAAAAACACCTACTTGAAAACATTAATGAGATAAAAAAATAAAAACAGAGACGAGTTTTTAAAGTATAAACCTAAAATCAAAAATGATTCTATACATCTTCCTATTATTTTTAACTATACCAATAAAAGTAAAGAAATAAGAAAAACCATTCAGAAACACTGGCACATTTTGGAGCATGATGAAAAACTCTCTAAAATTATTCCAGAAAAACCGAGTATAATTTTTAGAGTAGCTCCTAATGTTAAATCCATTTTAACCACCAATTTTACCAAAGAACCTAAACCAAGTAGTTCTGTAACTTTCTTCCCTCAATCTTCAGGTTTTCATAAATGTAAGAATTGTATTGTATGTAAAACAGCTGATCCTACAATGCCACCTAAAATTACACATTTTATCTCAAATAAAACTAAAACTACTTTCAAAATAAAAGAATTTATTACGTGCAACACTAAGAATGTCATCTACTTACTGGAATGCCCGTGTGGCTTCCAATACGTTGCGATGACCACCAGATGTCTAAAAATAAGATTAGGTGAGCATTGTAGGAACATAAAAAACGGTTTTCTAAACCACTCCCTATCAAAACATTTTTTAATTCACAATAAAGATTCCAGAATGTTAAAATACATGGGAATAAAGAAATGCTCTATACCTTGGAGAGGAGGAGATATAAAAAACATTTTAGGTAAAACAGAGATGGAATGGGTCTATAAGTTACAGACCCTAACACCAAATGGACTTAATGCAGATTTTGACCTGCATAATTGTTTATGATAAGTCCCCTTTAAATTACATCTCCTCCTCATAACCAACCTTTTTATTTTATTTTATTTTAATATACTCATCCAATATTTCACCAAATCTTCATACTTTCCTACATCTATTTTTATTTTTATTTTATTCAATCCATTTTATTCTTAATTGAGTGTTTTAAAAACCATTTTTTATCAAAACCATCAATATTTTTATTATTTATTATCTTTCACCAATTTTTATTAATACCCAAATTCTAAGTGCTGTTTTCTGCTTTCTATATGCAAATGTAAGACTGTATATTGCAGGTCTTAATTAGAAATATATTTTTACTATTATGGGGCCTTTTTTCGATTGTATAATAAGATTCCCCATTCATAATTCATTGTAGAAGTGCCCAGTGACCGGCTGGACTCCATATCCCAATAAGCATTGCGTCCTTAGCTGGCCACCGGGCACTCCGTTCAAACCAGGAAGTGATCCGCTGAAAAAAATGATTTGCGCATGCGCGCCGCGTCCCGATCATGTGATCGGGACCAATTGGAAAGAACTCTTTTAAAGCTTCGTTTTTATAAAATTTATATCTCCTAAGCCTAACTAGGCTTATACCAATGCACTAATAATGTTGTAATGTTATTTTGAAATGTATTTAAAATTTTGTTTTTAATCTTGTTTATGATTGGTGCATTAAATTTTGGCGCCATTTCTAAACCTCTGTAAACTTATATATTCAGTTCCTTGCCAGGTGTACTGTCATTTTACCATTTTGAAAAAACCTTAAAGGTGAAACGCGTAAATGGTTGTAATAAGTGTATTTTAGTCAATAAAAGTTATTTTTGGTTACCCTTCATTATAGGACCAACTTTACACTTATTTTTATTGTACTTTACACACTTTTTATTTATTTTTACTCCTGGCATTTTTATATTTTTATATTATTATTTTTACAATTATTTTTATTTTATTTTATATTATACTTTTACTATTCTATTTTTTACTACCGAAGTATATCCCGTCCAAAGAAATCCTGAGGTGGGGATAATTCCACCAGCGCTGTGGCAATAGAGCAGTACTTGTCTGCTCTATTTTTGTAAGTATAACTTATTTTAACATATTACTGTGTTGTTCTCACTGAGAGCACTATCTGCTGTTTTATATATCTCGTGGACATCTACTATTCAACACCGGAAAGGCGGACCTATCTCCCCAGCATAACGAATACGCACATCTGAGTAGGTCCTAGACTACACCAAAGAAACCTCAAGCCGGACGAACGGACCAACCGTTTAAGTATATCCGATAGTGGCGATTAAACCACTAAGTGCCTCTTCTCCTAGAGCTGGTTAGAGCTCCAACAAATGTGAGTTAAATACCTTTCCTTTGAATATATACCACATTTTGGACATACAATATTTCACCATTGGAAGCCTTGTTCTCTTATTTTTGTCTTCACATATATGGACTACCTATCATAAGGACGGAGCGACACTTGAGGACTTATATTACATCACTGCACACCAGTGAGACTGTTTTAATTTATATATTTTTTATTTATTCGGATGAACTTTAATTGGTTTTTATCCCTTTTACTCTTTTTAGTTAAAGCGCAGCCCTTCACCCCTTGTTTAATAGAGTATAGTCTAAGCATCCTATTCCATATTTATGTAAAACATATTTATTTAAATGGTTGAGGAATTAAATTTTTCCTATTTTATAGTTTGTTTTTTTGGTGAATTATTTGGGTTTTGCATCTTTATATAGTTTTTCTTTTGAGAAATTTAAAAACTAGTTATGTCATCATAACATATACTGTAAATGACCAAGCCAATTTTAAAGGGAAAGACTAAACATCGTGTTTGCTAGTGTGCTAATTGTAAAAATATTTACTTATTTTCTGTGGCTTTGTTACATTCTAATTTTCAGTTGTTTATTTTTACTGAGGTTGTATGGATGATATGATCATACATCTGTAAGGCCAGATTTTTCACTTTAAAGTTCATAAGAACTGTTACTGTGTATGCAGTGTAACCATAGTTGGTTTCTATGTAGTTCGGAGGAAGTATTTTTTTCTTTAAAGGGAAACTATAGGCACCAAGACCACTTCAGTTCATTGAAGTGGTCTGGGTGCAGTGTCTCAGGTCACTTAACCTTGCAAAGGTAAACTCCACTTCTAGTGGCTGTCTACCAGACTGCCACTAGAGGGACTTTGGGTCGTTAGTTGACTTTTAATCGCCTAACTGATGCTGGAAGTCCTCATGCTATGCATGTGCCTTAGGCCTCCCCCCACCGGCAGAGCTAGACTCTGGTAAGTGACAGAAGGGTTTTTAACTTCTTCTGCACCACAGATGGGGGCCACCAGATAGGGGGGTACTTTAGGGAGCTATAGTGCTAGGAAAACAACTTTGTTTTCAGGACACTTTAGTTTCCCTTTAAGGGCTTGGTTCTAACTTATTTACAATGAAGTACCATTGTTTTTAAATGTGGATAGGGGATCTTGGATTGTCTAGGAGTATCCTGTAACTTCCTGAATGAAATGGGAAATACTGATGATGAACCTGTATACAATTTGTTTATTATATGCATTGTCTTCATAATGCAATTAAATAATTGTCTCTTAAATAGATTTAAATCTGCCCGATTTGAAGGCACATAATATTTTGGTTACTGTGCACTACCATTTTATTCTCTTCTGGCCGAAATGTTTGCAGTTTGCCATTCTGTGGAATTATTTTGGCTGATGATTTGTGACTAGTTAGCTTTGCAGTGTTAAAGGGACACTATAGTCACCAGAATAACTACAGCTTATTGAATTTGTTCTGGTGAGTAGAATCATTACCTTCAGGCTTTTTGTTGTAAACACTGTCTTTTCTGAGATAATGCAGTGTTTACATTACAGTCTAGTGATAACTTCACTGGCCACTCCTCAGATGTCTGTTTGAGATCCTTCCTGGGTCATGGCTGCCTAAAATGCATCCAAACATACAGTATCTCCTCCCTCTGCATGCAGACACAGAACTTTCCTCATAGAGATTCATTGATTCAATTGATCTCTATGAGGAGATGCTGATTGGCAAGGGCTGTGTTTGACTCATGCTGGCTCTGCCCCTGATCTACCTCTTTGTCAGTCTCAGCCAATCCTATAGGAAAGCATTGTGATTGGATCAGGCTACCACTTCTGATGATGTCAGCAGACAGCTTGTTTTTCTGAGGCAGACAGGGCAGAGCCAGCAGCTTCAGGCTTGAATACAGTAAGATTTTTACTATATTTATGGAGGCATGAGAGGTTCAGGAGGGTTGGTGGTGGATTTAACACTATGTTTGTGTTCCTGACCCTATAGTGATCCTTTAACTGCCCATTGCCAAATCATAATGTACGTAAGAAAAGTAGACTCTACATTTTCTTACGCATAACTAAAAACTAAGGTACATTTTATAAAAATGAATGGGAATAGAATAAAAATAATTAAATGCATTTAAGGTGTTTTTTTTTTTTTTTTTTTAACCACCCTTGTGATTTATCCAGCAAGGAGAGACAATGGCAGATGTGAGAACATTATCAAATGCAACTACAGTAGATAATATCCGGTCTACATTTGGAAACGCTGTCAGCAGGTACTCTGCAATATGCTATTAGTGTGAATATCAATTTTATGAAATTATAAATTTCGTTGTATTAGTCATTTAAAATTGAAGGAAGGTGTTTAAAATTGCCTAATAAATGTAAAAGAGAAAATGTTACGTTGTCATCGCTATTTTACTACATTTAGAATGTAGTCATGCAGCACATATTCCTTTTGCAATAAAAAGTTTGTGTTTTTGATTGATTTTTTTTGTTTTCAATCATGTTCTAAATGTTCTTTTACACATATTCTAAATATTTTTTTACATTAATACATTGAGTTATATAAATAATAGCTCAATTGTGATAATCACACCTATGGCTGTGAGGTTGATGCTCTGTTATATCACTATCCAATGAAGCACATCTCTTGCATGTCAATTCACCCAGTAGATTCAGTGACTGTAGCAGGTGGTCGTTTCATTTACAGTTCACACACCACTGTCTGCTGGAGTATGACCCAGAGCTGCCTCTGTGATGAATTATAAAATCATGCACACTCTGGTCTTTTGTAAGCAGCAAGGCAGAGGTGTGTGTGCACTGGAAAAATGTATACACCTCTCCCTGCAGTTGCTAGACACATGTGGTTATGGACAGATTACCCAGAAAAACTGATTAGTAGCACCAGTCATTAAAAATAATCTGCTGCTGGAGAGAGTTCAGACTAAATCAAACATTTGTTCCTGAGGAAAATATTAAAACAAGCTTTAACTTAAAGGACCACTATAGTGCCAGGAAAACATACTAGTTTTCCTGGCACTATAGTGCCCTGAGGGTGCCCCCTCCCGCCGGGCTCTTTGGGGCAGAAGGGTTTAAACTTACCTCTTTCTCCAGCACCGGGCGGGAGCTCTCCTCCTCCTCGGCTGAATGCACATGCACGGCAAGAGCCGCGCGCGCATTCAACCAGTCTCATAGGAAAGCATTCACAATGCTTTCCTACGGACGCTGGCGTTATCTCACTGTGATTTTCACAGTGAGAAGCACGCAAGCGCCTCTAGCGGCTGTCAGGGAGACAGCCACTAGAGGCTGGATTAACCCTAATACAAACATAGCAGTTTCTCTGAAACTGCTATGTTTATAGAAAAAAGGGTTAATCCTGGCTGGACCTGACACCCAGACCACTTCATTAAGCTATAGTGGTCCTTTAACAAATGGATGCTTTGATGGGTCTGTGTCACATACTGTATATCAGTAAGCCATGTTTTATAAATTTCAAGTGTGTTTATTGCTTTTGCTATTACTGCTAAAGTACCAGGAACTTATCTATCCTTATACAATTAGGAAAGTGCCTATTTCAGTAACGCAATTAATTTTTAATGATGCATATTATGGACATTTTTAGAATTACTTCATGATCCAATCTTTCATTTGAATTTGGATCCACAATACTGATATAGCTGCTTCTGTGCAGTATTTGGTAAAGTAACTTTGCAGTAACTTTAATTGAAGATTAATTATCATCTAATGGGAAAAAGAGCATGATTTACATCTAAGGAACTGGGGTTGTGAATGTATGTACTGTACAACTATTGGGTCTATTCACTAAAGTGAGAATTCAAGGTGTTTTCAAAGTGAATTTAAAATTTAAGATGAAATTATCCAAACTTGAAAGATTCTCCAAATCAGCTATACTTTCCGCTCAAGTTACGCTAGCCTTCTATTTTAAATATACCTTCCATTTTCACTTTAGTAAACATCCCTGTGTATGTGTTCAAAATAATAGTTTATATATACAGAGTTCAACATTTACACTCGCTACTAATAATTGGCTAATAAGTAATTGGCTAATAATTTAGTGTGCGTGCGTGCGCGCGCACGCATACATACATACATACCGTGGGGGGGAAAAAGTATTTGATCCCCTGCTGACTTTGAACATGTGCCCACCGACAAAGAAATTAAGTCTATAATTTTAATGGTAGATGTATTTTAACAGTGAGAGACAAAATAACAAAAGAAAAATCCAGAAAAACGCATGTCAAAAAAGTTATAAATTGATTTGCATGTCAATGAGTGAAATAAGTATTTGACACCTTCGATTTAGTACTTGGTGGAAAAACCCTTATTGGCAATCACAGAGGTCAGACGTTTCTTGTAGTTGGCCACCAGGTTTGTATACATCTCAGGAGGGATTTTGTTCCACTCCTCTTTGCAGATCCTCTCCAAGTCATTAAGATTTTGAGGCTGACGTTTGGAAACTCGAACCTTCGGCTCCCTCCGCAGATTTTCTTCTAGGCCACTCCAGGACCTTAATGTGCTTCTTCTTGAGCCACTCCTTTGTTGCCTTTGCTGTGTGTTTTGGGTCATTGTCATGCTGGAATACCCATCCATGACCCATTTTCAATGCCCTGGCTGAGGGAAAGAGGTTCTCACCCAGGATTTGACGGTATATGGCCCCATCCATCGTCCCTATGATACTGTGTAGTTCTCCTGTCCCCTTAGCATAATGTTTCCACCTCCATGTTTGACGGTGGGGATGGTGTACTTTGGGTCATAGGCCGCATTCCTCCACGGTGAGTTGAGTTGATGCCAAAGAGCTTGATTTTGGTCTCATCTGACCACAACACTTTCACCCAGTTTTCCTCTGAAATTTTCAAATGTTTATTGGCAAACTTCAGACTGGCCTGTACATGTGCTTTCTTGAGAAGGGGACATTGCAGGCGCTGCAGGATTTCAATATTTTACGGCGTAGTGTGTTACCAATTGTTTTCTTGGTGACTATGGCCACAGCTGCAATGAGATCATTAACAAGATCCTCCCGTGTAATTCCTCACTGTTCTCATGATCATTGAAACTCCACGAGGTGACATCCTGCATGGAGCACCAGACCGAGGGAGACTGACAGGTATTTTGTTTTTCTTCCATTTGCGCATAATCGCACCAACTGTTGTCACCTTCTCACCAAGCTGCTTGGCGATGGTCTTGTAGCCCATTCCAATCTTGTCCCTGACATCCTTTGACAGCTCTTTGGTCTTGGCCATGGTGGAGAGTTTGCAATCTAATTTACTGCTTCTGTGGTCAGGCAAATTTTTTTTTAAATTTTTTTTTTTTTTTTAATACAGGTAACGAGCTGAGATTAGGAGCAATCGATTTAAGAGAGTGCTCCTAATCTCAGCTTGTTACCTGTATAAAAGACACCTGGGAGCCAGAAATCTCGCTGATTGATAAGGGATCAAATACTTATTTCACTCATTGACATGAAAATCAATTTATAACTTTTTTGACATGCCTCCCTCTCCCTCGAAAAATATTTTAGGTTGGTGAGTAGAAATTCACCCCTGATGAGTGTGTTTTTAATTGCAGTGGCGACCAACTTTGTAGCCTGGCTACTGGCAAAGGACTTGAAAAATGTTAAGATTTTTTTTTTTTTACCCAAATCTGCGTTCCACAGTTTAGTAACAAATTTATGTTTTTTTTTGTTTTTTTTATCTCAGGGAATTAATAGAAGTGGGCTGTGAAGATCCAAAGCTAGCATTTAAAATGAAAGGTTATGTGACAAATGCCAACTATTCAATGAAGAAGTGCATTTTCTTGCTATTCATAAATGGTAAGTATGAGTAAACCAGCACTATAGCTTTGCTATAAAATGAGATGAAGATAGCAATACATTGGCCCCCACTGTTAAGTAGCACATACTTTATTTAGCACAGTTCAGTGTCGCATCCAAAAGTAAATGATAGGTATGAGCCTTACCATAGCTCTGTAACTATATATTTATATACTATCATACTTTAATTGTATTCACAGCACGTCTAGTTGAATCAAGCTCCTTAAAGAAAGCCATAGAGACTGTGTATGCTGCCTATTTACCAAAGAACACCCACCCATTTCTGTATCTGAGGTAAGAAGCGAAATTAAACTATAATTTCAGTTGTTTTCACAAAGTTTGTCAATGCTTAAATCAAGCATAGGAATCGGGATTGAGGTGTTGGCCCAGTCGTAGTAATTAAAGACTTACTCTAAGCATCATAACCACTACTGCCTACTGTAGTGGTTATGATGTCAGGAGTACCCTGGCCCGGTTCTACCATATTGGGACAAACCATTTAGGAGCGATTTTCTGGGCTCTGATGCTCCATGATGGTCCAGGGAACCTGTGGCCAACCCCCTTCATTGGCTGAGAGCATGACCTGTCTTTTCTCGGCTAATGAAGGCTATTATGTGCACAGAACTGATATGCCCGTAGCTCTAGTTCCAGACTGCTTGATGACACCCCAACAATGCTGCCAAAGGTGGAGTTACACCTCTGGTATCTGATTGGTTAAACTTTGTGTGTGCAGAGTTTTAAAGTGAAGCTTCTGTTGTAATGGTTATCATGTACGTTCACCCTTCGCTTCACAGTAAGATTTGATTGATGCTTGAATGCTTGAATGCTTTGTAAACAATATCCAAAAACCAATAAAGCACAACCTTTTCCTACTTTTAGTTTGCTATTGGATCGTGACTGAGAGAGGGCTAGTCAGTGCATCCTACACAAGTGTGTAGACCGTGTTGAAGGGCGTACTTGTGGTTCATATCCCTTCTGAAGTCATCAATATAATATAAAAGTACATGGGAATATTGCATCACAGACTGAGGACACAGTTGAAAAAACACTCAAACCTGTCATTATTTGGAAGGATGAGCGGGACTAAAATGTTACCTTAACAGCAGCATTAAAGAAGTAAATTTATGTCAGTCAGCCTAAAAAAAAGGTTGCCATGACATTCCTATTTAGTGGTTGTTCAGCATAACAGATACAAAAAGGAAAAGGCTTACTATTGATAGCTTTATTTATATATTTTTTGGCCTGTTTGTATTTCTTTTAGCCTTGATATTGTCCCTCAGAATGTTGATGTGAATGTGCACCCAACAAAGCATGAGGTACATTTCCTGCATGAAGACAGCATTATTGAGAAAGTGCAGCAGCACATAGAGACCAAATTGCTGGGATCCAATTCCTCTAGATTGTACTTCACACAGGTAAGGCACAGAAAATATGTTCTTCAATGGGTTTTGATAATTTTATTTCCTTATGTAACATTTGAAAATGCTATTTCTATTTTTCCCTTTATAAAAAGAAAAAAGTGGTGAAAGCAAGAAATATCAAAGTAAACTTTTGCCACTGACCTGGAGGAATTATAAAGATGTGTTTCTGACAGGATTAGAGTAAAGAAACCTGTTGCTTTGTTCACCAAACACTAGTGCTACCACAGTTTATTTGAAGGACATATTAAACAAAGGTTTTGGGGTAATCCCTTCCTCAATGCAGCATGCCCCTCCTCAACAGTGGGGGAGGGAGAGGGGGCTTTATGCTGCACAGGTATTACTGTTTATTTAGTCCTTTGCATTTTTTCTGGCATTATTACTAGTTCCTCATATATTTCTTCTTTTGTGTGGCCACAGGATTATTCACTAATGTGCAAATTCAAAGTAAATTTCAAATTTAAAGCCAAAGTGAAAAAAAAATGTTGGCTGTGCTTCCAGTTCACTAATTTGGCCCTAAATATGAATTTCTTGAATTTTCAGTAAAGTGTGAATTGTCAGTTGGAGTTATCCCGGCAACCGCTGGACTGACTCACCTCAATCCTCTGTACCTCGAAAGAAGATCACTATACTTTCCTAGATGTAGTGGATGAAGCTAAAATGGCAGATGGGCCTCCTCAGACAGAACAGACACCTACGCCAACAGTGGAACCTGTGGTGACTTCACTACTAGCATCCTACTGAAACTAGAGTTCTGGGGCAAGATAGAGAGGTGCGTCACAGCTTCTCCTTAACGGCCTACAGAGAAAAAACTGCGTCAGATGCATGCTCCCGGGACACAATTAGCCCACAAGCCTCAGCTATTCTCCTCTCGGTCCCACCTAGGCTGATGCCTACAGAGGGCATGACTCCACGAATCCACCACACCAGCAGGGGTCCGATACAATCAAGACCGGGTCCATCTGCTGTTTCCCACACGGGGAGGACTGGGCTTCTCTGACACCCCTTGTCCGTGGGCAGAGGATGCTGGCTCATGAGCAGGCTTAGGGCAGGAGAGATGCGCTACCACGACCCCGCCATGCAGGCCTCTATGCTGCACACCCTGACCATGTATAATGCATACCAAGAGCTGGAGTCAGTTGAAGCTCCACCTTGGGAAACCAGAGTATTTATTTAAAGGACATAAAAGACAGACAGCTGCCTGTCTTTTATGTCCTTTAAATAAATACATGTTAAAACAGTGGTGCACACTACAATTGGAAGCGCAGCCCTCATTTTTTTTCTATGTTTATTCTCTTACATCTCAGGATTGTTTGTACTATGGGAAGTGAATGGAAAAATCCAGATAGAAAGCATTTAATTACAAGAAAATATTTTGAAAATGTGCTCTACAATAAAAAGAAAAGACATCAAAGACATGGCAGACATTGCCATTGCCCAATTAACCCAGAATGCTATTCTTCCTATAGGCAACCCTACTAGCCTTAAGGATGCAATGAATTACAGTCTATTGGACTAGTCATGTAGCCAGAAGGGCTATATGACTTGGGCCCTGGAAAGCTGACTCAGCCTTTTAAAATGCAATGTGTGTGTAATATCCTTTGGATGGGATAAACTGTAAAGGCTAGGCTTTTTAAACAAATTGTAGAAAGCAACAACTTTTCTACAAGAAATTTTTTTTATATATATATATATTTATTTATTTTTTCCTATAGCCCAGAATGTAGGATTTCTTTCTACAACAAAGTTTCAGGAACAACAGATGCCAGGCCTTTACACCTGATGAAACAAGTGATAGATTTCAAAAGACCAAGGAAAGAGGGACACAATTTTCATGCTCGACTTTCAGTAAGCATTCTTAGTTTCGCCGGCATCCTATCTATATGACACGATGCTGAGGAATAGTGAATGGAAGCATTGCAAGATCAGGTGAGAATTGTGAGGAAATTACTTTGACCACGAGAATTGGGTCGTAGCTGGTCAAGCGTAGGAAACCTCCATAAGACAAAGTAGTCCCTACTTTGTCTTATGTTTTAAAGAAAAATAGAGCAGACAGGAAGAAAAGAATACGGTAGTACCTGAGAGAGGGGAGCAGAGGAAGCGATTGGGGAAAGGTAAGTTCGGCATGACGGTGCCGCTTTAATTATAAACCAGAGCACATTCCTATCTATTCACTAGTCTATTTCTGAAGGTCTTTGACCAAGAATAGTCTTGTTTTCTACTCCTCTGAAGGACTTTGATCTATTTTTAGTAAGGATTAATATAAAGAATAGCAGTATAAGGGTTAACATGTAGAAATATTTTTTTATATATCCTAAAGGAACACTTGCCTATTCCTTGTTTCACTGGACACAATTAAACCTCAAGGCTAACTCAACTGAGCGTTCTTTCTAACAGCACATTTTGTATCCAACAGTTCTGAGCACATGACTAAAAATTCATTTTTTTTTTCGTTTTGTGTGTTTAATTTCAAGGTTAAGAAGCTTGTTTTCACATTCTGTTGCAAGCCTATCAAAACATTATCCTTACACTTAATAAACTGAAGTTGTTATTCAGCGCACATGTGCATTTTCAGATTATGGCTTCCCGAGCTCAAGGGTGTGACAATCGAATCTGCGTGTCAGGTTTTCACTGCAGCAAAAAAATCTCACTGGATCAATCTTCCCCAACATTTACCATTGATTTAAAATATACTTGCCTCCCTATACAGAAAGTTTGCTCTGCCAGATGTCCAGGATGAGCATTACACACTTTGAAACTCTGCTCATTACCCTGTAGACTTGCATCTGCATCATGAGTCTTTTCAAAGATTGTTATAGTCCTGGCAGCATTTCTCAGAATAAAATTATTTAGATGATTGCCTTCTCATAAGCCATTCAAAATTCAACCTAGTTTTTTTTTCTAAAATAAGTCAGCTTTCCTGTCTTATCATAGATTCATAACAAGTGTTCTAGCAGAAACAGAAAAGCGATACATAGAGGAGTCCGTTGTCAGATTAAAATCCCTTCAATCCTGTTCCCAGCGCAATGCAGATACCAATTGACTGCATGCATCTACGTAGCTCCTTGGGATAAGGATGACCTCTTCAGTCAGATATTCTTTACAACTGGAATCTGGACACACTTCAGTCTAACCAACACAACCAGATGGTCACTGAATCATTGGTGAAATCTAAGGAACCTCCGCATGGGAAAATTAATTCCCTGCTCCACAATGGAAAATTGACTATAGATACCTCTTAATTTAGCTTGGAGCCCAGTTCAAAGATATTATGCTTCAGGGAAAATGAAATCAAGAAAATGACTCTATTGTCAAACTTCACAGAATTAAAGGCAATTGAATGCTCTTTGAAAGGATTCCAAGAAGAAAATATAAAGGTACATCAGATCTTGATAAACACTTTTACTGCCATCTCAAATGTAATTCCTCAAGGTGGAATAAGATCTTGTCTTTTATCTAGGACTGCTTCAGAAATTACTAAGTAGGTTAAAGTTAATTTGCTCAGTTTATCGCAAAACTGACCTTGATGGCCGAATCCTTAAGCAGAATAAATGTTCGTCGGGCATATGATTTCTTCAAAGACATTTTATAAAAAGTTTGTCACTCTAAAATTAGACATGATGTCCATAAGGTACAACACCAAGCTGCCTCAATTTAAATCGACAACTCAAAAGTTATCAATACTTTTTTCAATACTTGTGTATAGGGGAAAAGTTTACATATTCTCTTCCATATCTCTTATTCCCAGAAAAAGAAAACTTAAGATAGAGAAATCTGCAGTCATGATCACTCCCTTTTAACTGGAGAGCATTCATTTGAAAGTGTGGAATCTGAATTAGAAGTTCCATGAATATAGGGCCTAGATAAAGTTATAGATATAGTCATACAAAGGCTAGAAAGTCTTAAAACTAGGAACATTTTATCTTCAAATTTGGCAAAGATTCTCATTGCAGTCATTTTCCTCTCCTCTGCCAATATACCTTGCATTCTAAAATCCTACTCAATGTGTATCTTCCACACCGGAAGAATCTGCAGAAGTTACTCTAGATAAAGTCTGCAAAGCTGCAAAATTGTCTTTTCTACATACATAAACTTTACCAGCTAGACATCCTAGCCTCTGATTATGCTTCTATTGGATGGAATATTCTTCAAACCATTTTAAAAAGTTAATCCGGTCCCTCCCAGTATTTTCAGATTACATAGTTACATAGTTACATAGCTGAAAAGAGACTTGCGTCCATCAAGTTCAGCCTTCCTCAGAAATGTTGTTGCTGTTGATCCAAAAGAAGGCAAAAAACCTGGTCTGAAGCACTTCCAATTTTGCCACAAACTAGGAAAAAATTCCTTCTTGACCCCAAAATAGCAGTCAGATGTCTCCTTGGATCAATCAGCTATTACCCCACTAATTAGAAATTATATCCCTGTATGTTATGTTTTTGTAAGTATTTATCCAATTTCAGTTTAAACATCTGTATGGACTCTGACAAAACCACCTCTTCAGGCAGAGAATTCCATATCCTTATTGTTCTTACTGTAAAAAAACCTTTTCTTTGCCTTAGATGAAATCTCCTTTCTTCCAGCCTAAATGTGTGACCTCGTGTCCTATGTATAACCCTGTTTATGAATAGATTTCCAGATAAAGGTTTGTACTGGCCCCGAATATATTTGTATAAAGTTATCATATCCCCTCTCAGGCGCCGTTTTTCCAAACGAAACAGATTTAATTTTTGTAACCTTTCTTCATAACTAAAATGCTCCATTCCTTTTATCAATTTTGTAGCTCGTCTCTGGACCCTCTCCAGTGCCATGATATCCTTCTTTAGAACAGGCGCCCAAAATTGCACAGCATATTCAAGGTGTGGTCTTACCAGCGATTTATACAGAGGCAAAATTATATTTTCATCCCGAGAATTTATGCCCCTATTTATACATGACAAAATCTTACTGGCCTTAGCAACTGCAGATTGACATTGCATATTGCTGCCTAATTTGTTGTCTATAACAATGCCCAAATCCTTCTCGTGTGTGGTTATCCCTAATTCACTACCATTTAGTGTGTAAGTTGCTTGTGCATTCTTAACCCCGAAGTGCATAACTTTGCATTTCTCTATGTTAAATTTCATCTGCCATTTTAGTGCCCAGTCCCCCAATCTATCCAAATCTCTCTGCAACAAAGCAATATCCTGCTCACATTTTATTACTTTACAAAGTTTTGTGTCATCTGCAAACACTGATACATGGCTTTCAATGCCTATTTCAAGATCATTTATAAATATGTTAAATAGAAGTGGTCCCAAAACAGAACCCTGAGGGACACCACTTGCCACTTTTGTCCAGCCTGAAAATTTACCATTAATGACAACTCGTTGTACTCTGTCCTTAAGCCAATGTTCTACCCAAGAACAGGAATATTCATCTAGACCAATTTCTTTTAGTTTGAAAACTAACCTATTGTGAGGAACCGTATCAAATGCCTTGGCAAAGTCCAAGTAGATCACATCCACTGCAACACCCTGATCTATACTTCTACTTACTTCTTCGTAGAATGCAATTAGGTTAGTTTGACATGACCTATGTTTCATAAAACCATGCTGATTATTGCTAATAACAAAGTTCTTCCCAATGAATTCCTGAATATTATCCCTTAATAGCCCTTCAAATATTTTCCCAGTTACTGAAGTTAAGCTCACAGGTCTATAATTTCCAGGCAAGGATTTTGAACCCTTTTTAAATATAGGAACAACATCTGCCTTCCTCCAATCCTCCGGTACAACACCTGAAACAAAAGAATCTTGAAAAATTAAATACAGAGGTTCACTTATTTCCCCACTTAGCTCCTTAAGTACTCGTGGGTGAATACAGTCAGGCCCCGGAGCTTTATTTACATTAATTTTCTTTAATAGCTGTAGCACCTTGTCTCGAGTTATCCAGTCACAAGTTATTTGCAAGTTTTTTGCAGCAAACATTTGCATATCTCTTGCCATAGGATCCTCATTAATATATACTGAAGAAAAATAGTTATTTAAAATTTCTGCTTTTTCCTGGTCTTCATTAGCTAATAAACCCAACTCTGTTTCAAGTGTACCTACACTTTCATTTTTTGTTTTTTTAGAATTGATGTACTTGAAAAAAAATTTGGGGTTGGTTTTGCATTCTTTAGCTATCAATTTCTCATTTTCTAGTTTAGCCACTTTAATTGCCTTTTTGCAAGTGTTATTGGCTTCCTTATATCTTAAATAGGATGCCTTTGATTTGTCTGATTTAAATGCTTTAAATGCCCTTTTCTTATTTTTAATCTCTTGTTTTACTTCTCTACTAAGCCACATTGGTTTTAATTTTTCTTTTATATTTATTACCCAATGGTACATACTGAGAAATGTACCTTTCTAATATATGTTTGAACAGTTTCCATTTATCCTCAGTGTTTTTATCACTAAGGAGTTTATGCCAGTCGATATGTTGTAGAGCTGCCCTAATCTTATTGAAATTGGCTTTTTTAAAATTATATGTTTTAGTATACCCCACCTGCTTTTGCTTTTATGAGTTTATTTCAAAATTTACCATATTGTGATCACTATTTCCCAAATGCTCCCCTACTTGAATGTTGGTTAAAAGATCAACATTGTTTGTTATGACAAGATCCAGACAAGCATCCTGTCTAGTTGGTGCTTGTACCAGTTGTGACATAAAGGTGTCATTTAACACATTCAAAAACCTGATTCCCCTTGCTGAAGTACTAGTCCCTCTTTCCCAATTTATGTCTGGATAATTAAAATCTCCAATAATTAACGATTTGCAGCTTTCTCAATTTGCTCTAACAGCTGTTCTTCCTCATTAATATTTACATTAGGTGGTTTATAACATATCCCAACCAATAATTGATTTCCCTTTGTTTTCCCCAAGCAGATATCTACCCATAAAGCCTCCACCTTTTCCTCGTCACACTCCACATGCCTAAGATTTGACTTTAACTCACGGTTGACGTATAAACATACCCCACCACCCTTCTTGTTTTCCTATCCTTCCTAAATAACGTATACCCATTTAAATTAACTGCCCAGTCATGTGTCTCATCCCACCATGTTTCTGTTATGCCTATTATATCATATTGTTTAGTGTATGCTATTGCCTCTAGTTCCCCCATTTTGTTATATAGGCTCCTTGCATTAGTAAGCATACATTTAATATTATCATGAGTCTTTTGTACTTTTTGTGAATTATCAATATTACATACCTCCTCTGTTCTGAGTTTTCCCCTCCCCCCATCTCCACCCCCTTTGTTCTGAGCTAAAGCCCATCTCTTTTCCATCATATCTCCATTTTCTAGATTGCTTTGACCCTCCCCCCCTACCACTAGTTTAAAATCTCCTCCAACCTTGGTGCTGCTTCTTCACATGCTTGGGGAATTTGTTGTCTAGTTACACTATATAGGGACAAAGGGGAAAAACAAGGGAGGGGCAGAATCTTTTTTTTTTTTTTTTTTTACTTAAAATATGTTTTCTAGTATACCTGTTCTCCGTATGGGAACCCTCTCCACTACCCACATTTTGTGGTAAGTGGAAAAATGTGTGGAGTGTTTTTTTAAATTCTATATTTCATTTTCAAATATAAAATGTTCGGGTGAAGGGTACAGAAGAGAAAAAAGGGATGGGGTAGGGGGTTAGCATGTCACGATATTCCCGTTGAATTTAGTCAATCGGATGGTCTACTGTGTCTATACGCCCCCAGTCTCGGGGCAACCCCGTCGTGGCTGAAGTCCACGTTAGGGGGGTCTCGCCCTGAAGGCTGTCTGTGGTAGTCAGTGTTTTGGGATGCACCCGTGGTTGGTATTGGAGAGACCGGGCCTAAGGTCCACGTCAGACGGGCTGGGCCCCTCCCAAGATTCTGGTCCCGTGCTGGGGTTCCCCATTGCGTGTAAACTCACTGGTGGGCGGGTCTTCTTAGGTTTGTTTGGCGGGTGGTCGAGGAGGGCCCCACCGCTTTATCCCCTGATGAGGGGGGCAGGCGTGAGTTCCCCGAGGCGGTGATGCTCATTTGTCAAAGAAGGTGTGCGTCTGTTGCTCAGTGCGCTAGTGACCTATGGTACGTATGACAGGATCTACACATGCCAGAGTAGTGGGGGGAGGGTCTGAATGAAGAGGGGGAAGGGAGAGGGAACATCAGGGCTGGAGGGTAGTGTAAATCTTAGTATGGTCGGGTATCCCGCCCCTTGTCCGCGCTTCTGCCCCGGCCGAGTCCCTGGCACTTGTAGGTGAAGGGGGTCCAAGGTAGAGTGATCTTGTCATTGAGAGGGAGGATGGGGCCTGTGTTAGGGTCATGGGATATAACCTCTGGGGGATTGAATAGTGTGGGGAGGGACTGGCTCAACCCCCGCCCGGGATTCGCCGGCGGGTGGCGCCCAAAGCCGCGTGTCTTTCTAGACCGCGTTTGGGTTGTCTCCTGGGGGTCAGGATCCTCCCCCCTCCGCGGGCCAGGGCAGGGAGCACCATTCCGGACTACAGCCCGTGAGCCCAGTCAGGTCCGTGGTCGTCCCTATGGGACCGTCGCAGCCAACCTCTGATAGCTGGTGTCCCACAAATTCCATGTCCTGTGAAATGCAGTGTACGAATCATGCATCTGCGCATTTAGTTCGTCTAAGTCTCGCGTTTCTTTTATTTTGCGGATGATGGTCTCAATCCCGGGGGTTCGTGGGTCTGCCCAAAGTTCCGCAATTGCTCTACGTGCCGCTAGGGTTATGCGTGCCACCAGTTTATTCTCTTGTTTCGTAAGTGAGTCCAGGGGTTTATTGAGTAGCATGGTCCAAGGCTGTGCTGTTATGGGTTGACCCACCACCCGTTCGATCAAGCTCTGCACCTCGGTCCAGATCTGCTTAATTTTGGGACACGTCCACCAGCAGTGGAGGTAGGTGCCCCGTCCTCCGCATAGCTTCCAGCACTCATCCGAGGACTTCCTTCCCATTTGGTGCAGCCTGTGCGGTGTCAAGTACCAACGAAATAGCGTCTTATAGGCTTGCTCTTTGTGCGTTACGCATGTCGTTAGGGAGTTTGTGGCGTTCCAAATCTTGGACCAGTGTGTGGAGTGTTTTAAATACTTATTCAATAGAATTTATTATGTGGTAGATTGAAAACCAGATTTCAAAATTCAAGCTTAAAGTAACCAAACTGAGACTAAAAAATAGATTTATATTCAGCCAACCCAGTGTTGAGCTTAATGATAAACACAAGGGTTTTTATTTTTTTTATTTTGTGTACGATTGCACATACCAAGGAATAAAAAAACAACAAAAAACACTACTGTACCAATTTTAATTATTTGATCACCAAAATTGTTTTGTTCTTTACCTTTTTGGTAAATGCAAAGTTACACGGGGGAGCTTTCTTTTATCTGAATTCATTTTTCTTTTTGTTTTGTCGTCGTCTTCTTTGTGTACTAGACATTGTTACCTGGAGCCTCTATATCTGCAAGTGAAGTTACCAAACCAGCATCAGGTTCTTCGTCTGCATCTCAGAAGTCAGGAGACAAAGTGTATGCTCATCAGATGATCCGCACTGATTCTAGGGAGCAAAAATTGGATGCTTTCCTCCAGCTAGTAAGCAGGTCTCAGCCACCAACTTCCCTACAGTGTCAGCCCTCGAAGGCTGAAGAGGAAAATTGTCCAAAAAGTAGCACTCTGGAAAGAGTAAGTGATGTGGAGATGCTTGAAGTCTCAGAGACAACATCCGGTAGAGAGGATAACAGGAAGGAACGAAAGGAAACGGTTTCTAGCACATCACTCAGGTAACTAAGATAGGTCCCACTGAAATCCATTTTGTTTGCTTAACAGAGGCATCAATATAAACCGATACAAAAAAAAATAGTACCATCAATATTAGTGTAGCGAGAGTCCGACATTTTACGGAAATTTTCATTTCATTATTTCATTTTCAGGTACACTCATATAATTAATGAACTTGTTCTACTCTGACAAACAACTGCAATGTTTGTATTTGTGTCATAACTTCTACGTATATTGTATGTCATGTCTTAATCTAATTCCTCAATAAAAGAAAGAATTAAAAAAAAAAAATTGTAAAATGCCTTGCTTATAGGTATTTCTAAGGACCGTGAAGGCATTACTAGCAGTATAGTTTACTAGAAATGGCAAAAGAGTGTAAAAGTAATGCCTGCATTTGAGCATAATGCCCACATACATTAAATACAGTTAAATCCTATATTTCTAAAATAAAGGTATTTAAAACTAGTATAGCAATACTCAGTCTCTGGGCTGCTAATGTTATGCTGACAATAAAATTGTTACGTCTGTTCCCTCCTCCCTGACTGCATTGGATTTTTCTCTACTGTTTGAATGCAGGGGGTTAGCTTACATTTTAAGCAACTTTACAGGCATTATATTGGTGACTACTAGCTTCTATCAGATCAATTTGTCACTGAACATGTTGGGGATTATAACTAGATTATAAGTGAGTAAGGTTTTGTGGACTAGATTTCATTCTGCAAACTACATACAAATGAAAACATTTACACTTGATTTGGGCATTGAAGGGGTTGAAGACTTTCTGCCTGGGCTTTGTGTTTTGCAAATTGTCAAGCATTTATTTTGCTGTTTACAAGCAACATCTGCAATAATATGTTTACTTCGGCCAAAGGAATTATAGAAATTATGGCCATTCCTGTATTTGTGCTTAGGATGTTCCAGTTAAAAGTATTGAAGTAACTTTGGATATTTTAAAACAAAGTAGAAATGTGAATTGTTGGCTTGCATTGAAAAAAGATTAGCTTTGTAATGGCACAAAGGCACTGTGTAGTTTAGAAAGTCTTCAACTATTTCCTGCATTTGTTTCTCCACTCTGTCTCTATTCCTCTGACATTTCAAGAAGGAAGAGGCCACATGCAGACTCTGATGTGGAAATGATAGAAGATGAATCTGACAATAATATGACTGCTGCCAGCACACCAAGGAGAAGGATTATTAATTTAACTAGCATTCAATTCTTGAGGAAAGAGATTGAAGAAAGGGCTCACAAAAGTATGTATCATTCATTTGCATCTTGAAAAATACCAAATTATCCAATTTAAGCGCTTTTTTTTTTTTTTTTTTCGCTCATCCATTATTAGTACTGTGCAAATTGCAACTTTCATTCCATTATAATTTTCAAATCAAATTAAGCAACTCTCATTTTTCATTGCCCTGCACCTTTCAGGCCTTCCTTCACACTCAGAACCAAGCAATACAGAATCTCTTTATTTTTTTTCTAAGCACTTCCCACCCACCCAGGCTCTTACTAAATGTATAGCATGCTCCTCAAGCTGCTTGATATCATATTCCATTACCTTCTAGTTTCTTTTACCAATAACTTCTACTCTCCGTTAACTTCCTTTAGCCATCACTGCTACCGCTTTTCTCAAATCCCCATTATATCCCTTTAGATTGTAAGCTTATGGGCTTTCTAACTAAGCACTTAGTATAAAAGAACTTCAGTGGTTGGATCTCAGCTTAAAGGCAAGGCCCTCTCTAATTTTTATATTTTGTCATGTATATTGTACATTCTCCCCTTATAGTACAGCACTACAGAATAAGTTGTCACTTTATACATGCCATAAATAAAAAAATAATTTGTATAATGTGTTGCACAAAACCTCCATGGGGGAAGGGGGCGTGGCCTAACCGCTGAGCTGAGAAGACGCTCACCTCGGCGGCTCCTGCACACCGAGGCAATAAAAACGAGAAAAAGTCACTAACGAGGCGTCAAATTAATGACAAAAGGCCTCCTGGCGAAAGGGGAAACTGGGGCGCACACTATGATACCCGCCAATCGACACCAGCTCCGGTATGAACCGATCACCCTGGAGGGGCCTACCAGCATGGCGGGCGCGAGAGAGACGGCCGCTCTCCCGCCGCCGGGCACAGGCGACACCTCACTTCGAAGTCCACGTTCCCCCCCCTCTGGACCGGTGGGGGTCATCCCGGGCCACCCCCACACGATCCTCACACCAAGCGATGCCCAAGCAACATGCTCACCTAGTCTGGAGAGCAAATGTGCAATACCCAAAATGGCGGATGGCTCCTACGACGCAGCCCTAAGCACAGCCTGGAGGGTAACTGAACTGCGATTGAACAGCATATTCAACTCCTTCTGGGAGAAGCTAGAGGCCCTCACATGGTCCACGGAGCCGGAGCACTCCGTCTCCAAGCCAAGTAGGCACATGAGACGGCCTACTCCGATAGCAGGGACCTGGTGCCACACTAAGACCGAGAGCCACCAACAACAAGCATCCAAAGCCAAAGGAGCACCTGCAGTAAAGAGCCGAAACTCACCTCACCCTAGCACCAAGAACCAGCAAGGACCCTGGTACGGCGCAACCCACAGAGCCAAAATACGAAAGCGACGCACCAAGAGATCGAAACGGGCGGCAAGGGCTGCCCATCCACACCAGCAACGCAACGACCCGCGAACGCATCGACCACAGACTCACCCACAGGAGTCTAAGTATCGCCCGCCGACCGGAACGATTTCCCACCATGGACCTGTACACCCCAGCACCACCGACCCACAGATGATGGAGCACAACCCCATGCACGGGGAGACAAACATGAGCCCACAGGGTGTGGGGTGATAGACTCATTACTGGTACAGCTGCACGGAAGCCAGGACTGTAGCCTCATACAACGAACCACATGCAACTCTAAAGTCTCACTACCAAACACTGCAGACCTAACACGGGCACACTCCACGTCCCTATACACCTAACCTCAACACAAACCCACATGCACTCAAACAAGGATCAGAGGGGGGTCAATACTCATAATCATAGGACGAACCTGCCGACATGACTAACTTTAACGCTAAAATGTATAACCGTAACTCTCATTATACCTTGCATCTAATAACTAGTGTAACTATCTTTACAACTGTCTACTCTTAAACGTATGCCAAGCTAGAAGTGTTTCACGCAACTTGTTGTCTAGTTTAGATTTAACTGCATAACTTTAAGTACTACAGTCAGCAATGTTAAATTTTTTCAACGGTCCTAGAGCAGCTAGAGAAGCCAGTGACTAGACCGAAAGCTCTACAAGGCTTGGAACGCACTGTGCCGCCAAGATTTCGTAAGACCTACTCAGGACTACATTTTAACTGAACACTCAGTGTAAAGTTAAACGTGGATAATCTCGACTAAATAACAAAAAAAAAAAAATGTGCAAGGATTTATGAAAACCCCGTTGTTAAAAATGTTGATATTCAGCGTGAGGAATGCTATTGGGGCACCACACGGCTGCTGTTATGATTTATTTTGTCTTGCACTGCAAAAATAAAGAATAAAAAAAAAAAAAAAAAACCTCCATGGGAAACACTCTGTTTAGCTATAAAACCAGTTGTTGGTAGCATTGTATTTACATGCTGATGTCAGTAATGTGGAGCTCACATTACAAAACATGTTGTGTTTACAAAACAAAACATACAAGTGTTTACTGCAGGGTTTCCCAATAAATGTTTCCCTTGGAACCCTATGACATGGTATAGCAAAACTTTGTTAATCGATCAGATACTCCAAATGTATGATCCTGGAAATATGCAAACTACTCTTGATGCAATTCAAACATTCTAACAAGGACTTTACCTCATGATAGCCAACGGACTTCTGAATGCAAAAGCAGAGTGGTGACTACCCATATCACATATAATTTTAAATAGTCATGACTGTAATGGTAGACTTTTTATAAAATTCATCATCTGGACTGATTCACCTAGCACAGTTTTAAGTGAGATCGAAAAATTCTTTCAATTTTTTTTTTTTTTTTTTAAATTCTTTATTTTTGAAGCGCATGAGAGGAACAAGCATTCTCGCTATGCCGCAAAAGCAAAATAGGAGTGAACAATGAGGTTAACAGAATAGGCATATTCACATAACTGCGCACATTTGTTGTTAGTAAATCAAGAGTGGTGCACTTTTAGAGCATAAAATAACATTCAGCATGGCCATGTAGTTAGTATTAAATAGCTTGACAGTAGTAAGCTGCTTATTTTCTATAAGTAAACAGGAGGATGCTAGTAACTACAAGAAGCAACAAGATCGTTATCCTTACTTATACGTCATGAATTTTGCTCACATGGGTGCCTAATACCAGAGAACAGAGTATGTTGGGTACATTATTACAAGTTAGAGTAGGTATACGGTAGGTTGGCATGCTGGTTAGATCGCCATTAGTGTATCCCTGAGCATAGCGTCAGTGATAAGCCGCACTGCAGTAGCAGTAGGCAGCGTGAGGGGAGGTATCAGAAATAAGTAATTTATAACAAAAAGCATAACACACAAGGCCGGTGCATGAGTAACTGGGCTTAAGGTAAGAACATCCTTATAGCCTATGACGTATTATTGCTGCACATTTGTATTTCACCTGTGGAGGTTACATTCCTACCAAGGTGGTGATAGCTGCTTGTCATGATAGATCTTCTAGGTTATAATACTTTTGCAAACGCTAATCCGCTATCCTAAAGATTGTAGGACACTGGTGTCCGTCCTAAGGCAGAAAAGAGAAATATACTGGATCCCAAGTTCATCAGTCATGGCAATATGCCTTTGATAGGGGTGTCATGCACAGGAACACAGTGGAGAGAGGTTCAGGACATGAGAGCGCTTGGTTGAGTGGTTGTCTCTGACCTGATTCCCTCTGTCGGTAGGCAGAGATTGAAATATTTTTAGCTACCAGTGCATGTCTGTGAAGAACACAGTGAGAACTGGTGCTGTTTTTTTTGCTACAATTCTTATTCGTGTCACAGCGCCTGCCACTTTCCCAACCATGAACTTCTGGATACAGTTAAAGATGTTCTCACCAGTGGTGTGAGTTTTTAAAGTTTCACACAGAAGCAAGTCTTCTTCAATCTGTTTGTCAAAATTATATCTAACAAAAAAACAACAAAATAGAAAGTCGTGCAACATCTGTGGACTCGTCTAATTGCAGTGAGTACCCATCACATTGATGCAGTCGAGGAATTAGTTCAGTATGGATGTCATCAGCAAGATCATGAATACGGAGCATAACTGTGTTGTTGGAAAGTGGCACAGCTTCCATTTGTTTACTCAACTTCTCACTTAAAATACATGACACTATTTCTTTTGCACATGGTTTTATTAGTGATTTCCCAATTGTGTGTGCTTCTCCTGCAAGTGCCATGCGGTAACTCAATCTGTAAGAAGCCTCTGTGGCTTTTTCATTAGCATTTTGACATTTTTTGCTCGTAAATTGTTTACTCTTCTGATACTCCTTTAGCTTTTGCTTAAAAAAGTCAGTCTTTATCTTTGTACTCTGCGTGGTTTTGGTCACAACGACGTAATTTAGCAGGTGCCAATGAACTGTTTGGCAATATTTTATTGCAACGTACACATTGTGCTTCAGGACAATCTTCATTTCTGGCACTTGTGAATCCAAATGACAAGTAGCTATCATCATATTTTCTTTTCTTTGTTTGAGAAGAAGATTGGCTAGCATTGTGTGCTTTTCTTGTTTTTTGACTTGTCACTTGTCTCTTCTATATGAGGAACAGTAGATACAACTATTTCAGGCATGTTTTCTGGATATTTAGTTGTGCCGAACAGGTAGAAGTAGTAATATTTTTTTCTCTGAAGAGTTTCCTGCTTGAACCAACTTTCCAAATTCATGGTTGTTTATTGGTAAAAAAAAATAGATTAAAAAAAAAAAAAAAACACTTTGAAAAATACAGATCTCACAACCTGACTGAAAAGGATACTGATATTGATAACGCTCTTAGAAAGAACTGAACTTAAAGGACCACTATAGTGTCAGGAAAACAAACCCGTTTTCCTGACACTATATAACCCTCAGGGCCCCCCTCCCGCTGGGCTGAAGGGGTTGAAACACCTTCAGCCACTTACCTTTATCCAGTGCCGGGCTACCTCAGCGCTGGTGACCTCTCCTCCCCCGCCGACGTCAGCTCCCGAGTGAAGCCGAATGCGCATGTGCGGCAAAAACGCCCATAGGAAAGCATTTCTCAATGCTTTCATATGGATGTTCTGCGTCCTCAATGCGATTTTCGCATTGAGTGTCAGGGAAGTGCCTCTAGCTGCTGTCAGGAAGACAGCCACTAGAGGCTGGATTAACCCTGCAATGTAAACATAGCAGTTTTCTGACTATAGCGGTCCTTTAAGTATGATTTTGGAGTTAGACTTGGAGCAAAAAGATTTGAACACTTTGAAAAATACAGTTAACAGTTTTTTGCCTCACAGAGTCTTTCAATGCCCTTGACAGAGTCTTTCAATGCCCTTGACAGAGTCTTTCAATGCCCTTGACAGAGTCTTTCAATGCCCTTGACAGAGTCTTTCAATGCCCTTGACAGAGTCTTTCAATGCCCTTGACAGAGTCTTTCAATGCCCCTGACAGAGTCTTTCAATGCCCTTGACAGAGTCTTTCAATGCCCCTGACAGAGTCTTTCAATGCCCCTGACAGAGTCTTTCAATGCCCCTGACAGAGTCTTTCAATGCCCCTGACAGAGAATTTTAATGCCTCCTAATCGACCTTTCTATGACAATAACAGAACTTTAACTATCACGTCCACTCTCTACCACGAGTGATAGAAAATGTCTGACAGCAGGGTTGGCTGGCTGACTGCTGCGCGGGCTCTCTCATGGCCGAGCAAAGATCACGATTTCTGCTGTTTCCGACCTTCCGGGAACAGCAGGTAGCGGTGGCCATTTTGGATGTGGTAAAATGCCGCGGAACCAGAGTTTTTTTTTTTTTCCTTGCTGAACACCAATTGGGAAATGCTGGATTACTGCATTCTAAAAGAAGCATACAAATGTTGTTTCATGAATTTTGAAGTCACGGATGCAGTGATCGACAAATGTAAATTTTTTTTTTTTAGAGCCGATACTGATAATCTGTGAACATTTTAGGCCGATAGCCAATAACATACCGATATTCTGTACATTTACCATTTGAAAAAAATAAACAATTTAACACAAAGCAACTGTTAACCGAACATGTTTATTTAATTTTTTATTTTTTTTATTAAGTTGGTAAATGCACAAAATATACATGAGTCAGATTTTATGTTTTCATGAATATTTAGTGTTCCCCTCTCTTTCTGTCCCTTAGTGTACCTCTCCCCTCCCTTCCCTGTCCTTAAGTGTCCGTCTCCACCCCCCTAGTGGTCCTAATAAAATCTCCTGAACCACTAGTCAGTTGATCCCTACAAGGATGTACTAAAACTGAATGCAGTACTGACTTCCTTCATTAGGCGAAAAGCAACATGGGAAAGAGAGGGACTGCAGAATACAGAATTAAAGGGATAGTATAGGCACCCAGACCATTTAATCTCATTTAAGTGGCCAGAGTACACTGTCCATATACCCTTTGTAAGCATTGCAGTTTTAGCTGTGCATGAGGGTGTCCACCATTTTCAAAATACCTATTGAAAAGCATTGATTTAATGCTTTCCTATGGGGAAGGACTAATGCTCAGTGGTCTTACGTGCTCCCAACTTGCGCCGTTACAGTCCATAATGAATGCGGCAGCAAGGCTCATCTTCCTGTCCGCCCGCACCTCCCATGCTTCACCCTTCTGTCAGTCCCTACATTGGCTTCCTATAAAATATAGAGCTCAATTTAAAATTCTGGTTCTTGCTTTCAAATCTCTACATAAAGCTGCTCCCACCTATCTATCCTCCCTTATACACAAGTATGTCCCGTCTAGGCCCTTACGATCTGCTGAAGACTTACGTCTATCTTCTGTCCGTACTCCCACCTCTGATGCTTGCCTTCAAGATTTCTCGAGGGCTGCACCGTTCCTGTGGAACTCGCTTCCCTCCTCCGTTAGATGCTCACCCAGTCTCCACTCCTTCAAAAAATCGTTAAAAACCCACTTCTTCATAAAAGCGTATCAATTAAACTGTTAATAGCTCCTGACTGATTCCTCTTCTGCAACTGTCACTAGTCTAATACTATCCTTACCTTTTTGTGTCATTTTACCACACTCCTTCTAGCATGTAAGTTCATTGAGCAGGGCCCTCAACCCCTCTGTTCCTGTGTGTCCAACTTGTCTGGTTACACTACACGTCTGTTCGTCCACCCATTGTAAAGCGCTGCGGAATTTGATGGTGCTATATAAATATCATAATAATAATAATAATGCGTGCGGCATGTGCATGCGTATTAGGTTTTCACTGGCAGTGAAGACGGAGGAGACGGAGAGCAAGTCAGCGCCGAAGGACCATGGCGCTTAAATAAGGTGAGTGTTTAAAGGGTCATTTAACCCTTTGAGACTGCGGAAAGGGGATGCGGGGGATGGAAGGGGCATGGGGACATTATAGTGTTAGGAATACAGCTTTGTATTCCCAGCGCTGTAGTGTTCCTTTAAATAGTAATGTAGGATGAAAAGACTCAAGTCCATCAAATTCAGCTTTTCATACATCTACTGTTCAACCAAAAGAAGATGAAAAACACAGTTTGAAGCAAATTTCACTTCTGCTAAAAAATATGGGGAAAAAAATCCTTCTTGACTCCAATATGGAAGTTGGACTCCTCCTGGATAAACCATTCATATTAACTATTTAGTTTCTAAAATATTCTGCTTCTCCTAAAAAATGTCTATGCAATAGAGAGTTTTTCTTTTTTTTTTTTTTTTTAAATTCAACTGCATAATGCATTAAAAATGGCAGGTCATGTCCTGCATGGATTACTTGTTTCAATAAAATATGCATGTTAAATATTTCTTTTTTACAGTGGAAACCGTTCAAATACCATACGCAAGTCTGTTCAGGGCTTTGCCCTGAATCCTGTATGATTACACATACAGAATTTCTTAAAGTGAACCTGTTATGAAAAACATAGCTTACCTTAAATTGCACAAAAATACATTTACCTTTCTAAAAAAACACATAGACAAATGATGTATTAAATGTAAAATTTTGAAATATTCTCACCTTATTTGCATCTCTGCTATGTACTCTTCTTGTAACACCTAACTCTGGTCCATCATCTGGTCTTCTTTCCTTTGCCTTACTTTGGAATGCTTCCCCAAGCGAGACAAGCCTCTTCAGTGATGCCGGCATTTATCGGTTTGTTTCCTGTGTGCTTGTGTCTGAACCACTCCGTTCCTATACTCCCTAATGCTAGCAGCGTTGGATGGGGAGTTTACATAGCAACACATTGCATGTGCTGTGGTTGCTATGCTTGGGAGTGCAGAAGTACCTCCTGTGTCGATCAAATCTTTGGCAGAGTCTATGCCGAAGATTTGACTTAGAAGAGGGAGAAATACATATTTAGGAATAGGTTTTTTTCCAAATCTATACATCTGCTATCAAAATGTATTGATAGATTGGTATGCTTTTTCCAAAAAGCATAAGACGTTTGGGGCTTTACAGGTCCCCTTTAAATTTTTATCAATAAATGTATGTATTTTTCTTTCTGCATGACACCGTATGCATCAATGTTAAATGCATGATTGTGTAATAAATGCTCTTCTTTCTTTTTATAGACCTCCAGGACATGTTGCGTAATCACTCTTTTGTGGGCTGTGTAAGTCCACAGTGGGCTTTAGTTCAATATCAGACAAAGCTATATCTTCTGAATACTACAAAGTTGAGGTAAGAAAGATCATATCACAAATTATGTACATTCTACATATAACATTCTCATTATTTGTCCTGAGCTATATAAAATTGTATTGATTGTTAAAGTGGCACTGTCATGCCGAATCCCGTTTTTTTTTTTTTTAACCCGCCTCCACTACATCCAATTGACCCACTAGTCACCCCCAAATACCCCTAAGCCCCCCAGATTACCTCTTTTTAAATCTTTATTTTCTGCCCCGATCTATATTCAGGGCGCCGCCATCTTTGTGTGGGTAGGTGAAGTCCCTGTGGGACACGTCATCAGCCCACACTAGATGGCGCTGTGAGATTCCCGCACATGCCCAGTGAAACACCTGGACATGCGAACGGGAATTTCATCTATTCATTCATTCATCAGACAGACGAATGAGTGAATAGAAATATCAGCCGAACAAACAAACACTATGTATCAGTGTATGTTTGTTCGTGCAGGTTATTACAAGGAGGGAGCTACCGGCACGCAGCTCCCTCCTTGTAATATGTAAAGATAGAAGCGGCAGGGAGCAGTGCTCCCCACCACTTCATAAGCCCCCCCAGGTCCCCCTCTCACTCTATGGGGGTCAATATGACCCCCATAATAGCACATTGGAGATTAAAATCTCCCAAATGCCCCTACTCGCTATACCGCGAGTAGGGGCATGTCTACTAAACAGTGAGCAGCCTGTGGCTCAGGGGTGGGGGCCAGGGGGGAGGACAGTAGGTCCCCCCCCTTATTGTTTTATTAGGGCCCCACCCACCGCGCAGGGGTGGGGGCCTGGGGGGGGGGTACTGTAGGTCCCCCCCATCTTTATTTAGGGCCCCCACGGGCGGGGGTTTATTCGTTTTTTTTGTTTGTTTTTTTTTTTACAGTGAGCAGCTATAAGCTGCTCACTGCTTACTACACATTCCCCTACTCGCGATATAGCGAGTAGGGGCATATTATTTACTAATACTAAGTAATCTTTACTTAGTATTAGTAAATGTGGCTGAAAGACCAATTTAGGTCTTTCAGCCTTTTAGTAGATAACTCCCTGATACCGTGGGAATTAGGGAGTTATCTACTAAGCGGCTGCAAGATGCAGGCGCGGCAATGAATAGGATCGGCGTTTCATTCATTAGAATGAAATTCTGATACGAACAAAGTGCCGAATTGCGTTCTAAAAGACAACGAACATACTGTTCTCATTCAGTTAGAACGCAATTCGGCAGTTTCGTCTAAAATGACAGGAAGCATCGTGGGAACACAGAGGGAAGGTAAGGATCATGGGAAAATTGCTCTGACCAGTGGTAATGAAGCACACTTTGCTCCTCCGCTGGTCAGAGCTGGTCAAGCGGAGGAATCCTCCATAAGGCAAAGAGTCCCTACTTTGTCTTATGATTTTAAAGAAAACTAAAGAAGACAGGAAGAAAAGAATAACAGATCCCGAGAGAGGGAGAGAAGAGGAAGAGATTGAGTAAAGGTAAGTTCGGCATGACAGTGCCGCTTTAATGGTAATCTATTAAAAAAAAAAAAAAAATCCCATAATAAAATGAATATATATATATATATATATATATATATTTTCTCATTTTTTTTTATTTTATTTATATATATATTTTATTATTTCTTTGCAGCCAGGAATTGTTTTATCAGATACTTATTTTTGACTTTGGAAACTTTGGCATAATGAGACTTTCCGTAAGTATGTATACAGAATATCTGTTTAAACTTTTGAATAGAAAATTCAGTAGATGTCTGTTTACATGTTAGTTTGTTTTATGTGTTTTTTTGGGGTGTTTTTTTTTGACCAATCATAAAATTTAATTTCTTGGTGTGAAAGCTTGTACATCTTTATCTAGGACTGTGGACTGAACTCTCGGCTGTATTTATTAATATAAGAATTGAGGCAAAGCGTTTAAATGTAGAGCAATCATTTGCTTCAGATGCCTGTTTCCACAATAGGCATCTTAAGGACCCTTTTCTATTGCTTCTTGTATTTTACAGTTAATTTGCTTGTATATGCAGCCCCTCTGACTGTTATCCAGCACCGTTTCATATTAGCCTTTAGTTTCTTAAAAGGTTCCCCAGGTAAAACAAAGAAAATTAATTCTCTTAATAAAAACATAGAGTTCTTCATTTGATCCTAGCTGCCAAAAGAACAAGTGAAAAACCAGTAAAACCTGATTTGTCAGTTTTTGACAATAATATTTTACTGGATAATTTGTAAAGAGCTTGTACTAACAAAGCATGTGACAATTCTAAAACAGGGTATGCATGTTATATCTAAAATGGAGCAAATACAAAAACTTGTCACATTATCTCATACATACATATGGAACACTTCCACATGATCAGTTTTGTCCAACCTTAATTGTCTTTATTGGCTGAAAGTGTTGAATTAACTCTTCTCTCATCAATCTCTGGACAGTCACTGCTGTTCAGATTAAATTAACACCCAAACAACTTTATCTTAGTGCAGTTGTTTTGGTTTATAGATCATACCCCTACCGTCTCACTATTCAATTTTCTGCTAGGAGTTAAATCACTTTGTTTATACAGCTCTAGTCACACATCTCTGGACTTGCATGGCCTTCCTAAACACTTCCTGAAAAAGAACCTTGATATTCTAGGTTACTTCATTGCACAGTCTATTCAATCTAGAATTTCTTATCTCCGGCTCTGTTAATATCCTTATAGAGCTTGCAGGAGCCCTCCTGTGTGTGATTAAAATTCAATTCACAGAGCAGGAGATAAAAACTTTTTTAATGCAAGTGAACATCTGATTGAAAATGAAACCATTGTGTTTTCATGCAGATTGTGTGAGTCACAGCTTGGGGAGGTTTGGCTAGGGCTGCATAAATAGAAGCAAAAGTGATTTAACAGGGACATGAGCTGCACACCCAAACTGCTTCATTAAGCTAAAGTTGTTTTGATGCTTATAGTATCCCTTTAAGTGCAAGTGTTAATTCCAAGGGCATAGTCTCTGGTTACCAAGAAGAGTGCTAATTTATGTCAAACTGCATCTAAATAGTTTGACAATATACTTGGTGATAGTTGCCAGAGACTAAACAACAGTCACAACAGCGAGCTGCAGTTGCTTAGAATGTCCCTTTAAGAATGACAAGCAATCAAGAGAGAAATTACTGTCAAATATGATCAACATCATTCTTTAAAGGGAAACTCCAGTGCCAGGAAAACAATCCGTTTTCCCCTCTCACCCCCCAATCCCCGGTTGCTGAAGGGGTGAAAACCTCTTCAGTGACTTACCAGAGGCAGCGACATGTCCCACGTCACTGCTTCTTCCGCCGCCACTCCTCCCTTCCTTAGGTAGGCCGATGGATGATACTGATCCCGCCCACCGGCCGGGTAGACCTAATGAGAATGCGCGGCAATGCCACGCATGCGCATTAGAGCTCCCCATAGGAAAGCATTGAAAATGTTTTTCAATGCTTTCCTATGGGGAAATGAGCGACCCTGGAGGTCCTCACACAGCATGAGGACATCCAGCGACGCTGTAGCACAGGTTTTCTGTGCTATGATGCAGGAAGTGCCCTCTAGTGGCTGTCTAGTACTAGCAACTAGAGGAGGAGTTAACCCTGCAAGGTAAATATTGCAGTTTATAATAAACTGCAATAATTACAGTTGCAGGGTTAAGAGTGGTGGGAGTTGGCACCCAGATCACTCCAATGGGCAGAAGTGGTCTGGGTGCCTGGAGTGTCCCTTTAATGTATGAAAGAATTGTACACAATTAAATTTTACTTCTTGAAAATAGCATATTGGCAAATTTATGTAATACTGCCATCTAATGGCCAAAGTATACATGGCATAGTGAGATATCTAAGTTTTAGTACATGGATGTCTACTTAAAGGCAACTCATAGACCCCAAAATAACAATACAGGTAGTTCCCAACTTTACAAACCAATTGGTTCCAAAGCCTAGTTCATAAAGTGAGAGTTCATAAAGTGAGAACTAATTATCCATAGACACAATGTAATAAACATGGGTTCCATTCCTGACCAACAAATTTTACTATTGACAACCTAAATTATTAAGTACAAATACAAAATAGAAGCATAGCAAATACCTATATGTAGTAGGACCGTTAAAGGAATACATATCATATTTAAATCTTCATCATATTATCATCTATCATCCTCAATGAAGACATGCTACACTTGTTGAATGGGGCACCTCTCTTAAAGCCCTCCTACTTCTTTACTTTCTTATTTATTAACTTCCCGCTCTCCTTTACCACTTTTCTTTTCCTTCTTTTTTAAATTTTTTTTATATTCTTTATTTTATTGTGCTCAAAGAATACATGGTAGCAGGTAAAGCCACGACAGCATGTTCCAGCGTAGATATCAACATTTCAAAACAGTATTAGGCGTTAGTGAACATTGCACATTTTAAGGTATGGGTTACTAGTGTAAAAACATAACTGGTGAACATCTCTTGTACCCTGTCTGGGAGTGCTATCAAAGTGTGGTTCTATGTGAGTGTCGTGCACATAGGGGGACCTACTTTGCCGGATAGCTGTGTGTGTATGCTTTATAGTAAGTTTGACCGTGAACCGGCAGGGAAGGTGGCGGGGGTGGGTGTGGATATGTTACTCTAGTGTGGTTTATGAAAGCCGAGCTGTGGTCATTAGTGTAATGGCTTATGTGTGTAGGAGCTAGTTATGCTCGTCTGTATCATTTTGGTTGAAAAAGTTTCCTTACCGCCCACCAGTTTTCGCGCAAGTGCGGAATATTTTTTCGAAAGGAGGGTGTTTTAAAAAAATGTACGTACATTTATCTTTTTATTTCTACTTAATGCATGTTTATAATGTTTTTAACTTTATAAAGTTTAATGAGAAAACAAAAAAGTAAATTGAAATTACCTTTACTAGTGATTGAGATCCTTGAGGTTGATGCTGCGAGACTATTTGATATCTGGTTCGATTTTCGTAAGGAACAAACGAAGGTCTCCTCTTTCGGTGATATTCAGACGACTTCTCTGTTTGCGCATAATATGATTTCTCATCTGTGCGTCAGCTTCCCTCCTCAATTCCCCTCCCCACCTTTTTTTTTCCCCCCCTTTTTTAAAAAAATGTTTCCTCACAATCCCCTTTTCTCCCTCTATATACGCCCTCAGCACCTATAGGTGGTCCTTTGGACATGTCTAATTTTGGTCACCCACGAGAATCACATTAGATCAAGAGAGGCAGTCTATTTAGGAACGTCTTTTGTATAATACCAATAAAGTATCTTCTAGATTTTTATCAAAGGGACAGAATCTCTTTCTTTTGAATTTCTACTATTTAGGGTTACCCCCTTATTTTCTGTCTGTCATATGAAGATAATCTCGTTGCCATTTTCTTCTTCTTTCTTCTTATGTTCATCCTAAGGTTTCAATACCTAATTGGCTCTGCTGATTGGTTCTTATACCAATCAATAACTAGTTATCCTTAAACGTATTATTCTATATATATTGGGTCATTTTTGATTATTATCAATACCTGGGTGTCACTCTACACGAGTTTGTCTCTTTAAATGACTGACCTCCTAGATAAACTAGGTGATCTTAATCTAGGACAGGAGGAAATCACTAATGTGTTTTCCACCAATCCATTTTCCTCACAAGGAACTATTAATGACAACATCAACACCGCTTTCTTTGAGATTCAGAAAACTTACCAGGAACAAATTAAAAGCTTATGGGAACTGACCAGTCTCAAACAGTATCTTGAGCAGAAATTAGTTCCCAGAGGCCTTCGCCCGACATCCTGTTGCCAGACAAAATCCAGACTGAAGAACAGCTCAGTGAATGGAACTCTATCTTATTGAGCTGTTCCTTCAAATTGATGGATTTCCTGGTTAAGTTGGAAACAAATAACTTTGAGACAAGTAACCTTAAATTAAAGGGAAAAATTGCCCTCATTAAAAAGTATAAATTAGATGATCTGTATACCCCTATGGAAATCAAATTGCAACAAAACATTACCAACTTTAGACACCATCTAAAAATCAAAAAACACAACAAATTTCAAAGAGACTTCAAAGATTTTAAAAGTGGAACCATTTTCCGACAAACCAACAAAAATACGAGACGCAGAAACAGCTATAGGGGCTCCTCTTCTGCCGAAACAGACTGGTCAGACCAGGACCAACAATCACAGAACAGACGGAGATCCCCTTACACACGGAACAGAACATATACAAAAGACACCAGTTTACAGTCAAACTCCAATAAGAGTATCCTTAAGAACCCTGAAAAGGTAGTTTCCTTTCTGGATATACCCATCTCAGGGGACACGAACAACTCTACCTCAACTGTCCCCTCTTCAAATCCTTTTTTAGATCAGCAACAACGGGGACGTCTAAGAGACAGGGATCCATGGTCCTACAAGACCCAAAACCGGACCCCAAGAACTTAATTCCAGATAAAATCATTAATCTCACAGACTTTCAGCATTCAGTACATCATAACAGTCTACTCAACAAGGGACTATACTTTGTACCTACCCCCAAATGTAACAAATTTAATTGGTTCAAAGATTTAAATCTCTTTGGCAGAAAACTTGCCCTCAACATTTTGCACGCCAAAAAAGATCAAATTGCAGCAAATGATTTGGGCCTTACTACACAGGAATATGAAATGTCTAAAATTCGGGACAGTCTTGCACAGGAAAACGATCCGAGTAGACCATTGACAGATTTCAAGCCACCAAGCTATTTCACCCCCAACTTCAGACACTCCTCATATTGACCTTTTCCTTCAAATGTCACTGAACGAATTTGAAATGAATAACAAGCCTAGCCATACCATAGACAACTTGAGCTTTGCCGAGCGTAAGGCTCTTCAAGCTTTCAAACAGCAAACTGATCTTATAGTCAAACCAGCTGACAAAGGTGGCAACATTGTCCTCATGAAACGGTCTGAATATGTTGATATGTGCATGTGTCATCTTAATGACATCTCCTACTATAGAATTCTTTCCTCAGACCCTACAAGTACCTATGTTAATGAACTGGAAACTTTATTGCACGATGCTCTCAATCAACAGATCATTAACCAGGACAAACTCAAATTTCTATTACCTAATAAAACTCCAACTATTGCCACCTTTTATTGTCTCCCGAAAATACACAAGGGTACCCGTCCCCCCCCTGGTAGACCTATAGTATCTGGCAATAACTGTCTTACAGAAGCCCTGAGTAAATTTGTAGAAAAGATTCTACATCCTCTAGTACTCAAATTACCATCGTACCTTCAAGATACAAAGTCCACCCTTCTTACATTACAGGAAATGACCGTTCCACCGTACACTCAGCTAGCAAGCCTTGATGTTGTTTCTCTATATACCAACATACCCCATCACTTAGGTCTAAGGGCTTGCAGTTCTTTTCTTGATAATACCTTATACAATGATCTACAAAAGAAATTCATCCTAGCTGCCCTTGAATTTATCCTTACACACAACTATTTTGTATTTAACGGAGCCTTTTATCTCCAAATATCTGGTACCGCTATGGGGACGGCTTGTGCCCCCACTTATGCCAATTTATTTCTAGGGTGGTGGGAGCAGCATGTCTTCACTGCCACAAAGTTCAGCTGTTTCCATCAATACATTCTGAGCTGGCATAGATATATTGACGACATGCTGCTCCTGTGGACAGGTTCTGTCCCCGTGTTTGAAGGCTTTGTCACTATGTTGAATGACAATGACATCAATCTTAAATTGAAATATGTGATTGATGAACATGAACTGGTGTTCCTGGATTTAAAGATCCTACTCGAGCAAGACGGGACCATCCAAACTGAATTGTTCAGGAAGGAGACATCTACCAATAGCCTGTTGCACTGGACGAGCCACCATCTATATCGTTTAAAGGCTTCCATTCCCTACAGCCAATACCTTAGAGCGAGACGCAATTGCTCACATGACCAAACTTTTTACAACGAATGCAAGATCTTGAGGTCACGGTTCAAGGAATTGGGATACCCCAACCGGGTCCTAAAACAGGCCTTTCACCGAGTGTGTGTGGTATAGATAGACACACCAGTCTCCAGTCCTCGAGACCAGCACAAGAACTTAAGGCACCTCGCTGTATCGCCACCTTTGACCAAGGCTGGGACAATATGACCACTATCCTACATAGGAACTGGCCAATTCTTTTACATAACCCAGTGCTAAACAAAATCTTACCAAACCATCCATCGCTAACAGCACACCGACCGACCAATCTTTATGATCAATTAGTTCATAGCCATTTGACATCCCCTTCACCACCAACCAATTGGCTATCTTCTGTGAAAGGAACGGCCAAATGCGGCCATTGCAAGGCATGCCAATATGTTTTACCTTCTAAAACGGTCATATCTACACAGACCCAAATCAAAGTTGATACTAATGCTCTGGGGAACTGTAGTACCACACGACTTATCTATTTAATCACGTGCAGCTGCGGTGTCCAATATATAGGCAAAACTTTTCAACAGTTCAGACGAAGGATCTTACCGCACATCAACTCTGTTAACAACATGATTTCCCCTACCCCTGTTGCAAGACACATTATCAATTTCCATGAGGGCAAACCTGAAAACTTACGTTTTCAGGCGATTGAAAAATTACTACCCAACCCCAGAAAAGGCAACTTTAATAAAGTTCTGTTACAAAAAGAATCTCAGTGGATATTCACCTTTAAAACTTTAGCCCCCCTAGGTCTGAATGAAGAATTCAACTATACTCCATTTATACATGAGTAGCTTTAGTATATACTATGCTCTCTTAGTCATTCAGAATAACATTATGTACATAATCTATGTCTCTGATGGTTCTTTCCATTTGTGACATTATATTACAATCATCAATGAAGTTAGTTGACCCACTACTTCATCATTTGCTTCATACTCACGTGTGTGTGTGTGTGTGTGTATGTGTATATATATATATATATATATATATATATATATATATATATATATATATATATATATATATATATATATATATACACACACACACACACACACACACACATTTTCTCATATATACACATCTATATTTATTTATATACATCTGTGTATATATTAATATATGACACCCATACCCATTATTGTGGGACTACTAGTTATTGTTCTCTGATATATATGTCTATCAAAAGACATTGGTTATTATACTTGACTATTCCCCATTAACTTGCATTACTTATTATTTAGATGTAATGATAAATCATTAAGGACATTAATACATCTTTATCCTTATCAGATGGTCCTGTGTTGATATATACCCACAATGTAACAGGGACCTCCTCTCTCTTTTTTGATACCTTGAAGTCACCGTACTTCTATCCTTCATCCTCAGCCGAAATCTGACCAATCAGACAAGAGGGCGGGATATTTAAATCATACTATGCAGGGAGTTAATTTCCCCCTGACGAGCCTCTAAAAAAGACGAAACGCGCGTCGGGTTTATTCCGACATTTTCTCTCTAAGCACCTTGCCGTTTGTTTCCCTCTATTACCCAGAAGCAGCACTGAGATCTGCTGCAACCAGCTATTCAAATCCTTTTTTCCTCTCTACTATTTATTAATGAGTATTGGCATCTACTCACTTTAGAACTTACCTGTGCCGACCTTGAGCCATCTGAGAGCATTTATAGGAAAAGATTTTTGGAGCTGGGAACCGGGAACTTACATAGTGACCAGACTATATCGGCATAGTTATCAACATACCGATGTCAGTAATTTGCTAATCGCTAATCAGACGATGCCTCAGTAGATATGATATTCTTTATTTCTTTCTATACTACTATCTGTGACTATCATACTCCTTTCCTGTAACTAGTGCCCACGAAGGCACTATTCTTATTCCATGGATTTTCTTCCTCTGTCATTATATTAGCCTTATAGTATACTACCTATTAGTTGTTTGTGAAATCTGACAACTACAGATTGCCAAAGCCGTTCACTCAGCGTGCTATATAACATTTATGGGAGTGAAACAGCCACATATCGGCAAATCAACTCTCCCTGAGAACCTAGTGCATCAAACACACTCTTTTGATATACAGCTTTTACAGACATTATAAGTGCACTGAATAGATCTATAATACTGCTCTCACGAAGGGGTATGCATGAATGCACTGTTTGATTCTATGTGCACTCTAGCCCCTCTTGATATAGCAGAAACAGAGCAGACAACGGTAGCAATTCGGCTTTTGCATCCTGTCAGTACTAGCAGACATTGCTTATACTGCTAGACGGACAAAAAGGTTACATTCTGTTCACTTTATTTGCTATCCATTCTGACGAATAGACTGTATCTATTTTTGTTCACACAGTCATCAGATACTTCTTTGCGAATATATCAAGTGAACAGCCTTGAAGCAAACCATGGGTATAGTGACCCCTAGTGGTCAATTATCAATATGACATTTCTGGCAGAACAATTTTTGTAATATGCCAATATTTTCACTTTTGTGCTATTACTACTAGCCACTTATTAGATAACATCTACACTGAGGCAATTCGCCCATTTGCTTTTAGTGGGGTTTTGGAGATAACCTCTCTCCTTTCTACTCCAAACCCTACCACTACTAGAGTGTATGCAGACTCTGGAACCTGTACATATATTCCTTTATCCTCACTCACTAGTATAACCAATTTTTGTTAAATGTTTCCTCACAATCCCCTTTTCTCCCTCTATATACGCCCTCAGCACCTATAGGTGGTCCTTTGGACATGTCTAATTTTGGACACCCACGAGAATCACATTAGATCAAGAGAGGCAGTCTATTTAGGAACGTCTTTTGTATAATACCAATAAAGTATCTTCTAGATTTTTATCAAAGGGACAGAATCTCTTTCTTTTGAATTTCTACTATTTAGGGTTACCCCCTTATTTTCTGTCTGTCATATGAAGATAATCTCGTTGCCATTTTCTTCTTCTTTCTTCTTTGATATCTGGCTCGATTTTCGTAAGGAACAAACGAAGGTCTCCTCTTTCGGTGATATTCAGACGACTTCTCTGTTTGCGCATAATATGATTTCTCATCTGTGCGTCAGCTTCCCTCCTCAATTCCCCTCCCCACCTTTCCCCCCCGCCCCCCCTTTTTAATTTATAGCAATGCCCAGTAGGAAGGCTGAGCTAGGTATCCCACTTACTATTACTTACTATAGCCCACTATAACAGACAGGCATACATACATACATACATACAGACACACACACACACAAGACACACACACATACAGACACACTGACAGGCACACATACTAAGACACACACAAGACATACATACAAAGACACATACACACATACAGACAGACACAGGACACACATACATACAAAGACACATACACACACAACACATACATACAAAGTCAAGACACATACAGACAGACACACACAAGACATACATACAAAGACACATATACATACAGACAGAAACACACAAGACATACATACAAAGACACATACACAAACACACACAAAATATTTTAGTCACCTTCCTGTTTCCTACCTTTTAGGTGCAGGAGGGTGACTTTCCCTGGGGTCTAGTGGTGGCTCAGGTGGATGGGAGTCAGAGTTCTCACTCTGACTCCCTTCTCCTTCCTCCTGCGCGGTCTGTGTGTTAGCTGGGAGGAGTGACGTGCAGTCACTTCCTCCCAGCATGTGATGTAATTACAGGGGGCCCGGTTGCGCTGTTAAAGTGCCCAGTGCTGACCCGGCTCCCTCACAATCCACATCCATCGGGTGGCCCTGACAGCATGGGCCACCCGATGGACCCCTCCGTATGTGGCCCCGGCGGTTCGCCGCACGGGCCGGGGCCGCAAGTGGTGATGGCAGTACCCGGACGCAGGGGTACCGCCAGCTCGCACCCGCCCACCACCCAATCTCTCAAAATTAGAAAATCCCTACCGCCCACCTGGAATCCTGAAACACCCACTAGTGGGCGGTAGGGACCAGGTTGACGACCCATGGTATGGACGGTCGGTTGTGTGTGGCCAGCTCCGCTAGCTCCCAAGTGGGCTCAGCCAGTGGAAGCATGAAGCAGACCGAGCCCTCTAATCAGAGGTTACACTAAATTAAAGGTAAAAGTAAAGCTGAGGCAGTCAACGAGGAAATGCGAAAGAAATTACAGATATAAACTATTTAGCAGCACTCTCAAACTGTGCTGATTATGTTCATTGTGGGAGGTGGAATAGCAGTGTCACCATGGGTTGGGCTGTCTTTAGCGCCTCAGGTAGGGTGACTGGCAGGCGATGCTCTCCGCGGCTCCATTGGGGTGAACTCCCGAATGTTAGCAAGTTTGAGCTGGGTCAGACCTGTGCCGCTTGGAGTATGCCCGTGGATATAAGAAGTGACTCCAATTCCTGGAAGCTCTGTGCCTTGCGAGATATCCCGTTGTGGGTGAACATTACAGCACGCGGGGTTCCCCATCGGTAGGGCATCTCTTTGGCGCGGAGGTGCTTTAGGAGTGGCTGCAGTGATTTTCGCCAGGTAAGGGTGCTTCTGGTGATGTCTGAAAAGATTGTGAGTGCTGTGCCCTCAAACGGCATAGGAGTGCGGCTAGAAGAGCGGCTTTGTCCGATAGGGACTGGAATCGCAGTATTAGGTCCGCAGGTGCGGCTGTCGGAGCCCGAGCCGGTCTAGGAAGTCGGAACATCCCATCAATTCTCAGGGATTTTGCTTGTTTTGGTGGAAGCCAGACACCGCCTAATATAGTGTGGTAGTTCAGAGAGGTCAACAGAGTCAGGTATTCCCCGAATTTTCCTCCGTTGATCTTCAAGAGCGTCTAGCCGTTCTGTGGTGGCGTTCTGCTGTTTCGTCAGGTCCGCCATTTGTTGTTCCACTTTGGCTAATCTGGAGACTTGGGTGCTCGAACAGGCCTCCAGTCGAGTAATTTTGGTCTGTGCTCCTTCTATGGCCTCTTTATAGTAGGCCATGTCTGCCGCTAGGTCTTTGCGCAACTCCGCCAGCATACTCTTGAGTTGGTCTGCTGTGACCGGATCTCTGGTTGTTTTAGGTGCGGTGGTGCGGTCTGGCATGTGTCCGAAGGATGCTACCTCTATTAGGTCTGTGGCGAATTCCTATGAGGAGAGGTCATCCGCCAGCGCCATCTTGGACCATGCGGCCTGTTGTGTGTTCCGCAGCATATCACCAATATCTCTGCCATGAGTGCCTTTTTCCACCTTTGCCTTCTTAGATTTTCGGCCCATGGTCTGCGGTGTAGTCTGGTTAAGTTTATGAGATTTTTTGGGTCAAATTCCACCATGTAAAGGGTTTGTTAGATTAAGTTTGTATCGGAGCTCACAGAAGTGTGACCGCTCCGTTGCGCTGCTAGTTCCGCCCCCCTCGTCTCCTTCTTTTCCTACTTCTCCTCTGTTACTTTCAAACTTGCATCTCTTGTTTAGCACTTTTCTTTTACTCCTTTTATTTTTACAGCTCTCAAATTCTCTTCCTTCTCCCCTTTCTTCATGGTCTAGATCCCTCCTCCTGCTCCTCACTGATGTTGCCTGCCAAAACATGGCACAATGTCAGACACACACAGACAAATCAAATCTCTACTTAATAGGACACAGTGCAATAATATTACTGGTATGCCCATGAAAGGCAGAAAACCTGCAGTATAGTCTAAACCTGTGTTTTTTGTTTTTTTTGTTTTTTTTTTGACTTGCCTTTATCTTCAGGAACTGTGTTCCTAATCCTCTTCTCTTTTCTTTTCTACTCCTGGCCACAAATTCTTCTTCTTCTCTTGTTTGTGCTCCAAAGCACGCTCCTCGGTCCTAATCCACGGACCACTGACAGAAAATGGGGGTGAAACAAAATGGCGGGGCATCAAGGAAAAAGTCATAAAGTCGGGAGTTTATAAAGCGAGAAATGCCTGTAGTTATTTTTGGCCGAGACTTATCCACTGCAGCCTCCAGCTCATGCTGATATCATCTGCGATCTCATCCAGTCCTTAGAGAGTTCATGTACTGTAAAATTCTGATCTCCTCCAAACGCAGTTATCAGGAATGAGTTTTGCTTGGTTATGGAGATTGAAGACAGCCATTGGAGGGTGATTATGGAGATTGAAGACAGCCATTAGAGGCTTACTTAACCTTTAATCTAAAGATTGCATTTTTATTTTTTTTTAAACAAAAGGGCAGTGTTTTACATTAAACGTGGTCATGTACGTTTACATTACGTTTAACGTACATGACCACTGCACCCAAACCATTTTAGTGTTCCTTGAGGCCATGACTATTGTATATCTGAGAATCTCTGTTCTATTTCTTAGAAATACACTGGCCTTCCTTGTATATCACAGTCAGGACCCACCTCTCATTCACCTGGGGTTCCCTTACATGTCTAGTCCTGCAGCCAACGCGACCCCTCTTTGGTGCATGCCGAAGGACCACCGAGGAAGGAGGGCCGGTATCTTCTTCCTGCACAGAAGCGGTGTTGCGACTAACTATGTCCCAAGTCTTGGGTAGCATCATCCTCAATGGGGGTGGAGCCTCCATACAATCGTAATGTAATAGATGAACATGCACCCAAAGGAGACCCTCTTAAAAGGGCAGGGGGCAATATAATTAGGAATGGTGGAGACAGATTTACCAATAGATTGGGAGGAGTGAGGACCTCTCCCCTATATAACCACATTTAACCATGTCCTCTCTGGTCAGTTATACTGTGCTTCAGTGTGTATATTCTATTGTCTCCCCAATATTTGACCCACTTTTGCCTGTTTCCTTGTTTATGATCCTGTGCTGCCTGCCTCTGACCTTCCCTTGACTAAGTTTACGCTTATTCCTTTTTGGTACCTCGCTTCGGTTTATAGCTTCTATTTGGACTTCTCATGTTAGAACCGAAACAATACCTCAGACATAGTTATATAGTTATCTAGGTAAAAAGAGACAAAAATCCATCAAGTTCAACCGTGATGCCCATTCTTTTATGCCGTTGATGTAAAAGAAGCCAACCCCTCACCCCAATTGTAGCCATTTCCAATAATGTCACAAAAAGAAAAAAAATCCTTCTTGTCTCCATAATGATGTTCAGATTTCTCATTGAATCAACAGCCTGTTTTATTGTGTTTATGCAAAAAAGCATCCAAGCCTTTTTAAAATCTCTCTATATAATCTGATAACACAACCTAGTTAGGCAAATAATTTCACAACTTATGTTGTGCCTTCCAGTCTCAGTGAGCGGCCTCTTGTCTGTTGTATACTCCTGATAATGAACAGGTTAGCACACAGAGGTTTTTACTGACCCTGTATATATTTGAATAGTGCTTTCGGATCACCTCTGAGGTGCCTTTTTTCTGTAGAAAACAATACCAGTTTTCCTCATAACTAATGCTTTCCATCCCCCTTACTCGTTTTGTAGCTTGCCTCTGCACTTTCTCTAGTTCTGCAATATCCTTCTTTAAAACAGGTGCCAAAATTGCACCACATATTCTTTACTATGATTTTTAAAGAGGCAAAATTTATATGTATTGAATCTCATCTGCCTCTTGCCTGCCCAGTCCCCCAATATATATTGTTCAGACTATATTTTCATACCTTGTTATGTGCCATCTGCAAACACCAACAAATAGAAAAATAGAATGTGATGGCAGATGAAAACCATTTGGCCCATCTAGTCTGCTCAATTTTCTAAATACTTTCATTAGTCCCTGGCCTTATGCCTACCCCCTGCATGCTTAAACTCCTTTACTGTGTTAACCTCTACAACTTCAGCTGGAAGGCTATTCCATGCATCCACTACCCTCTCAGTAAAGTAATACTTCTTGATATTAATTTTAAACCTTTACCCCTCTAATTTAAGACTATGTCCTCTTGTTGAGGTAGTTTTTCTTCTTTTAAATATAGTCTCCTCCTTTACTGTGTTAATTCCCTTTATATATTTAAATGTTAATATCATATCCCCTCTATCTCGTCTTTCCTCCAAGCTATACATTATTTAACCTTTCCTTGTAAGTTTTATCCTGCACTCCATGAACCAGTTTAGTAGCCCTTCTCTGAACTTTCTCTGAAGTATCAATATCCTTATGGAGATCCTTCCCTCTTCCTACTGCTAATACCTCTCCCTATATAACCAAGCATTCTGCTAGCATTTCCTGCTGCTCTATTACATTGTCTGCCTACCTTTAAATCATCTGAAATAATTACCCCTAAATCCCTTTCCTCAGATGTTGAGGTTAGGACTCTATCAAATATTCTGTACTCTGCCCTTGGGTTTTTACATCCAAGATGCATTATTTTGCACTTATCCACATAAAATGTCAGTTGCCACAATTCTGACCATTTTTCTTGTTTACCTAAATCATTTGTCAAACATCAACCTTGTTACATATCTTAGTATCATCAGCAAAAAGACATACCTTACCATCTACATCTTCTGCAATATCACTAATAAAAATATTAAAGAGAATGGGTCCGAGTACAGATCCCTGAGGTACCACACTGGTGACAAGCCCAAGCTTCGAATATACTCCATTGACTACAACCCTCTGTTGCCTGTCACTCTGCCACTGCCTTACCAATTCAACAATATTGGAATCCAAACTTAAAAATTGCAGTTTATTGATGAGCCTTCTATGTGCAACAGTGTCACAAGCCTTACTGAAATCTAGGTAAGCAATGTCTACTGCACCACCCTGATCTATTATTTTAGTTACCCAATAAAAAAAAAAAAAATAAGATTAGTTTGTCATGATCTCCCTGAAATAAACCCATGTTGTCTCTGATCTTGAAATTCATGTAATTTTAGAGGTTCAACAATCCTATCCTTTAACGTCGTTTCCATTACTTTCCCCACTATTGAAGTAAGGCTTACTGGCCTATAGTTGCCCGACTCCTCCCTATTGCATTTCTTGTGAATGAGCACAACATTTGCTAACTTCCAATCTTCTGGGAATACTCCTGTTAACAATGATTGGTTAAATACATCTGTTAATGGTTTTGCTAATACACCACTAAGCTCTTTCAATAACTTTGGGTGTATTCCATTATGTCCCATTGACTTATTTGTCTTTACTTTTGATAATTGAAACAGAACCTCTTCCTCTGTAAACTCACATGTAGCAAATGACTCATTTGTCCTTATTCCCTAACTGAGGCCAATTTCCTTAATTTTTATCTGTAATTACTGAACAAAAAATATTAACCGAGGCAGTCAGATATGCCTTTATCCTCTTCTACATACCTTCCTTCCTTTTGTTTTTAATCTAACTAATCCTTGTTTTACTTTCCTTTTCTCATTTATGTATCAAAAAATGTGTTGGCCCTTTTTTTACTGACTCTATTTTCTCTTCTGTGTGTGATTTGGAAGCTCTCCTAACTTGCTTAGCCTCTTTTTGCCTTATCCTATAGATCATTCTGTCTTCCTCACTCTGATTTTTTGCCATGATCTGTCTTTCATAAAACCATGTTAATTCCAGCTAATATTTTTTTAAAAATTGAATTCCTGAATATTATCAATTAACAGCCCTTCAAATAATTTCCAAACCACAGATGTTAAGCTCACAGGTCTCTAGTTTCCTTGTTGAGCTTTTGAACCCTTTTTAAATATAGGCACCACATCTGCTTTTCTCCAGTTCTCTGGTGCAATTCCTGAAAGAATAGAATCCTGAAAAAAACACTGGTATGGATATTTATGCACTGTAAAATGTAAGCACATGTCCAGTTGAACACTTGGCCATTCATTATTATCTGGGTTTCGGACCAAATTTCGGGGTCACAAGTCCCTAGTCACCCCTACCAAATAAACACCTACCTGCCTCACCTTAATAATAGTCAGTGGGAGGCAATAAACTAAATACCCCCAAAAAATTTTTATTAATACTCCACATTAGATGTCTTCTTTTTTTCAGCCCCAAAAAAGGCACATAAAAATCCAGACGAAAAAAAAAATTCCATCTACTTTCCACGAGGTGCAATGTGACTTGGAGCACTCTGATTGTTTGGCTTATGCCAACCAATCAGAGTGCTCGAACAGGTAAATCTTGAGACAGTCTGATGGTGAATAGTAATTTATTATTTTTCAGATATCTCGTTAACTGCCCCCCCATTTGGTGCGGTGACTAGGGGCTTGGGGACACTTAGTCACTTGGGATTGTGGTTATATTTGCTACCACCTAGGGCCTAGGGCTACCATTAGCGGTATTATGGGTCAGGAATGCATAATCCCTCTACTATGAGTTGCCCTGTTTGTCTCGCCCAATGGAGGGCATCCACCAATCCACCAAGGAAAGGCAAGGTGCACCCATTCAGTTAAGACCCTGTGGAGAAGCATAGGAACACCATACAAGGAGATCAGCCATACACCCCTCCGCTGCAAGCCAACACATGCCATCACAAGGACCAACCATTCAGCTCAGAGACAGTACCAGATCATGAGGCCCTGTGTGTCAGAGGGAAGATGCATACACGCCCAAAAGTCAGGCACACTTAGGGGAGTAACCTCCCAATGCAAACCTTCAATTGTCGCGCGTTGTGCAGTTCCCAAGCTGCACCTCTAGTCCCCTTAATATCCCTCTCCACACCATAGTTTCACTTCCCCCAAACCTCACAGAATGAATGATTTACAGTTATATTGCATACATACTGTAATTGTGGTATATCTATCTGACCAAATAGCCATAGTGATGTTTAAAGGATATGTCCGTTCCTTGGACCAGTTTAAAGTCTCTTTAAATTAAATTTGCAAAGTCCAGCTCTGCGGTTGCCTGTACCTCACACGCAGGAGAAGGCTCAACCCTGCACCGTCAGACATGAGGGACCAGCCAAGATCAGTTACACAATGTTGCCAGGGTCCCACATCCAAGGGCCACCGAGGCCAGCCCCCAGTAATTCGATAGCGAGATGAGAAATGTTTGTTGTCCGTATTAGACTTAAGTGTTTGAGGTGGATTAATATGATATCATTTGAGATTAACTCAAAAAAACTAAATTATATGGGCAGTAGAAAAAGTGCAAGGTCAGTCACATGATAAAAGATTAAAAAATCCTACAACAAGATATATATATCATGCCAATAGGACCTTTTTTTTTCTCAACTGTGATTACAACTATTTGTTTTATCCAATAAATTGGTTTAATAGCAGATTACTATTACTTCACCTTTCCTGATGCTAGCGTGCAAGAATTTCATACTGGTCTGCATACAGAATTGATGTTTTTATATTTTCCAAGAGTGTATTTCTGAAGAATTACTATTACTATAAATTGTAGTAGATGTTTACTTTTCTAAAGTAGTGTATGTACAACCAGAACAGCTTCAGAGAAAAGGCAGTGTTTACATTACTGCCTAGTAACATCTGTAGTGGCAGTCACTCAAACAGCCACCAGATGTGATTCCTGGGTCAGTGCTGCGCAATGTGTTCAAGTAGACAAAACTTTAATGCAGATGAGAAATTATGTTGTTGGTGCCTCATATGAAATAAAACACAGAAAATAAACCACCAATAGTGTTATCCAGTATAAACAATGTTTTAGGTAAAATTAACATAAAATACACTCTCAAGGAGAGAGCTTCTATTCAGCTTTTAGATAGGGCTCTGAGTAGGGATTGACCAATACTGTTTTTTTTAGAACCGATACCGGTAACCTGTGAACTTTCAGGCCGAGAGCAGATAGCTTACCGAAATTCTGTACATTTACCGTATTTTGTTTTTTGCAAATCTTTTTTTTATTAAGTGGTAAATGCACAAAATATACATGCCAGTCAGATTTTTTATGTTTTCAAGAATATTTATATTTCTGTGTAGTAGATGCAGTGTGAGTATTTGATTAGTAAGTGTTTGTGTAGTGGATGCAGTGTGTTTGTTTGTGTTGTGGATGCAGTGTGTGTGTAAAAATGTGCGATAGGAACCTTCCCCCCCCCCCTTGCCTGTCTCTTAGTGCCCCCACCACCCCTATTCCCCTTAATGTTCCTCTCCCTTCTCTTTTAGTGGATCCCCACCCCACAACCCAGTGTTCCTCTTCCCTTCCCTCCTTAGTGTCCTCCCTTAATGTTCCTCTCTCCCCCCTAGTGTTCTTTCCTCCCCTGTCCCATAGCGTTCTTCACACCCCTTCCCGGTCCCATAGTGATCCTTACCGTCCCCGGTACAAACACCCTAGCTCTGAGCGGTACAAACACCGCTCAAGGATAAATCTTGAGCTGGCCTCTTTTGATGTTCACAATGTAAACGGCATATGAAAGGAATAAAACAAGAATAAAACAGTATGCACTGTTTCAAAAAAAAAAAAAGTCCCTGTAAGTTTTTAATAAACTGCCCAAAGTAAAGGATGGATATTATAAAGTTGATTGATGCATTTCTGCAAAAAATACTAATAAAGTATTTTATGTTGAAGAGCAGCTGATTTGGTGAGGGTCAATGAAAATCATTCAAGACTTCCATTTTATATCTGGAATGCAAAAGTTGATAACTTTGTGGGTTATTGAGAAATAGGAGATCTGCAAATGGGCGTTAATTTGAAAAGTACATTTCATTATCCACATACAAAAAATACTGTTTAGTAGATATACACCCAATTGAAACGTGCATGTATTTGATTATGTATTTTTTCATTGGGGTTATATCTAAAAATGGCTTGCAAAAGCTGCACATTTCTTGTCTGAACCCTGCCCATACATTCTGTGGCTGTCCACTTGTATATTTCTCAATCCAGCTCAGTGACCAGTCTTTGCAAGGAGGTTGCACTATGAACAATTGCAGCCTCTTGTGTATAGCTCCACTGAGCTAAACAAACCAGGAAGTAAGACTGGCTGTTTGATTAAAAGCTAAGGGGTGTAACAAGGTTAATTTGTGAAAGCGACAATTTCTATTGAAGCACATTTTTCACACATAAAGCACTTCAACAAGATGAAATGTTTTATGGGTCTGGAGTGTCTCTTATTGCCATTATGTCCCCTACTGCCATTAAGTTGATGTGAACATATGATAATAGACCCTTGTGAATTTCATTAGGAATGTGCTCCACTTTATGATTTGGCAATGCTGGCCTTGGATACACCGGACAGTGGATGGACGGAAGAAGATGGACCTAAAGAAGGACTGGCAGAGTACATAGTTCAGTTTCTGCAAAAAAAGGCTGAGATGCTGAAAGACTACTTCTCACTTGAAATTGATGAGGTGATATTAACTTATTTTAAAAAGGTCTTCTGCATACAGTTGTACTAAATTGGCCACCTAAGCGAGTATCTGTGCAGAATTCTTCCTTGGAAATGGTTGGTTTCAGAGTTAGATGCCATATATCCGTTTTGGTTGTTACATGTGATATTTTACGTTCGCTATATAACTACCTCTATATCAACATATTCAATAAACTGATGTCTACACATGCTGGCAAAATATGCATAAGGTAGCCATCTGGTGCATACCAGCTGTTTTGCGCTTCATAGGTTTATTAACCATTTGAGATGCAATGCATGTGTGACCAAGGCCTATTCTGGCAACTTCTCACTTTCCCTGCATGCACACATATTATATATAATTTAAAGGAGAAACAGAGCTTTCTTTTGATAACCTATTGGTATACATAACACAACATTAAATATGAATAAAATATAAAAAGATTACGAAAAATCATTTATTTTTCTCAGTTTGCGTTGAAAAATTTCTACACTACAAGTGCTACTAAAGGAAACTAACTCCCAAAATATTCACTGATTAGTCTTGATTGTTAAAATGCCCAATAGGATTTCATTACAATTTTAGAAGTTATAAAACAAGGAATGAATTGTGGTTTTAAAGTCTTTGCAAAATTTGGCAGATTTAAACTTTAATAGTAATCACCGAATCTAAAACTACTATACAAAAGTATGTATTTGTAGAAAGTACATCTTCCAGACTATTTCATGTAGAGCATTTGGACACTTTCCGTTTAACTATTTTATCACCAACCTCAAATATTTAATATATTTTGTATAATTTTGTGTGTCTCACTACTATAATGTTTAATATTTGTATTCTGCTACTATTCTCCAGTACATTGTTCCACATGTATACCTTTCTCACTAATCTAACCACTTATCCCACCTCTAACCACACCTCCCTTTGCTGGCATCAGTACTGACAACAGCAGAGGGATTTGCCACCTCTCACAGGATAGAGCACTATGTGCTCTGTGATTGCAGCATGAGAGGAAGATATCCCTCTGAAGCTGCAGCTTTATGCTGGGTAACTGGCATCATTGTCAGCTGGGGGGCATGCATTGAGACTTGCCTGGGGTCTTTTCAGATCTTGGAGATCTTCCTCTCTCTGGAGGCAGGCTCTGAATCGCCACTGCTGATTTATAAGTCTATGGGCAGCGCTCATTTTGAGCACCAGAAGATACATTAATTTAATTAATCAAATAAAGCTGGGACGCACACCTTCTCTGCTACTTTCTTTAGATGCAGAGAAGGCGTTCAATAGAATTCACTGGGACCTTAGAGAAGTTATGTCTAGATTTGGCTTGCTGGATCCTTTTATTGGTGCCGTATTCACTTTATACTCTAATCCAACCATCAATCCAAAGTCTCTGCATCTTGTTTTATATCAGAAAGTTTTTCATTATCTAATGGTACAAGACAGGATTGCCCATTGTCACCACTTTTATTTGTGATGGCGATGGAGTCTTTGGCGGAAATCATTAGACGATGTCCAGAGATTGAAAGCATTGTGGTGGGAGACAAAGAACACAAAATTGGCCTATTTGTGGATGAAATCAGGCTTTCATTAAAAAATCCATTGTCCTCACTTAGACAGCTAATGTCAATCCTGCAAGAATTCTGCAATATATCGCTTTATAAATTAAACACTAACAAATCACAAGCTCTTTCCTTTTTCGTCCCAAGACTTGAATTGGATACTTTAAAAAATAAATTTGATTTGGCATAAATTTATGTTAGAACCTATCAAGGATGCATGATTGCAATTTGATAAAAATTTGGTCAAAAGAAGACATAGAAAATTCATCTGATATCGAAATCTCTTGGTTAGGCAAAATTAATTTGATTAAAATGAATGTCCTCCCAAAAATCCTATATATCATTAGAACCATCCCTCTCAAAATCCCCATCTCATTTTTCAAAGTAATACATTCAACACTTCTAAAACTTATCTGGAATTATTAACCGAATAGAATCAAATTGCAATTTTACAAAAGACCAGAGTTTAGGGAGGATTGGGCCTATTGTTTTTTTTTTTCCATATCTACCATGCTACAAATGCAGCAGCGGCCCTTAAATTCAATTTGGATTCACATAAACCTCAATGGTTGAAAGTGGTATCATCAAAAATTTTCCCACTTTCAATTAATTTTTTTTTATGGATTCCCACAAGTTTGAGACCAAAACTATATTCACTATTTCCAACCACAAAAATAACTATTAAAGCATAGCATTTTAAAATTGATTAGACCAAAAACAAATTTATCAAGAGCAACTCCCTTATCAATTTTGATCAAAGAATTACATGATTTTGACTCTCCATATTGGTCCTCTCACTCAATCATATTGATAACCTTATAAAAAAAATAATAAACTCCTATCCTTTAACCAATTAAAAGAAAGATATATAATTTAAACCATTCGGATAGCCCAATTCAAAATGTGATGTTTTCAACCTGGATCTAAATCAGAGAACAATATTATCACCTATAGAAAAAATTTACTTTTGGTATCCGAGAAGGAAACATACGATATCTATTTTTTTTATTTGACGTTTTAAAAAAAATAAATAAAAAAATAAAAATAACAATGAGAAGTCAGATTTCATGTTACATTGGGAAGGGAACTTAGGCGTGGCCTTTGGTCTGGATGATTGGAATGGTTTTATTTTATCGTTCAAAGGTACTACACAGTGCATCTCTCATTATGAATCCCATTACAGATTATTATTTAGATGGTACCTAACCCCCTTAAAATTATTAAAATTATCAAATCCAAATAAATGTTGGAGGCATTGTGGACAAGTCGGGTCCTTAGGCCATATGTTTTGGACATGCCCATTAATAAAACTATATTGGAACTCAATTCATACAATTATTAATACAATCACAGATTCAATTAAAAACCTAACCCCTGAAATTTGCCTATTCAAAATATCTCCCCCAAATTTATCCAAAAACAAATTGATTATACCAATTCATTTATTAATTGCAGCTAATTCTTTAATACCGAAATATTGGAAAACATCAAATGTCCCATCCATTAAATAAGTTTTAAATGTAACAATAGAAAACAAAAGATGTGAATTGATTTTTAAGGCAAAAACCTATTAAAAATATTAATTAACATCATGCATGGGCAATGTGGGATGAGGACATAGTAAATAAATAAAATCTGAGGTGATGTCCCCTTGTCGACCAACCTGTATTTATTTTTATTTATTATGATTATTCTACATTTTTTCTTTTTCATTGTCATCTTTACGTATATGCGTGGGTTCATATTCGCTTTTATGTTTTTACTAAAAATATATGTATAATATTGGTGTATGTTATCTTTTCCATATATTATGGATGTATATATTATTATTGTTATTTCCCCCATATTGTAATCTATTTCACTAAAAACAAATTCATTTCTGTAAATTATTATATATTTTAAAATTCAATAAAAATTATTTGAAAGGAATCAATATAACAGTAACAATGTACACATGTCTACAGTACATTGAAACAGTATCCAAATAAATTGTAGTATAAAGAAACAGTATGTGAGGTCGAATGATTATCTCAGTTCGGTGTATCTAATGTATCCTAATAACTGCATATAAAGTCAGTATGGCTACTCCTAATTCACTCAGCCAAACGGATAGGACGGTGTACACTCAAATGAGTATCAACTTAAAATGGATCTGCATTCACATTTAACCTAAGTGTAATCCAACATTAAATTGAAAATGTAACATGAGGCAGCTCCCATAAAGCACACCTCCTCCTATAAATGTCTACTACCCCATGCTCACGTTGCCTGTATGGGTATCAGCTACACCTCACTGACGTGGCCCAAAGAAGGTTGAATCGATTATCTGGGGTTTCTATATCTCTTGTGCAGAGGGAACTTGCTGGCATTTCAGTTCTGGACTGCCGGTACGGTTGGGACCAGGCTGATATGCTTCCGATATGTTCTCTTTGTAATGGCACAAGTGAGCAAAAATTTTGAGACCTGAGTGGGGACTTACTGAAGGGCAAGCTATTGAGTTTCCCTAAGCTTTGGTCAGTTCTCAAGAGTTTTCATATTCTTTGTTTTTGCTATAATCACACTACCACCAACGTCTGATCGGCTTAAAGGGTTCAGGCCCAGGATAGCCTGGTACTATCCCCAGTAACAAATCACCTTTGGATTTTTTTTTTTCTAGGATTAGTGTTTACATTTTACAAAGCTACTTAAAATAGCTACTTAACCCCTTCAGGACGGGTGACGGACGAGGTCCGTCACAGAGGGGAGACCCTTAACGACGGGTGACGGATGTAACGGATCACCTGGCACCCCGACTGGGTACCTCCGTTAAAGGATGCTCCTAGCGCTTCCTGAGGACTCCAAACACTGCAGCAGACACCACAACCACCGAACTGGAGAAGCATATGAATCCTCTCAAGCATATGAATGCTGTAGACAGTTGAATAGGAACCATACGAATAGGTTTACTCTCCTAGCAGTCAAACTGGAACAGCATACAATAAATCCTTCCCCCAATAATGAGACGACACTTCACTTTGTGGGTTAAAACAGGAACTCTCTGTACTGTCACATACAGTCTCTTTTATTCCCAATCCACAAACATAGTACAGCCCACAGGGCGTTACAAAACAACCAATCAATCAATACACCCAGACACTCCCACACAAAATCCTCCCCTCTGCATGTGATATGATTACTGAACACAATGGGTAATCTCATTATCACCGGCAGAGGAATACAGTTTTTACACAACATTTATAACTTCTAAAATATACATGTCACAAACATAAAACATACATTTTCATAATCAATCCATTCAGGGGAACAACATATTAAAAAATGGCACGAATCAGACCAGGGGTTCAAAAGTTAAGGGAAAGTCCTTTGTGACTAAATGAAGCATGGCTTTCTGGCCCAAACCAGTTTCAGAGTCTTCTATCCTGGAGATAAGTAATTCAATTATCTCCCAGGACAGACACAAGACTCCATTAAGCACATGGTTGCAAAAGACACAAAACACTTTAAAATACATAAAGTCACTTTTTACACATAACACACAGACATTTCACATATCCCCAGATAGCTGGGATCTGAGCGCACAAAACTACCGAATAGCGCTCAGATCCTATTCACACAGTTCAATTGCCATGGAGCCGAAGTCTTTAACTACACGAATGGGCTCCATGGCATAGCTATCTGGGTTAACACATTCACATAAAGTCTGGTCCATAGTCCAAAGGCAAGAGGCGGGCAAGCAGCCCCCTCCAAGGACACGTGGCGAGGCCGGTTTCGCCACATTTCTCCCCTTTACCATCCAGACTAACAGGGTATCTGACCTCCTGCCGGTCAGTGCCCTGGTTAGTCCAGCAACCCACCCACGAAGCACAAACAGCAATACAGCCCACCCACAATAACTGGTTACTACACCTGGATAAAATAGCAACTTGTCCATGTCCAGGTGCCTCACCACGGCTGTGCGGGGGGCTGGTAGACTGCCTTGGTGGGTTGCTGAGTGGGCAGAGACCAGCGGTACTCTGCCCGGGTGCCAGCGCTACCACTGAAGTAGCCTGGTTGGAGCCTGGTTGTGGGAGGGGGAGACCGACTGTCTCCCCTCTGGATACACTGCTCTGTGGCTGGGGGACAGGACCGACCGTCCCTACCCCTGGTGCTGCAAGTGCAGAGACTACGGTCCCATCTGCATAGTTGTGGGGCTTAACATCTCCCCTTGGTGGGTTAGGCTGCCGCTGGAGAGAGGGTGTAACAAGCTCCTCTCTCTGAATTGTAGACTGCCGCTGGGGAGAGGGGGTAACCTGCTCCTCTCCCTGACACTCTCTTTGCTGGTGGAGAGGGGGACCAACTGTCTCTCCTTTCAATATTTTGTCCTGCTGCTGGGGAGAAAGACAGACTGTCTCCGCTTCCTGCAGGACACACTGCCGCTGGGGAGGAAGGACTGCACCTTCCGTTCCCTGGGAAACAGTCTGCCGCTGGGGAGGAAGGACGACCCCTTCGGCTCCCTGGGACTCACACTGCCGCTGGGGAGGAAGGACAGCACCTTCAGCTCCCTGTGATACATACTGCCGCTGGAGATCTGGGCTGACCGCCCAGCATCCCTGTAGGGCCGGTAGAGAGACCGCCGTCCCATCTCCACCTGCCATCTGTGGGTCTTCCCAGGACCAGTCTGTGAGGTCCCTCAACATTTGCGAGTAAGGACCACCTGGCAACTCCGGCTGCTGGGGATCTGGGCCGGTCCCATCTCCACCTGCCTGTTGTGGTTCCTCACAGGACCAGTCTATGAGGACCCCTACTTCGGGTTCCTGCGGCCGCCTCAGGGGGAGACGGCTAGCCTCCTCGGATGCAGCCTCTACTCGGCTGCTGTAACACTCCTTCCTCTGAGCATACTCTCTCTCTTTCGCCAGCCGGAATTCTCGGGCCAGCCTTGTGTTTCGCTCGGCTGTGACCTGGTTCCAGATCACCCGGCGTACCTCCATGGGTAAATCATCCCCATACTGGGCCACTCGCTGCCTCACCTCGGCCATCCAATCATCGCCAGAGCCTTCCATACTTGTCTGCTCCAAGTCGCTGGATACCTCTGCTCCCAGGGGCGCTGCACGTGTGCTAGCGTTGCCCTCAATTTGTAACTCCACGAACGGTGTCTCTGAGCTGCTTTACGCCGGTTTCGCCACAACGGACCTCGTCCGTCACGCGGTAAAATTAACCCCGGATCGCCGCTATCGCGGCGATCGCGGGGTTAATGGTGCTCCCGGTATGCCTCTGCATTGGAGGCATACCGGGAGCACCCGGTCAGGCTGCCCAGCACATGTGCTCGCTCTGACCGCAAGTCTGAGCGAGCACATGTGCTCTCTATACTCACCTACTGGCTCCCTGCACTTCCGGGTTCTGTGTGAAGTGCAGGGAGCCGGATCAGTGCTGATCCTGCCCCCTGCTGTAAAAAATAAATAAAGTTTATTTAAAGTCTTACCCATTTTAATAAAAAAATTAACCCCTTCCCTGCCAATTGATCACTGACTACAGTGATCAATTGGCAGGGATTACATTTTACTATGATCTGATTTTTTTTTTTAACCCCTGAGGGTTAATTCTTTTTTTTTTAACCCTCAGGGGTTAAATTAATTAATTAAATTATTTTTTAATTATATATTTAGCTAGCTGGGGTAGGTGGAAGTTAGTGGGGAATTGGGGGATTTGGCGTTAGGCTAACTAGGGGTTAACGTTAAAAAAAGTTTTAAAAGAAACTTTAAAAAGTTAAAAATTAAGCTTAAAAAAATGTTTTAATAACATTTAAGTAAAAAAAACAAAAAAAACACACTTTACCTAGTCCAAATAAAAATTAACCCCTTCCCTGCCAGTCGATCACTGCCTACAGCGATCAAATAGAGATCACAGTATTATACTGTGATCTAATTTTTTTTAACCCCTGAGGATTAACTTTTATTTATTTTTTTTAACCCTCAGGGGTTCAATTTATTTAATTAATTAATTTAAATATTTTATAACTATATATTTTGCTAGCTGGGGTGGGTGGGAGTTATGGGAAAATGGGGAATTTACTGTTAGTGCTGCGTACTGCTAGTTAGGGGTTAACGGTAAAAAAAAAAGCTTAGAAAAATGTTAAATCTGTAAAAAAGTTTTAAGAAAGTTTAGGAAAGTTTAAAAAAAATTATAAGCAAAACAAAAGTTTAAAAACTAGTTTTTAAAAGTAAAAAGTTATAAAAAGTAAAAAAATACATTTTAAAAACGCTCATTACCACTACACCTGGAGCAAACTAGAGAAAAAATTATCCCACGCCAAGGTTCAAAATATGCCTTTTGAATTACCCCAGGGTGTATTCTTTAATAAATAGTATGTGTTTGTGGGGAAGTTTCAATAACCAACCGTCTAAACTACTCCAAATTGGAACATGGACACAGCGTAAAACTTCAAAGTTAGAAAAAACTGAATGGCTGCGTCTCAAATGCGCCCCTTCAACATCCACATATACCTGGCAAAGGTACATACGGGGGTATTGCTGTACTCAGCCGACATAGCTGAGCAACATATGAAGTATTATACATTCATAGCACACATAAGGTTTGCAAAATATGCTGCGCAAACTCACTTTGTATGTCAAAAAGGCAGAAAAAACGCTTATTACCACTACATCTGGTACAAGCTAGCGGAAAAATGATCCCACGCTAAGGTTCAAACTATACCTTTTGAAACACCCTGGGGTGTCTACTTTAAGAAATGGTAGGCCTTTGTGGGGTAGTTTGAATTTAAAACCTGCGAAGATGCTTGGAAATTGCACATAGGCCCAGCGTCAAAATTCAAAGTTTGGTAAAAACGGATATGGCTTGGTCTCCTATATGGCACTGTAGCTTCACAAAATAGTGCCAAAGACATTCATTGGGGGTGTCATTTTACTCAGAAGACTTAGCTGAGCATAATTTGGGGGTTTGAACTTAGTGGCACATATGAAATATACAAAACGCCCAGCAAAAATGCAATCCGTATGTAAAAAATGCACAAAATTATTTTTTACCACATACTTTGGCATATATTGGTGAAAAAATGGGGGCATGTTAAGGCACAATATGCACCTTATAAGATACCCTGGAGTGTCTACTTTTACAAATGGTAGGCCTTTGTGGGGTTTTTTTGAACAGTCAAACTGTTATAATACCCCAAATGGAAGCTAAGGCTCATTAAATTCATCTCTCAAAATTCTACTGTGAATACTGAAAAGGACAGGTATCCTGTATGGCACTGTAACTTCACGAAATAGTGCAAAAGACATACAATGGGGGTGTCATTTTACTCAGCAGATGTAACTGAACACAAAATAAAACTTTGTACAGGAATAGCACACACCAACTTTACAAAATATACACGAGAATTTCTCTGTTATAAGTTTGTGTGCCAAAAACCAAAAAGAACACAATTTTACTCCAATATTTAGCAGAGGTTGGCGGTGAAATGGCTACGTAGAAAGTGTCAAAACAACCTTAGGTAAATAGCCCGTGATGTCTACTTTATATAAATATATACTTTTGTGTGGCAATTTTGTTTTCTTTTATGGCTATTAAGCTTACAAGACAAACATACCAAATTCTAAAATCGCTCCACATTAAAAGTTTATTTTACTCCTTGTGCTTTGTGACCTGTAACTACCAAAAAAAAACTTAAAATCCCAGACACATTATATATTCTGTAAATCAGAACAAATAAATAAATTTATTTTTAATTACTTTCCTTAACCTGCACTAATTATGCACACATTATTATTGCAAAAACTGTAAAAAAAAAAACAATATTTTTCATTTTTTTTGCATTTTTCTGTATTTTTTTTATAATAAGTAAGCATTTATATATATATATATATATATATATGTTATATCAAATTAAAGCCCTTTCTGTCCTTTAAAAAACAGTATATAATATGTGTCGGTGCAATAAATGAGAGAGATGCAAATTGCAGTTGAACGCAAACAGCAAGAAAATGCAAAAATTGCTTGTGTCATTAAGCGTAAGTCAAGCTTCTGAAGCTGTGTCCTTAAGGGGTTAAAGCAAACATATAGTGGTGGGATTAACACAATATGGCCGTATGGTGGCACTTAATCCCCCTATATTGGTGGGCCTACACTAATTTTAACATGGGAAACAAACATGCTAACTACAATATTTACTACTTTTTTTTAATTGTGTTTTTGCTGAAATATATTTAGAATGATATATGTTTACAATGCATTTAGATTAATTGAATGCAGTTTAAGTTATATTCATTTAGCACTGATACTTGAGGGCTTATCCAGTACATTTTCAGAGGTTGTTCAACACCTCAGTCACCACTGGCTGCTATTAACAAAGTGATATGCTCAATTACTTAATTATGCTTCTGTTTACAGAAAGGAAACCTTACAGGACTTCCACTATTGATTGACAACTATATTCCACCTTTGGAAGGATTACCAATGTTTATCCTACGTTTAGCCACAGAGGTAAATAGCTTTTCTGGACAGGTCTTAAAAGTACATCTTTTTGTAAGCATCTCATTAAGTTTAATCAAAATGTATAGAGCAAACTCTAATATTGTAAATTTAGATGTCATTCTTTGAGGCTACATGAACTCTCACAACATCATGGACCAGTGCTCAACATTATGGATTGCATGTTAGAGAAATTGTAATCCTGTGGATAGATTTTGGCCAGCAAAAAAAAGTTAAATAAATAAATCACAATCACACGTACCCTGTCATGAAGTATAGAACAATTCTGGATAAAGAAACTATGGATAGAGTCTTCTGTAAAGGGATTCTACTAAGATTTTATAACAATACTGTACTCCTGAAATATGGCATGAGCTATTAAGTAATGCCAGAAATAATTAATGTATATTTGTTTTCTGGACAGTGTGCTCCTTAATCCTGTAGTGACCAATCCTCACTTAATTAATTTATGCAATTCAACCTCATCATTCTTTTGAACAGGCCAGGTCACATAGTGTATGGTTTAAATTTTAAATGTTTTTTTCAAAGCAAATGTGTGGTCAACTTGTTGTTTTTTCCAATTAAAAAACAAACCAACAAAAAACCTTGTATATTAAGTTGCTGTATAGCCAACTCTTAAAGACAGAGGTAACTCAGCAAATATTTAGTAGTGCTTTGCAATGGCTGGCAAGAAATAGGCTGAAATTGACATCTGCTGCTAAAAGACCTTCATCAGTTAATTCTTCCCGATCAATGCGGCTGGGGACACAACCTAGGAGTTAAACTATTGTTCAATGTCCCCAGGGACACTTGCTCTCTTAATGACTTCAACTGAAATTGTTATGGGGATGGAGTGTCTCATTAATATTTGTATGTGGTTTTGCACATTGCTATTATCTATGAAGTTAGATATTTTTATTTTATTTTTTTCTTCAGCTTTGTAACTTTATTTTTTTGCCTCCAGGTGAACTGGGATGATGAAAAGGAATGCTTTGAAAGCTTTAGTAAAGAATGCTCTATGTTTTATTCCATAAGAAAGCAGTACATACTGCAGGAACATGCAACTGAGGTGAGCATCAATGGTGTTCATTTGCAGCCCTGAACAGGGTAAACCTTTTATTTTCTTTTGTATTTTGTATTTATATTGTGTTCAATATGCAGACATTAACATGTTAAAATTAAGATGACTTTTAATTTTTATTTTATTTTTTTTACAATTGCTTGCAATGTGTCTATCTTCCATTTGCAGTATCTGTAGCAGACCTGCTTTTTGGGTTATCCTTTAGGAAATATAATAGACTTGCTTTTAGGTACACATACTTACGTGTACACTAGGAAGATTTCTTACAAAAGTTAAGTTTTTTAATCTTCATAAACAATTTCACCCTTCTATGTTTAGAACAAGGAATTAGGTTCACCATCATGGCGATGGACAACAGAACACATCCTGTACAAAGCTTTCCGGACTCACCTGCTACCTCCAAATCCATTTGCAGAAGATGGAAGCATCTTACAGCTTGCAAACCTTCCAGATCTGTACAAAGTATTTGAAAGATGCTAGTGTACCCCGTACCCATAGATATATAACATCCATATTGGGAATATATATACGTCATCCTTCACTGTGAGGAACTACTAACTTTATCTATCACAGATTGGAGCATATGAGGTATATATTAATTCAATTCCTGCTGATTGGATGGGACATCACTATGCACTAAGTTCCAATTACATTTCCTGGCGGTTTTGGTTTTCATGAACATAATTTGTGTATGTGTTTCTTCTAGGCACAATGCATAAATAACTATAAAATATATATTTAATACTCAACATTAAGCACAAGTACAGGTTATTCATTGAAAGGTAAATAGTTGTGAAAGTGAATTTCAAATATAAGTCAGACTACTCTAACTGAAAATGTATCTGATTTGGATAATTTTTCTAGTGTGGCTATTTTATCTCTAAATGAAGTCTTCAGCTCCATATGTATAAAGAAGAATTCATGACTTAATACAGTGTCACAAATATGTACCTTCAAATGCAATCACAAAGTCTACCGAGCAAGAGTGCATCTGTTTAAGGCGTTATTTTCTGATATGTGAATATTATATAAGGTAATGATTGAATGCTAAATAAAGAGGAGTTTTTTTGCATTGTTTTGTATTTTTTTAACTTTAATTTAAATTACTATATTGAAAAGATGTCCTTTTGTACAGATTATGCAGATATAACCTGACTATATCCAAGTTAGCAACCTTAAAACCAGGAATGAAATGAGAGGTAAACAGTTTGGAATATAGGTTCACACAACTACTCTATCTCAAAAGTAATATTAAAGAATTATTGTACATTAGATCTGCAAGTGCAGCAAAGGAAGCAAGCAAGAAATTTTAAAAAAATACTCACCGTAAATTCCATTTTCCATAGGATAAGTGGTAGTACAACAACATCAGGACAGGCAGAATTGATCCTATAAAATTCTTAATATTAGTACCACCTTTAACCACCCCCCACAATCTACAAGTACTTGCCTACCCCCAAAAAAATCCACAGGAATAATAACCTGAAAATACTTATATACTACTACTATAATACAGATTTCTCTCGCTATTTCTAATAGATATTACCGCTAATCCGATGGAAAATTGAACTTATGAGGAGTAAAAATTCGGTTATTTCATACAGATAGCGGCAGTACAACGGCAGGGACATAAGCTGCACTGAATGCGTACTTGATGTTTGTTTGTAGAACCTTTTGCCCAAACAAATCATCACAGGCAAGAATGTCTAACTTGTATATGCTTTGCAAATTAATTCGGCTGAGGATTCTACTTTTGATGCTCAGGGTGTTGAGGTTGCTCTTGTGGAATGAGCTTTAATTCGAGGAGATTTCCCTATGCTTTAATAAGCAAGGACTATGGTATTCTTAATCCATCATGCTATAGTAGCTTCCGAGGCTGCTTTGCCTTTACTTTTTCATTCATCTCTGCTGAAAAGAAGCTGTCCTATCAGAATGAATCTTTAACACCTTTTTAATGTTCAAAATATGACTTTTGCTCTTGAGGGTTTGCCAAATTGTTGGTTAGTAGTTTAATTTCTTGTGGAAAAATGGCTAAAGGGTTAACTTTGAATGAAACAGTCTCAAGACCATTTTATCAATATGTTATACTAAAAAAGGCTCTAAAGGATTGAATTTCATCCAGATGTTTAGCATAAGTAATAGCCACCATTTGAGTGCAAACTGCAACCAACAAGCTATGGGTAGAGAGGGGTTAACTGCAAAAACACTGGAAATCCTAGTGTGATATGTGTAGGGGGGAGTATCTGCAGTATAGTAACTAGGAGGTGCAGACTGCAAAGATGTTGCCTGGTATATTCTGCAGTAAAACTACAAGAACAATGGAAAGCCTAGTGTTATGGTATGTGCAGGCGGGAGTATCTGCAGTATAGTAACTAGGAGGTACAAACTGCAAGATGTTGCTTGGTAGATTCTGCAGGAACTGGCTTAATAACCCACAAGCTATGGGTAGAGGGGTTAACTACCAAAACACTGGAAATCCTAGTGTTATGGTATGTGCAGGCGGGAGTATCTGCAGTATAGTAACTAGGAGGTGCAGAGTGCAAAGATACTGCCTGGTATATTCTGCAGTAACTGGCTAAATAACCAACAAGCTATGGGTTTAACTACAAAAACACTAGGAATCCTCCTATGCTTGTGCCTTCGAGGGCACCCCCTTAGCCAAAAGCCTACAATCTCCTATGGAAATACAAATAGAAAATTTCCCACTAATACCGCTACAATGAAAGAAGTGTGCTGGAAATGCCTAGACTTTGTAGGCTGCTTCAAGTGGTGCTGGGTAACGGCCGAGCCGATGCTGATAGAAAGCTCTAATTGGTACGGTAAGTAAAGAGGTCACTCTTAGTAAAGTGACTGGTGGATAGCGCTTTTTGTAGTTAAACCCCTCTCTACCCATAGCTTGTTGGTTATTTAGCCAGTTACTGCAGAATATACCAGGCAATATCTTTGCAGTCTGCACCTCCTAGTTACTATACTGCAGATACTCCCCCCTACACATACAATAACACTAGGATTTCCAGCGTTTTGGTAGTTAACCCCTCTCTACCCATAGCTTGTTTGTTATTAAAGGACCACTATAGTGCCCTAAGGGCGCCCCCACCCTCAGGGACCCCCTCCCGCCCGGCTCTGGAAGGGGGAAAGGGGTTAAATCTTACCTTTTTCCAGCGCTGGGCAGAGAGCTCTCCTCCTCCGATCCTCCTCTTCACCTCCCAAACGGCTGGCTGCGCACGCATTCAGCCGGTCGCATAGGAAAGCATTCATAATGCTTTCCTATGGACGCTGGCGTGCTCTCACTGTGAAAATCACGCAAGCGCCTCTAGTGGCTGTCAATGAGACAGCCACTAGAGGGAATAGGGGAAGGCTTAACCCATTCATAATTATAGCAGTTTCTCTGAAACTGCTATGTTATGAAAAAAATGGGTTAACCCTAGAAGGACCTGGCACCCAGACCACTTCATTAAGCTGAAGTGGTCTGGGTGCCTAGAGTGGTCCTTTAAGCCAGTTCCTGCAAAATCTACCAGGCAACATTTTGCAGTTTGCACCTCCTAGTTTCTATACTGCAGATACTCCTGCCAGCACATAACTCTAGATGCTATTTCTCACAGTCTAACACAGGACCCGGTCATCATTTCTGAGACGCTCTTTTCTGCAATATACTGGAACTCTCAAGCTTGTTTTGGAGTCCAGACACTGCAGTTTCAGTAAACATTGTTATCAGCTTTAACAGCTTCAGCGCAGCTCACTGGGACTTGGCTATTTTTCCTTGAGCCCGGGTAATGGTATATCGATACATTATTGACACTACTAACTTGTAGCTGTTGTTCCCACAGTGGCATTTCACTCTGTTAACAGGCAGTGTAACTGTATCACTTGAGGATTTCTGACAACAGTTATTTGAACTAAAATTTGTTTGTATACCCCCTTTTAACTATTTACATTAAAAGTGAAGATTTAATTATCTTTCCTCTTTTGTGATCTCCCCGAGCCCAACCTATCCTAAGGTCACCCCTCTATAACTAGGCAACTACCACTCTGCAAGACACTATCATTTATCCTGTCCCTTCTCCTGTCTCCCTTCCTTATTGTTTAGTTTTGTAGTGCATTTCGTTGCACTCGGGGTTAACCCCTGCTCAGGAGTAAGATTATTGTACTATCTTCCTTCCCCTTGTTTTTTCTATAATCACATACAACCCATAATTAAGGAATTTCAAAGTATGCTTCTAAAATAAATATTTCCTGTTGATTCCAAATCATCTTGTTACGTTTATCTTTACTAGTATATGATCTATACGGGGAAAGCTCTCTAGCATCCACTTATTTTTAATGAAAGAGCTCTCTTATTGTGCTAATGAATGTCATGCTCATATTACTAAACAAATTGATTTCTGTAGTAATTTCTCGTAGAAAACATGTTTAAAACAGTTCTTCACATCAAGGTTTCAAGTGTAATCTTAATTAATCTTTACTAAACACAGAAAAGAAAAAAAATCTGAATCCAAGGGAGACGCTAAATAAAAAGTAATTCAGAAAACCACTGCAATAAAATTGGCCATCAAACTGTCAATTTAATAGGTCCCTCATTTTGTTTCCCCCCATTTATTGTCTCCACTCACACTGAAGCAGTAGATAATACAATTTTTACAATGTACAGCAAAATATTTTAGCTATAACTGTGGTTTCTGGTCTCATTGAAAGCGATTTAATCTTATTAAAATATTATTGTTCAGCAGTGTCATCACCCATGCAATAAAAGCAAGATGTATATACAGTTCCAATCAGACATTTCTTATACAAATTAAAATATTTTTTTTCTTTTACAAAAAAGTGTTTTGCAAACTGTATAAAGTTTAATGAGTACACATTCCCGAAAATTGTAACGTTCCAAAGTATAAATGTTAGCGCAATTCTGTTAAATAAACAGTTTAACAGCATTAAGGATGAAATAACCATGAGGACGAAGGCACTTGGCATCTTAACTCCATCCCTGCTGCACTACAGATGTCTAAATGGCACTGTACAACACGACAGGTTGCAACTCCCCCAGTACTGCTTAGTAGAGTAGAGACAAATGTGGAACTGTGAGGGAGATCAGCAGAGACATTTCTTGAACATCCCTCCAAGTTTGGCAGACCAATGATGCTCCTTATTTGTGACAGGACACACTTTATAAGGAAAAGGGTTAGTCTGTTAAATCTCGCACAGCTTTGGATAGGCATCTCTGAGGAAGTTGTAGATGATTATCTTTTTTTATGCAGTAGTTTCTGTTCACCAGCACAGGTAAGCATCAGACAAAACAAAATAACAAAAACAGGATGTGAGAGTAAACTTGATTATAATATTGTGAAGGAAAATATGTCCTATCTGAAACCAGTAATCCAGCGTGTTGCTCTCCAACTCTTAAATTTACCCGAATCAGTGTCTTGAAAAGGAGAAATCACCATGGTTTAACATATTCATGCCAGTTTATCATCCTCCCATAAATTAAAAATCGATATATTTTTTTTTTTTTTGCCTTTAAGACCTTGGGTGGGGAAGCCAAGGCAAACGTTGCACCATGGTGCTTATGAGAAAGTCCATAATAAGACAAGGTGAGGGTGCGTTGTTCTGTGGAGCAGTGCATTACATTGTTGCATTTCATCTATTTCACTGCTGTGACAGAAGTGCAGTCCTGTTAGCCTTCATCTTCTCTAACCGTTTTACTAAGTGACTGTTTGTCATTTCCATCTCCTCCATCTTATCCAAAGCAGTTCGGAGCTGTTGATGGGGGAAAAAAAAAGAAATACTGGTTAGTTTACTATTTCCAATTCATCAGAAAGCAAAGAAAAAAAATGTATAAAACTGTAAATTTCTGTACGTTAATTATCACAATTCGACCATTGTTAAGTGATTTTCGAACACTATTAAATACAAAATAATGTCAAATTATCTATCAATATTTTTTCAAAAATGTTTATTTTCACCAACATTATAATAAATATTGAACATTGGAATCTTGGCACCTCAGATTGCTTTTGATCCTATGAACCTATTTCCCATAATAGAAGAAATTAAAAGTGACAATCTATTTGGTTATGCTGCTTACAATCAGCTGTGAAAACACATTTGGAATCATAACAGATCTAAGCAATGGCCATAGAAACATACTAACCCTCCCAAGTAAATTAAATACTAGAAAAACACTCTACAAAATCCGATTACAACTTCACATTTAAAAAAAAAAAAAAAAAAGGAACTTAAGGGCTCTCCCACTTTTTAGGTGCTTATAAAAGGCCCCTTTATAACTGTAAGGAGATAAAGGAAGAGATAGAAAAAAAAAGTAAGAACGTCCAGAAGAAAGAACTGGAAGGGAGTTCAACACCTTTTTAAAGGAGAGGCAAGACTGGACATGAGAATCCACTTATATGTATATTAATTAAAGATTGGTTTACCTTCCTTCCCCACCCCAACAAAAAAATCTCACACACCACTCATGATGCTATCAGGGTAATATTTAATCCCTGATGGCCAAACTTGTCAAAACAAGGAGACCAATTTAAGGATGGGGATTGGAGCATTGCATTCCAACATGTGTAAATCAGCATGCTTGGAATGTGAATTAATTCTGGTTCCCAATCAGATCACCTTGTGTAGTCTCAATAAAGGCAAACAAGGGTCAAGAGTCAACTGTACTCATAAACACTGTGATAGTTTTAGGAACATACCCCATTTTGTCTACTTTTGGTATGCCATGATAGGGGTAATTCTCATTCCTGGGCTGCCATACAGTCTCAAAAGCAAAATAGGCCCAGCAAACCAATCTGGCAAATTTCAATGTATAAAAAATGGAATGGGCAAGCCCAATATTGGCCCTGCAATTTTCTAAAACACAGTAAAACCTATATATGTAGGGCATCATTGTACATACAAATATGTGTATTTTATTTCAGTGAAAGTGTTATTGCAGTGTTATGACATTCACAGTTAGAATGCCATGTAGAACTTGGAAAATAACATTTCATATTTTCTCATAGTTTTTTTATTTTATTATGTTTTATATATTGGTATTTGATGTGAAATGAAAACCCTATATCTCAAACAAAATTATATATAATAAGAGTGGGTGCACTTAATATGTAAGAGGTAAATAATGGTCGAACAACATATAGCTCAAATTCTAGGTTTTGTTTTGGTCAGAACTTGGCACTCCATTTTACAACCCTAACAGGTTTATTCACACAATGTGAATTGTCAGGAATTATTTTTTTTATTTTAGTTTTTTTATTAAAGATTTTACTTTTATTTCAAATGTACTTTGACTTACCAATATTTCACACTTTAGTGAATACCCTGTTACACTATTTTATGACTAGAGATATGAATAGGCAGGAAGAACACAGATAAAAACAGGCCTACCTAACAGGGAACCCAAGACTGTGTCTCCCTGCTGTCCACAAACCCCCTCCACCCACCTCCGAACGCCATGCTCGGCTTGCCAAGACATATAACTTGACC